AAGTGCATCTAAGTCATCGTGCTTTCAGGGACTACGTCAGGGAAAAAGATACAGAAACTTGCATGCAGCTTTGTTTTCATGACCAGCGGACAGCAGCTTTCAAGTTTTATGACAAAGAGAAAGACTTGGGGAAAGTATTTTGGATCAGCCAATAGATTTTCTTTTAAAGCTGCTGTCACTGTTTGGAGTCTGTTACCCTTTAACAACAAATACTTTAGGAAGATCATCAGCAGTTTGAGTGACACATCTTTTCCACATCTATCTCATACTTGTGTGATCAGTATTCTGTGTCATGACCTAAACATTTACGACCTCACTAAATGATAAAGACTTCTGAAGCTCCAGCAGGCAGACAGCCAACAGAAGTCTTAATTAGTTTGAAAGGGTAAAGTCATGGTGTGTACATATTTAAATAACATCCTCAGGCAGACAGTCAGAGGAGCGGGGCTGAGCTGAAGAGCTCTATCCCATGATTCTCCTTCTAATGTAAAACAGAACTATCAGGTGATGAATGTCAACCATGCTGCACAGCTTTTCAACTCGCTCAAAGAGCTTATGTAGACAGAACTTGACACAGTGTGTTCAGGAGAATTCTGAATGAGGATCTATGGACAGCATATGATCTAACAGACAAGCCAGGGAAACATGTGGGAATGATATTGTAGTCTTCTTATGACATGTGTTATCTTGAATTGAGCAGCTGTGACTTGGCTGGCAGTCAACCTAATGCTTTTGATTTAATGATGTATTGCCCTCACACAGACGTGCTCTGAGGAATGTACCATGTTTCTGGGAGACTAGTCCGCCTTAGTTGTGAATGGGCCGCCACAACCTGCACAGACCACGGTCACCATCACAGCCTGCACCAGCCTTCATTGAACTTAGTTAACTGTGGTAAACAGACAAATGAAAAGTTAGCGTGACTGTGTTGAATAGTGAGCAAACATTGACTGTGGTGATGCTCGAAGGTTACAGAAAGGTTTGGCTCGCTTTCTCTGAACTTCTACCGCAGGTTAAAATTGTGGGTAATCTAGCTATAATACAGAGTGACCTGCAGGTTTCGTGTCTCCTTTAATACCAGCTTTTTGGGGTATGACAGACCTGAGGGAAACAGAATATCACCAAGCATAAAGTCAGATGAAATGAGACTGAATTGGTTATATACGTGTTTTTTTTCAATAAGCTCTTGATATGTTAGAAGGATTGAACCACAAATGAATATGAGAAAAGATAACAGCTCTGAAATGTTATAGTCTCTCCTGAGGGAAGCAGAAAACCGCTTGACTGCTTTCAAAAATGTGCTGATGCATGAACAGAGGGAGGAAATTACTCCATTTTTCGGTTACTGTGGGTTGTTATGTCTTCTGTTTTATGATATTATTGGTTTGAAATCATCCTGTTACAGCCCATTTGGAGGCAAACTTAAGCGCTGAACCAGGTGTGCTTCAGAGCATTGCCAAAGTCACTGTGATGGTAATGACAATTAGAAAAACAATGAACTTCCTCTGGTCCAATAGGTCCTCAAGACAAATCAAACACCAGCTCTAGTGCAGGACTTGATTGTTTTACCGGCCACAACATACGAACAGACACTGAGAATGAGGGAGGGGTAGTCAGTCGGTTGATCTGCAGCCTCACTGCAACAAACCAACTCTATACACAATCCCCAGTTCATACACAAAGGTACAGTGTGTAGAAACTGGAATATTCAGAGATATCTAGCTGTGAGATTATAGATTGAAAAGCTCCCTTGCTCACCCCTCCGAACACATGGACACACACATGGACACACACACACACACACACACACACACACACACACACACACACACACACACACACACACACACACACACACACACACAGGTGAATCCTCTGTAGGGACAGTGGCCTTTAAGGATCAAAAACAGCTCCAAGAGACAAAGGGAGTACGCCTATCAAAATGGTTGTTTATCTCAAACTGCACAAAGTATTTGTCAAAATCCTGGTTCTCTCTGACACACACACGCACACACACACACACACTCTCAAAGGCACACACTTAAAGGCACACACTCACAGCTGGTAAATGAATTGACCTTCTTACGGGCAGAAATCTCAGGAAAAGAGGAGGAAACCGGACTCCCCAAACTGGCCTCTAATGACTCCAGATACAGTACATATCTGTTATCCGCTGTCTACCTGTGAAACTCTTCTATTCTTGACTCCCTGTTTTCCACATTTCCACGACTTCCACATTTGTTTACCAGACCAATAACCAATGCTGACTTTGTTTTGAGGTGGTGGGGTGTGCTCTGTTTCAGGACATAAGTCCAGTTTGGACCTTTCTGCATGTGCCTTTGTCTGTGTGTTTGTGTTTTCATACAGCACATTCACATTTTCACAGCCATCTGTAAAAATCATCAGGGCCCTTTTTTTTGTACTGAGCAGCTTAAATTGAAAATACTGATAAAGTAAAACAATGAAATCTGAAAGCCAGAAATCCTAACCCAAAGTGTTACTGAAAAGGTATTGTATATGTTATCTTATAATAGAAGGCCATCTCCTGTTAACAGCATCATTTATCATTTGATTAATTGATTTTTATAATCTGGATCTCCTTGTTTCAATGGCACAGTAGATGGTGCCGCCATGACTGAGACCATTTATCACAATCCAAGGGAATCAAAGATGGACAGACACAGTGATTGTCTGGAAGCAAGTGGCACAAAGTTGGCCAAGTTATTCAACAACTGAAGCAGTTTTAAGATAATGGTTTTCACTGCAGCTGAGGAATCAAAAACCCATCAGTATGCTGAAGCACAGTGGTAAAGAGGGAAACTGAAGATGGGAAGCACCAATAGACAGTCAAATATAGCCACCATCCAGCTGAAGGCCTCAGAGATCTCCATGGAGGGTACATATGGTTGGTGCTGATTGTTGGCCTGGTCAATGACCTCATAACCACTAAACTAGTTATTAAACTAGAGGTTATTTTAACTCAATATGATCAGAAAATAAAGACAAAGACGGAGAGAAGCACCAAAAGATAATATTGTATCCTGATGTTGTTGATCATCAATACTGCTATCCTGCAGCCAGTGTGAGAGGTGACAACATTTTATACAAAAGTTCAACAGAAACTCAGGTAACTTCATCTCCAGATAACTGTCCTTGATTTGCATTATCAAGGCCCTGGTGGAAACTGTGGTGGAAAATGTATGTAGGATGCAGCAAATCAAGACTCAGGAGACAGAATGAGATCTGAAGAGCAGCTGAGGTGACTTCTTTGTACAGATGTAGAAATCAGACCATCTGACTGCAGAGTCCTGACCAGGGTCTTAGATAGAGCCCCCAAACTCCCCTTTTCTCACTCTTTATACCGGTGAGTGTGTTCGTGAACATAATATGTGTGTATTACAGGTGTGAGTCTTTTTTTCCAGCCTGATACACAGGATGTCTGGGAGATCAGCCAGGAACATCATATCTCACAATATTTTGGAGACGATTTGACATTAACTCTTCTGGGAATACTGAGTTGAACTTTCCTGGAAACCACCTGACCTTACAAACATCCATACTTGGTATAACTATCAGTAAAGCTATCTATAAGTTCTTCCACAAAGTGCAGACAATGATAGGCCACAGGGACTATGTAGTTCCTTGAAAAGAGGTCCTTAAAACGAAATGTCCCACGGTGTTTTTGGTTGAAGAGCACCAAAGAGGGAAATGGACCACGGCATTGACAGGATGCGCTGTCTGCTCACGATGATGCTGCTGAAACTAAAACCAAGCATCTCAAAAAGCAGCTCTACTGTGTTCAAAAAAGATTTGGTGTGGCTTAAGAGGTGACACTGGAGAGCGGCACACTTGCTCATGGTTATACAAAGGGTCGGGTGACTAATGTGTTGACCAGGGGCCTTATGTATCAATACTTGCGTGGAACTCATACCAGAAACGAGCGCACGCAAGGTCCGTCACGCTGAAAAAAATCCGTATGTTTCAATGTGTGCGGGCGCCGAAATCCACGTGTGTTTCCTTGATAAATCCCAATCAGCGTGGAATTGAGCGCAGATGTCGGAGTGACTGGGCCCGTCCCCGTTACGCCCTCCTATAAATATGCAGATTTATTTAAATAGGGTCTCCCTGTCCTCGCACGCAGACAAAATGACAAGAAAAACTAAATTTACGGCGTGCGAGGTGGAGGTGCTGGTGGCGGAGGTGGAGGAGCGACAGCGTGTTTAGTTTGGCAGCCTGTCCAGTGGCGTCAGTGCAAAACAAAAACGCTTGGAGTGGGAGAAAGTTTGCGAGAGGGTGAATGCGGTGCACTCCAGGAAGCTTGATGAAATGTTGAAATATAATTCAGCAAAAAGAGCTGGATGTAAGATTTGATATATGAGTAATTTATGATACATGGTTTTGGGCCACTAGCCCTTCAGTACAGAGATTTGGGGTTTAGAGATGTTGTCAGTGTCTCTGGTATGAGAACCGTTTTGAAATGTCTAACTGTGACTTGTCCTTAAACTGCTTATGGCACAGCATGATGGTTACACATGGAATAGTCATTTCAGTATACATGAACTGTGCATTCATGCTTCAGGCTCGGCCTAATCAGAATGTGGAAATGACATATTCGACTGGAGGGATGAACCTTTCAGTACAGACTGAATGTCTTTATTAGTTGAATATATCATGGACTCAAAATTGTTTCCCCTTTTTCAACTCATAACTCCTTGATTTAATTTTTGATTTTATATTTTTTAGTTAACAGATTTTTAAAAAAACTGATGACAGTAGCAGTTTGTAGCTAAAATGCTGCAACTAAGGTGCAGCAGTAAAAATCCAGACTTAGCAAGGGGGTGTTCATTTTCTCTGCATCATCATACATTATCACTCTGTGGAATTACCAGTTTATCAAGCAAACAGATACAGTCTACAAAAGCAACAATGAAATCAGTGCTATCATGAGTTCATTTTGTTTAGATTGTGATGATGCTAATGTCTTCAATCTTGCTGCAGGTGTTTTAATGACGTGAGCAGACAGACAACCATCCAGTCATGCAGCTGTGGTGGTGTGCAAACATCTTCTGCAGGTTGACTGCAGCCTGGTTTCCACTGCTCCTCTCATCGCTCCTGTGGCACATGGTAAATCTGACTCACAGAAGCTCTTGAAATATATAGATGTGAATGGTTTTTGTCTAAATCATTGCAGCTTAAGTTCAATGATAAAACTGACGAGTAACTCCTGTGACAATACTGGGAACCACTGTGCAATGCTGTTAATGTCAGATAATACAGACACCATTCTGTGAGATAAGAAGCATCACATCTTCTTTATTCACTCTTCAGTTAACAGTTGTCCGGTCATCTCATCCTGTCTTACCATTCTTCTATCTCCACTTCTGTCTGTAGATCTCGTCCGTACATGCCAACCCATCCTGTCCACAGAGCTGCAGCTGTCCAGGAGTTAGAGAGGTCCATTGTACTTTTAGACACCTCACCACGATACCGAAAGCTTTCCCAGAAGACACAGAGAGGCTTAACTTGGGGTAAGTCGAAGACTATACCTAAAGATTTTGTAATGAACAACAAGACTGGACTGGTTTTGTCTTTAATCAATCTTTATTCGTGCTGCACCAATTCATAACAAGTGTTACCCCAAAACGCTGAACAGAAAACGTTGGTCTGGACCAGACTTTGTTTACAAAGACCAAATGTTATGATGGGATCAGACTGGGCCCCATCCTGTGGGATCAGATTCACTCCAATCCCAAGAAACAGTGGAGAGGAAGGACTTTGTAACAGGTAGAAACCTAAAACAGAATCAGACTGATGTTAGGCAGTCATCTACTGAGACTGAACTGGGTTTGGAGAGGAGAGAAGGGGAGATGGAGAAAGAGAGAGATGGACAGAGGAGAGATTAATAGAGGGAGATGGAGAAAGGGCAAACTATTCAGTTAAGTTTGGAGCGTGCATAGCTGAGATTAAAAAACAGGTTAATGATTGGGTACAGTAAAAGGAAATGGGTGACAATTCTTGGATCCCCCTGACTGCCTGAGTCTCTAAATTCAGTCATGTGTGTAAATTACACTCCATTTTTTAACTTAAAGAATAAAGAGCTGTGATTGGAGCAGGGGCACTTTTGTAAGCAAGTACCATCACTAACTTTTCCCCTGGAAAACTGGAATGAATCAAACAGGTCCAGGCCCATCAATCAAGGTATACTGGCCTGAGACATTTAAGGAGAGCTTTTAAGGGGCCAGCAACAATTTAAACACCTCGATTCTTATAGAAAGGTAAAAAACGTTGAAGATGTAATGTGAGAAGCATCAGTATTGGCTTTATCGATCTTTTAAGCAGGGGTACTGGTATAAGCTTTGATTTTCCCATTTGGTACACATCTAATACATGTGTTTGTAAAATTCTTGATATCCTTCAAACAAAGTGTGTGTTTGTCTAAAATCATGTTTGTTTCTATGAACAAACAAATCCTCCCACTGAAAGAGGCTTTTATGATGGAGCTGGTAAACAAATGTTTTATCTCCAAGGGTCAATATTTTTAGTAGTGAGCTAACATTTGCTCATTGTAAGGTAACTCAACACTAAGAGTCCACACAAAAATAATCTAATTAATAAAATTTCAGATTCAAAGTTTTTTTTATCAATTCTAACTAGTACCTTACTTAAGATATCTGAATGTATGGGATGACTTATCTTAAAAAGATAGAAGGTAATTTCAGGATGAACAACATATAAAAGTCTCAGAATAAATTGTTTCTACACATCTGAGGGAAATTATTTATGCACACCAAACTTGGAAAGCAGAGTAGCTAGACAGCCAAGTGTTAAATCAGCTTTAGTGTGCAAAGTAATATTGTTCCAACCAACTAGTACAGAGCAAAGAAGTGAAGTTGCCAGGATCCACAGTTTAGTTCGCAGAGAGTAAACCTACACCAAACTACGTTCACAGTTCTAATGAAAGGCTGGATGATATATTGTGAACTGGCTGTTTTATTGACGGCAGTGGAAAACTGCAGGATCTCCCATATGTATCCAATTGTGTAGGGATAACTGCGCTCTGGGAATGTTGTGAATTAACTGGAACTCACAACCAGACCGGAGACTCTGCCAGGCATTTTTGGGCTTATTCATGCTGTTGGACGGCCTAACTAACACCCAAGCACTGAAACCTATGAAATGCTTTCTGTCCCTGCCAAAAGATAGCATGCTTTTCTGGGTTAACTTTGGATCCAGAGTTTACTCTTTTATAATGTATCTGGCAATCAGTTGCATTTGATTGAGGAGAGCATAATAGGACGGCTTTTGATCAGGTTCTTCCTACTGTTTACGGCTGATTCTGGTTCTGTGGATAAAGATCTCTCACTCAAAGGTGTTACGGTTGGTGTTGTAACTGTTAGGCAATACTTGTTTTCCACTTAAACACATACAGTACATTATTGCTAAGACAATAGCAAACAAGATCTGGTACAGTAACTCATCTTCCCTTTTTCAATCAGTTCTTGAAAGGTAATGGCGCCAAAAACACACATGTCAACCAGTTTAGTTTCTTCACTCCCCTATCCCTGTTAACAGCCTTTAGCAATTCTCCCATCTCAGTAACTAGTCCTGATTGTTTCCTCTATCACAGGTACAACAGCCTGACAGAAGTGGAAGGGTCTGAATTCAGGTCACTGCGGCGACTGGAAATGCTCATGCTGCACGGAAATGACATTAGCACAGTTCACCCTGGAGCATTTTACAGCCTGAGATCCCTTCAGGTAGTGTTTGTGTGTGTGTGTGTGTGTGTGGGGGGGGGGGGGGGGTAGAGTGTATTTGCATGTGTACCCTAATGGAATCTGCATCTCCAACATTTCTTGATTCTGGTTATCAGGAAGAGTTATCCCCTCTGACTTTCTGCTTTTTCCAGCACTGTTGTTTGACATGATTTTATTCCATTTATTTTTACATCTCCAAAGGTAGCATCTGCATAAAGTCTTTTTGTCACCTCAAACATACACTGAACAAAAATATTAACTTTGGTTTTTGCTCCCAAGACTTTTTCTGTGTACACAAAAGACCTGTTTTTCTCAAATATTGTTGACAAATTTGTCTAAATCTCTGTGAGTGAACGCTTCTCCTTTGCTGAGATAATCCATCCACCTCACAGGTGTGGCATATCAAGATGCTGATTAGACAGCATGATTACTGCACAGGTGTACCTCAGACTGGCCACAATTAAAGGCCACTCTAAGCGGTGCAGTTTTACTGTATTGGGGGTAAACTCCTCTTCAATGGTGGTGTGAAGTTGCTGGATATTGGCAGGAACTGGAACACACTGTCGTAAACACCGATCCAGATCGTGTTTTGGTCTTGTTTTTGAGGCCGGTTGGATGTATTGCCAAATTCTCTGAAACACCTTTGGAGACAGTTTATGGTGAAGAAATGAACATTCAATCCATGGGCAACAGCTCTGGTGGATGTTCCTGCAGTTAGCATGTCAATCGCACGCCCCCCTCAAAACTTGTGATATTTGTGGTGCTGTGCTGTGTGATAAAACTGCACCTTTTAGAGTGGCCTTTTATCGTGGCCAGTCTAAGGCACACCTGTGCAATAATCATGCTGTCTAATTAGCATCTTGATATGCCACACCTGTGAGGTGGATGGATTATCTCAGCAAGGGAGAAGTGTTCACTAACACAGATTAAGGCCCTGTTTATATAGTAAGTAAGTAAGTAAGTAAACTTTATTTATACAGCGCCTTTCGCAGACCAAGGTCACAAAGCGCTTTACAGTAAAAACAAGAGCAAAAACAATACACAGTTACTAAAAACATACAAAGCTAAAATTTAAAAGGCTAAAACAACACTATAGCAACCATAGCAGCCCCAAGACAGTTACGGAAAAGCCTGAACAAATAAAAAGGTCTTTAGTTCCCTTTTGAAGGAGTCAACAGACTCCATCAACCGCAGAAAAGGCGGAAGATCGTTCCAGAGCTTGGGAGCAACAGCCTGGAAGGATCGGTCTCCTCTGGTCCGGAAATGTGTATGAGGCACCGTCAGAAGATTCTGACCCACAGACCTCAGAACCCAGGCTGGGGTGTAAGGCTGGATCTGGGGCCTCATGTATCAACACTTGCGTGGAACTCATACCAGAAACGAGCGCACGCAAGGTCCGTCACGCTGAAAAAAATCCGTATGTATCAATGTGTGCGGGCGCCGAAATCCACGTGTGTTTCCTTGATAAATCCCAATCAGCGTGGAATTGAGCGCAGATGTCGGAGTGACTGGGCCCGTCCCCGTTACGCCCTCCTATAAATATGCAGATTTATTTAAATAGGGTCTCCCTGTCCTCGCACGCAGACAAAATGACAAGAAAAACTACATTTACGGCGTGCGAGGTGGAGGTGCTGGTGGCGGAGGTGGAGGAGCGACAGCGTATTTTGTTTGGCAGCCTGTCCAGTGGCGTCAGTGCAAAACAAAAACGCTTGGAGTGGGAGAAAGTTTGCGAGAGGGTGAATGCGGTGGGTTCCGAGACACGCACCCCGCGGAGATTAAAAAAAAGTGGTCGGACCTCAAGGTGGAGGTCAAGCGGCGTACAGCTGCCCTCCGGAGGAGTACCGGCCAGACAGGTGGGGGTCCGGGGGAGGAGACCCTCACACCGTTTGAGCAGCGGGTGGTGGCGATTATTATTATAGGGTAAGTGGCGTGTCACACAAATGTCCACATGCTTTGTCATCCCACTGAGCAAAAGACGTATATTAGACGTCTAGTCTAAGTTTATACTTCATTTCAACGTCGGGATTCAGTCTATTTTTAGACGTGATTTATACTTCGCCCTTAACTTCATTTTTCAATAACGTTTTATGCAATAAACAACTGTAATGTGCATAACTGACCTCGAAATACTGGATTGCATTACCTATGATACTGTGGAGAGAGATGTAAACGCAACAGATACACAGAAGCAGGAATTGAAATGAACTAATATTTTTATTGTGTCACAGAAATTAATGTGTCGGCTGTGTCGCCGGCTTGCGGAACCCCGGCCCGCGGCAGCCCGTCCGCCGGCTCGGAGTCGTCGGCCAGGACCAGCGGCATTCGGGCCACCCCGGCCCCAGCACCAGCATCAGCACCAGCGCGCCGACAAGCGGTGGAGCGTCCACCAGCCGCGGCGCTTCCGCTGGACCACCCGGACGCAGTGGAAGGGTCCTCGCGGAGGGGGTCCTGCAATCGCAGGAAGAAATCATCAGGGGGATCGCGGGGATCAACGAGCGGCTGGACCGGCTCGTAAATGTCCTCGAGCGTCTGGTGGAGAAAATAAATTAATTTGGCTCATTGAACTGTGTATTCACTTCTTACCCATTCACACTGTGGCGATGAGATTCTCCCGCGCGAGGACGGCGGCCCGGCAGGGATCAGCTCGCATCCCTCCGTCTGCTGCTGGTTCGTCATGTGGGGCGACGTGCTGCCCGGCCACGGGGATGTGGTGCACGCTTGTCACATAGTGAGTCACCAAACACCGCCACACAGCGTCGCCAAAGTGCGAATCACAGTCAACGCAAATATCCAGCTCAACGCCAATTTCTACACCACCTCCTGACTTTGCGTTGATTAGCGCTGGAACCAACGCTCGTTTCGCGATGATAAATCTGGACGTGTGCGCCGATTTTGGCGTACGCAAGGTTTTCTTGCGCCGCAAGCGTTGATACATGAGGCCCCAGGTCATTGATGTAAGCTGGAGCCTGACCATGCAAGGCTCTGAAAGTTAAAACCAGAATTTTAAAATTTATCCTAAAAGAAACAGGCAGCCAATGGAGGGTTTTAAGAATCGGGGATATGTGTGACCTCCTATTGGAGCGGGTCAGAATTCTCGCTGCAGAGTTTTGTACTAACTGCAGGCGAGATAGCTCCTTTTTGTTCATACAGGAAAACAGACTATTACAATAGTCTAATCGTGAAGACACAAATGCATGAATAATCAGTTCCAACTCATTATGTGACACCATTTTTCTAAGTTTGGAGATGTTCCTAAGTTGAAAAAAGCAATTTTTGGTCAGCTGATTACAGTGTTGCATTAATGACATGTCTTTGTCGAAAACAACACCCAGGTTTCTTAGGCTCGGTTTAACAGACCGGCCCAAGTCGCCTAGGTACTGACTAATCCCTGGAATGGAGTCATCAGGGGCAATAATCAGTGTTTCTGTTTTGTCCACATTTAGCTGCAAGGTGTTATCACTAAGCCAACCGGTTATTTTAAAAAACTGAGACATTAACCATCGTTTGCACCCTTCGATTTTGGAAAACTCTGTTTGCATGTTTAAGAAAAAACAGAGAAAAACTGAGCTGATGGCAGATTGTGCGCAGGAAAGAAGGAAGTGATGTTGTTGTTGCTGCTATTGGCTAATGTGGGCTTGAGCTTCTCACTACACTGTCACCCACGTGTTTGATATGCTCTTGATGGCATATATAAATGGGCTAGTGTAAACAACAACTTTTCTGAAAACGCAGTGGTGTGCACGCAGTTTTCTTTTTAAACGGAGAGGATAAAATGTCTGTTTATGAAAATAGCCGGGCATATGTAAATTTGACAAATTTGTCAACAATATTTGAGAGGAGTAGGTCTTTTGTGTACATAGAAAAAGTCTTAGATCTTTGAGTTAAGCTCATGAAAAATGGGAGCAAAAACAAGTGTTGTGTTTATATTTGTGTTCAGTATAAGTGAGGGAGGGAGTATATGAAAGGTCCTTGAAGTGATTAAACAGACAGAGAAAGACTGGTTCAGGGGCAAACTGATTCATGAATTTTTCACTTGATCTGAACTTTTTTTCATTTGCATACACCTGACAAAAAAAGACAATTTTGCGTAAACACGTATTTGACTAATTGGAAACAGATGCTACCTTGGTAATCTGTATGAAAAGCCAAAGATTCTCTTGTGTATCTGAGAAATATGCTGCATATATTCTCATCTGCAGTTTGTGTCAATCCCTTTCTCCCTCTTTTTTGTCTTTTATATACGCCATCACCTGTTACTAAATCAAAGCTGCAGCAAGTTGCAAACATTAGCATTGGTAGGAGTTCACTGCTGTAATACATGGTATCAACATTTGTGACTCTTTCTAGGTAATACATGACAAACAAGACAGAGAAAATCACTGTTTTCTGAGTAAAACTGATCAACACTGTCTGGCTAACAGCTGTTTCAGATCAACTGTGTATTGGTTGCTTGACATCACGTTTCACTTAACAGGCCATACAGGGCTGGTTTGAGGTTTTACTTTTGGAAAAGGATCTTATTAACTTGAACAATAGTCCTTAAATGACATTGCAAACCACAGTGTGAAAGAGGACAACAAGGAAGGCAGCGAGGATGACAAAAGGAAATACTGATTGGATCCATCACCTGGTGTTATCTGTTTTAAAAATGTTTTCCCTAAAGCCCACATGAATGATGGTTATGCTTTATAAACCTCTTGTGGGGCTGCCAGGGTGTTGTCCACACTGCAGAGGGCGAGTCTGATCAGATAACAATGTTATTACATCAAACACTGGAGTGTAATTTACACACCAGAATGACTGAATTTAGAGACTCAGGCAGTGAGGGAGATCCAAGAAGAAATATCACCCATTGCCTAATCCTGTACTCAGTCACTAGCCTGGCATACCCATGGCCTGACTACAGGCAAAACATGTCAAGTTGGGCCAAAATTAGTCCATCATAACTTTCATTTGCATTGGTAATATGCATATGATCCCTACAAACACCTAAAGAAATCATAAATGAAGAAAAAAATATATAAATAAATAATACTTGATTTACAAAGATCCTCATTTATGGTGCAGTGGTAAGGTGACCAGACGTCCCCAATTTTCAGGGACAGTCCCCGAATTGGATGACCTGTCCCCGGCAAAAACTGTCCCTGAAAATGTCCCCAATTTAAGCGTTTCATGAATGAGAACAAAAATGTTGCCTGAAGGCTAGAACAATGGTTATTATAGTGGCCAAATGGGTAGGAAGCACAAGTAAGCAGTCCTGAAAAACAGTTTGTACGGGGGTTATTACAAGGGGCATACGCTGCTACTAAACAGTACTGAGATGTTGTCTGTGATCCCCCCCCCGGCTGCTGCCGCTGCCACCACCGCCACACCGATTTTTCCCAGATATCATTACAGAAATCTGGTCACCTTATGCAGTGGTATTTTTCCAAGTGGGCTGACAAAGTTGGGGCTGTTTCTTAATTAGACTTCACAGGAAGTTATAATAACTTTATGAAAATATGAACATTCAATCAATCAATCAATCAATCAATGGATTAACCAGTCATGCTTTATTCATGCTGCCAGGACCACAGAAAAGGAGCTTCCAGAGAAGCTTCCTGAGCTGGGACTGCCTCAGTGGCATTAGCGGTGTCTCTTTATTTAAAACACCATGTCTTCTTGTTAGATGATATAGCTTTAATATTCATTACAAGTGTTTCTTCATTTTCTTTCCTCCAGATCCTAAAGTTAAGTTACAACAAGATAACATCAGTGACCCCCAGTCTTTTTGAGGGTCTTGTTGGTTTGATCCGTCTCCATCTGGACCACAACCTCATTGAGTTTGTAGAGCCGTTCTCCTTCGCTGGCCTGACTTCCTTAAAACTCCTGCAGCTGGAGGGAAACCTTCTTCAGGATATCCACCCCCATACCTTCATAACACTGTCACTGCTGGGAACATTTTGGACCTCCGGACTCAAGTGAGACCATTATTCATCCGTCTGCTTGTCTTTTATTCTGACAATTATGCTGAGTATCTAATTTCTAATAAACCAGTAGAAACTGTTCGAGGACATGGTATTATTTAAAGTAATGGTACTGAGACCGAGCTGAATTTGCTGTCCTTAACATGTGTGAAGACTGTGGTTGTGTTTCTGCACAGTATATTCAAGGATGGACCATGTTTCCCTGATATAATCCTCTCTCCCCAGACATTTGCATCTATCAGACAATCTCATGGAACAGCTCCCTGCTGCAGCTCTGAAGACAGCTCCAAGGCTAGAACTTCTCACACTTCATGGGAATCCCTGGACCTGTGACTGTCAACTCCAGTGGTTGGTAGAATGGAGCTCCTCGCATGACAGTAAGGAGATTTTAAAAAAAAAGAGGAGGAGGATGATGACCATATGAGATAAATATAGTTAGAGTTGTGTGGCACTTAATTTGAAATAGGTTTAAACGGAAGGAAACAAGTAGAAGCCAAATCCACCAGACTGTGGTGTCAGCATAGAGGGTTTTATGTTTTAGGTCTGGGGTATATTTGATCCATATTTTCAATGTTGTACTACCTGTTCATTATTATTCAGCACCTAAATAATATTAATAATATTTATAGCCTGTACTTTATGGCATGAACCTCCACTGAACTCAGAGTCATGAATAAACTGCATTTCATTATTGCCTTTTCTCTAATACTTAGTATCTCAGATTTTATTTCTCACTCTTGTCTATCATTCTCCTAACTTTTTTCCTTTTCCATCAGCCTGTCTTCAAATACTGGACTCAAAATTGTGAACATTTAGGTCACATACAGTGGGGCAGAAAAGTATTTGGCAGCCACCATTCTGCAAGTTGTCCCACTTAAAAGATGATGTTCATCATAGGTACACTTCAACTGTGAGAGACACAATATAAAAAAAAATCCAAGATATCACAATGTATGATTTTTTAAAGAATTTATTTGTATAATGGAGCAGAAAATAAGAATTTGATCAATAACAAAAGGTCACCTTAATACTTATATATAATATATATATATAATATAACCCTGGTTGGCAATGATGGAGGTCAAATGTTTCCTGTAGGTCTTCACCAGGTTTGCACACACTGTAGCTGGTATTTTGGCTCATTCTTCGTGTAGATCTTCTCAAGAGATGATGGTTTGGGGCTGTCTCTGGGCAACCCAGACTTTCAACTCCCTCCACAAATTCTCTATTGGATTGAGGTCTGGAGACTGGCTAGGCCACTCCAGAACCTTGAAACGCTTTTTACATAACCACTCCTTTGTTGCCCAGGTGGTGTGTTTGGGATCACTGTCATGCTGGAGGATCCAGCCACGTTTCATTCTCCATGCTCTCACTAATGGAAAGCAGTGTTTACCCAAAATCTCACAATCCATGGCCCCATTCATTCTTGTCTTATTATGGATCAGTTGTCCTGTCCCCTTTGCAGAAAAGCAGCCCCAAAGCATAATGTTTCCACCCCATGCTTCACAGTGGGTATGGTGTTCTTGGGATGCAACTCAGCATTCTCCCCCCTCCAAACACGGCAAGTGGCATTTATACCAAAGAGTTCCATTTCGGTGTCATCTGACCACATGATGTTCTCCCAATCCTCTGAATCATCCAGATGGACTCTGGCAAACTTTAGACGGGCCTGGACATGTGCTGGCTTGAGCAGGGGGACCTTTCAGGCACTGCAGGATTTTAATTCATGATGACATAGTGTGTAACTAATAGTAATCTTTGTTACTGTGGTCCCAGCTCTCTTCAGGTCATTGACCAGTTCCTCCCATGTAGTTCTGGGCTGTTTCCTCACCATTCTCAAGATCAGTTGGTCCCTATGAGGTGAGATCTTGCATGGAGCCCCAGGTAGAGGGAGACTGTCAGTGATCTTGTATTTGTTCCATTTTCTAATAATTGCTCCAACAGGTGATCTCTTCTCACCAAACTGATTGCCTATTGTAGATTGGCTCATCTCAGTCTTGATCAGGTGTACAATCTTGTCCCTGGTGTCCTTAGACAGCTCTTTGGTCTTGGCCATAGTGGAGAGGTTGCAGTCCGTCTGTTTAAGGGTGTGAACAGGTGTCTTTTATACAGATAATGAGTTCAAACTGGTGCCATTATTACAGATAAAAAATGGAGTATAGAAGAGCTTCTTGAAGCTGAAGAAGTAACAGGTCTGTGAGGCCCAGAATTCTTGATTGTTTGTAGGTGCTAAATACATATTTTCTGCACCATCATACAAATAAATTCTTTAAAAATCATACAATGTGATTTCCTGGATTTTTTTTACATTGTGTCTCTCACAGTTGAAGTGTACCTACAAAATCCAATTCCATCTAAGTTGGGAAATTGTGATAAACGTAAATAAAAACAGAATACAATGATTTGCAAATTCTTTTCAACCTATATTGAATTAAATACACTAAAAAGACAAGATATTTAATGATCAAACTCATAAACTTTTTTGTTTTTGCAAAAAATAATTAACTCTTGATTTGTTAATTTGTTAATTTGATGGCAGCAACACATGACAAAGAAGTGGGGAAAGTTGGTAAAAAATACTGAGAAATTTGAGGAATGCTCATCAAACATCTATTTGGCACATCCCACAGGTGAGCAGGCTAATTGGGAACAGGTAGGTGCCATGATTGGGTATAAAAGCAGCTTCCCCAAAAATTCTCAGTCATTCACAAGCAAGGATGGGGCGAGGTTTACCACTTTGTGAACAACTGCGTGAGCAAATAGCCGAACAGTTTAAGAACAACGTTTCTCAAAGTACAATTGCAATTAATTTAGGGATTTCAACATCTACAGTCCATAATATCATCAAAAGGTTCAGAGAATCTGGAGAAATTACCGCACGTAAGCGGCACGGCTGGAAACCAACATTGAATGTCCGTGACCTTTGATCCCTCAGGCGGCACTGTATCAAAAACCAACATCAATGTGTAAAGGATATCACCGCATGGGCTCAGGAACACTTCAGAAAACCACTGTCAGTAAATACAGTTCGTCGCTACATCTGTAAGTTCAAGTTAAAACTCTACTATGCAAAGCGAAAACCAATTATCAACAACATCCAGAAACGCTGCCGGTTTCTCTGGGCCCGAGCTCATCTAAGATGGACTGATGCAAAGTGGAAAAGTGTTCTGTGGTCTGACGAGTCCACATTTCAAATTGTTTTTGGAAATAGTGGACGTTGTGTCCTCCGGGCTAAAGAGGAAAAGAACCATCCAGACTGTTATCGACGTAAAGTTCAAAAGCCAGCATCTGTGATGGTATGGGGGTGCATTAGTGCCCGAGGCATGGGTAACTTACACATCTGTGAAGGCAACATTAATGCTGAAAGGTACATACAGGTTTTAGAGTAACGTATGCTGCCATCCAAGCAACGTCTTTTTCATGGACTCCCCTGCTTATTTCAGCAAGACAATGCCAAGCCACATTCTGCACGTGTTACAACAGCGTGGCTTCATAGTAAAAGAGTGCGGCTACTTGACTGGCCTGTCTGCAGTCCAGACCTGTCTCCCATTGAAAATGTGAGGCGCATTATGAAGCGTAAAATATGACAACAGAGACCCCGGTCTGTTGAACAACTTAAGCTGGACAACAAGCAAGAATGGGAAAGAATTCCACCTTCAAAGCTTCAACAATTAGTCTCCTCAGTTCCCAAGCGTTTATTGAGTGTTGTTAAAAGGAAAGGTGATGTAACACAGTGGTAAACATGCCCCTGTCCCAACTACTTTGGCACGTGTTGCAGCCATGAAATTCTGAGTTAATTATTTTTTGCAAAAAAAAAAAAAAAAAGTTTATGAGTTTGAACATTAAATATCTTGCCTTTGTAGTGTATTTAATTGAATATAGGTTGAAAAGGATTTGCAAATCATTGTATTCTGTTTTTATTTACGTTTTTTTTTTTAAGTGCAGAACTTGCAGAATTGGTGGCTGCCAAATACCTTTTTGCCCCACTGTATGCATCAAAATTTGCTATCTGTGACCTCAAAATATATTAGAAGCATCTGTGTCTGTACAACTAATTGTTGTGGTGCAGTGCTTTTTCTATTTCCCAATAAAATATCATCTAATACAGTGATGGGCGTCACATTAGTTGTCACTGTGGACAACCATTTTTAGATGGTGCTCATAAACTCATACTGGTGCTTTCTGATGTTGAAGAGCTCCACTGCTACCAAAGACAAACGTACATTTGGAGTCCTGACATATAACCCTCTTACCTCCTTTCCTTAAACTTCCACCTTTCCCAGTTGCTCCTCTGAATGCATCCATTCCACTTTCTCCTCTCACCTTCACTTCACTAAAACTGAATTCTCCTCTTTCTCTTAGGTGTTATAAAGTGCAAGAAGGATCGTGGCTCCAGTGAGATTTGTCCTCAGTGCTCTTCTCCTCCACCCCTTAATGGGACTCTGTTACTTGGGTTGTCACCACAGAAGCTTACCTGTGTACCTCCAGCTCTTCACTCTCCTCTCAAACAGTGGGACAGTCCTTTGTGGGCTGAATCTGAAGCAGAGCCAGACCTACCATATACCCGGGACTTTGAAAAGCCTTTAGGGCATCTAACCTTTGTTCTGTCAGACAGCAATGCAAACAGTGCTCATCTGGCATGTGACGTTCGTCACCCTGGAGTCAGCTCACCTATTACTTATACAACGAATCCACTTACACCTGGGGAATTAACTTTTAATGTGTCTCTAGTGACTGCCCTCGAATGTGAGATTGATAGAGAGACACTGCAAAATCTCTGGCAATTGGTTGCATACTACTATGAAAGCCCGGCCATTTTGGAGAGAGGACAACAGAGAGGAAATGCAAGCAGAGTTACTTATCAATATTCTCAAGCAGTCAATGAAAATTCTCCATACTTCACAGATTTGAAAGGATATTTAGTAGCAGAGCCATCATGGCTGCTTCAACCAAGAGTCACCTTGAGGCTCAACAGACAGCACACAACAACCAAGAAACTGGTCATGGATTTCACAACTGTAATAAAAAAGCACATGAACATATACGAAGGGACGGACAACGCCGATAACAGTGCCCTGTCCTGGGCTCTAATTCGCAGAAGGACAGCAGGGCGGGTCCAGACGGCTCTTTCTGGGTCAAAGGTTCAGCTGGAGTGCCAGGTTGTCTCTTCAGATCCAGAGATCAAAATTGAGTGGATGCTCCCTGATTTGTCTTTTGCTGAAGAAATAATGGATAAAATTGAAATTTCTGAAAGAGGAGAGCTTGTAATTTTCAATGCCACTCTGTCTGACTCAGGTCTCTATCACTGCATGGTCAGAACCAAAACTGGGGTGGACTTGATGCCATTAAGGCTCACCATAAAAGAGCGCTCACTTGGACCCACTGCTTTCAATGGTCAGAAAATTATAGTACAAAAAGGACAGTCTTTTTCTCTCCACTGTGATGTTACCACAGTTCAGCCCAGTCAAACAATGTGGTACCTTCCCAAAAACCAAATTCTCCTCCCCACACAACAGACTAGAAGGGCACAAGTGATGGAAAATGGGACTTTAGTGGTAAAAAAGTTGACTCAAGAAGATGCTGGTGAATACAGCTGTCTATCCTCAAATCTCTATGGAGCGGACATGATATCACACATGGTGGAAGTTACTGGAAAAAAGGTTTCTGATCGGTTTCAAGAGCAGCAAATCTTGTCCTTCAATGTGGAGGCAGGAGAGGGTTCAGGGGGAGATTACCAGGAAATAGTTGGCCCTTTTGCTACCCAGTTCCCAAGGACACCAGTAACACTGACAAGACATCCTCATGATTTTTCAAAAAGAGCAAGAACTAAAGACTTGGGAGGAAAACCCAATACATCTGTGAAAGAAGTGGAAAGGGGTCAGTGGGCAGAGAAACTCCCTAAAAGTAGAACTAAACCGAGTTTTTCTCTGCCCACAGAGCAGTCTCTACCAGAACCAGACACTGTTTCCTCCCATAGGGATACATCCAAACCCTCAGCTGTCTCTACAGTTGCTTATGGTCAAAATAACTTGGCCCCTACTACAACCCCTTCTGCTATAAGGACAGAGCAAACAAATATCCCCATAAACACAAAAGCCCTGAATTACATCTATTCTACAGTAAAGACAATCTCAGAAAGTCAGTCACAGGTTTCACAGCAGCCATCTACAGAATCAACACCACACATTGCTGATAATAATCCAGAACAAACTGAGACAGTCATAGAACAGTTTGGTGTTGAAAATCGTCACTCTATTGAACAGTCAGAAAACAAGAACATAGGAGACGGGAGAAGGAATTACAACCTCACTCCTAGTCAGTCAAAAAGGAGACGACCGCCTTACAGACGCAGGAAACCACAAATGAGGAGGGTCCACCCCTTCTATAATTCATCCAATAAACCCCACAGAACTGTTTCCACAACCACCACCACCACAACCACACAAACAACAACCACACCAACAACAACAACCACCACCCCGACAACAGCACCCACAACTACCGATGTCATTACTTCTACTATGAGTTCTTCTACCACATCATCCATGGAGGAGGAATATGGAACCTCATCAGAAGAAGATCAGACGGAAGGGGATGAAGATGAAAACTCATACAACTACGAACACAGTGATGGTTTGGATTTTCACAGTGAAACCTCTCATACCAGGACTGAATTTATTCCAAGACTCACCACATTTTCACCAGAACAAGATGCACACGGAGGGAGATCCCCAAGTAAACATAATTCTGAGACAAAAATGCAAATTGAAGAAAAGGACAGAGACTCAAAAATTCACACAGGAGACAGAGAGGTAATAACTGCAACGAGAGAGCAGAATAGCAGGATAGACTCTGAGTGCATAGAGGACACCAGAACAACTGAGGGGAGTAAGGTTTCTCAGAGTAACAACACCCCAGTTAGATCAAGGTTATCAACACAAAATAAATCAAGACCAAACGGCACACCATTACAGGAACAAGATACACTAGCTCAAACAAGTATTACATCTTCTAAGGTTAGGACCTCGGATTCAAGAACAGAGGAGGAAATCATCAAGGGAGAGGACAGAAAGATTTCCAAACCAGAAGCAAAGAAAGATGTCCACAGTTTTCCAGTACAGGAGCCTGTTCATCCCTGGCTTCATGAACGCAATCAGGGCAAGAGTCAAATAACTACATCTGGATCGACACATGCAAACCAAGACAGACATAGACAAAGACAAGGTGAAGTGAACTCAGACAGGCAGCGTCCAAGTGTCCCCCCGACCACCCACCATCGACAGCATCCTTACTACCCCCTCTACCCTTCCTGGTCGGGCCAAAGACCATTCACTCATACTCGGCAAGGTAAAAGATCACTCTGTATCACACACACACACACACACACACACACACACACACACACACACACACACACACACACACACACACACACACACACACACACACACACACACACACACACAAATATAATCTTTGATCTATATAACACAAGACAGGGAAACTACTTCCTTCAATAAATGTCCAGTCACCATGCAGCGTCACAACGGTCAATAGATCATGTAGAGAGTTTGAGATTTAATAGGCTGAAAAACCTTGGCCTTCTAGAAATTATATCTGTTAATGTTCTTGAGGAACAGTTTGAATCCAAAGCTTAGTAAGGACTAAACATGATTTCAGGGCTGATGTTTGGTTAAAGTATGGCTAAAGCTGAGCTTTTGACTGAATTTGAACCACCTTTAGATGAGCTATTCACATTCATAATATCAAGATGTGACAAACCTATAACTTTCTTTGGATTTTGACAACTTATTCATGCGAGCCCTTAAAGGAGGACAAAAAGGATCTTCTGGCCTGCATTTTTGTGAAGTCGTTTTACAGTGGTGGTTTGAACAGGGTCTACAAATAGACCTGGTTTAGGTCTACAGATAGACCATATTGATATGAAAGCATAAATATGGCGTTCTTGCTGTCATCAACAAGGTCTTCAGACATCAAATTAGCAGTCATTATAGAAAAAAAAGATACAATGCCAGCTACAGAAACCAGCAGTGGGTTTAATCTGGACTGAACACAGAGCCAATGTAACTTGCCCTTGTTATTGCAATCGTTATTAGACGATACAGCTTCTGAAAACTTTTTGAGCCCATTCCCAATAGACCTGTAGAAATGGTCTTAATCCCAGAGCATTTCAAGTGGTCTGAGGACTAGAGACAGAGCGATATAAACACAGTCCATTTGCTGTGTACTATTAACCATTTCATCGGTCTGCACTCCTGCTGCATCAGAAAGGATCCTCACAGTCCAAAGTCCTTTGAAATAGGTATAGTATAGGTGGGGTAAGGTTTGGATACTTCCTCTGTTGTTGCCTGTACAACAACCTCAGTGTATGCTCCTGCAGATGGGAATGGGCTCTGGCAGACAAGTTGTCTGCAACTGACGCATGCTCCCCACCTCGGCACTGTCGGGTGTATAAATCCATATAGTATGAGCAGAGCCAACATCTTGGGTTGGTTAAATCCTCCACAGTGTTGGATGAAGGATGATTTAGCAGATGACATGTCGCTTCTCTACATGCTCACCATGTGTTTTTATTCAAGAGTAAACCAACACAAAGAACCAGGCCCATATGCACATTTTTGAAGGTGAGTGACGAATTATTTGGGATATCATGACCCAGGTTAGGTAAAACTTAACAAGCAGAAGGAGCCTCTGCATTCAGTTATTATGGAGCATAATAAATATTTTAATTTAACACCAGCAATGTGTATAAAGGAAAAGTTTTTGCTTGAAATAAATTAAAGAAATAGTTTCAAACTATATATATATTTTTCTCTGCTTCTTGCTCCAGTAAAGTTTGCAAAACATAAATATATGTTTACAGTATATGTTTACAGTAAATATAAATATATTATACAGTAATACAGTATATACACGCACACAAACACACACACACACACACACACACACACACACACACACACACACACACACACATATATATATATACGCATATATGTGTATATATATATACATACATACATATATATGTAGTAATGTTTGTAGTGTCATGCACCAAAACAAGCTCAAACTTGTGTGCGTTTGAACATGATTTGACCCCGCTCAAACAGCAGGTTGATTGACAAATTGTTCCTTATATCTAGTGCCTGTACCCACACACCGACCCTGGCCACAGCCCCACCCCTGGATTAAAGACTTCATTGTCACCAATCGGCCAGAAATCTCAGCTGAAACAGTGAAACCCACACCTACCATCGCTGGAACAACAGGAAACTCCAACCTCAAAATCTTTCATTCCCCCCAGTCAAACCATCAACATCATCTTCATCGTCATCATCAAAATCATCATGTAGACAGCAGGACCCAAACCAGAGACCAAGTCTTTCTATTAAAGTTGAGGAACAGATATAGGCAGGTATGACCAAGGTTAACTGTATTTTATTAAAACACAAAGCTCATCTCCTGTGGTTGCTATGGGGTGTGTTAAGTGTAGCAGATTCACTGCTCACATAACTGACTTACAGGTGAGAGAGCAGCAGGTGAATGATGGGTACTAGATTACCTAGAGTGACTAATGTTCTCTATGAGGAAAATCAAACCACCAACATGTAGTCTGAAAGTTAAAAAAAAAACAAAACACAGTCCTGATGAAATTCTGAGTTTTTCAGTGACAGCTTAATATATCTTTCCTTGATATTCACAAAACTGTACTCACTAAAATCTGTTTCCAGGTAAACTCATTAGTACTTCTAGATCTGGTCATTTTGATTGGTTGATTTTTCTTCAGGCACAGCTTGATCGCATTGCTCAGCTAGGAAGGATGGTGACACCCAAACCCCGTTCAAGCTACCTCAATTCTCCATCGTTCATCACACCAAAGACCAACCATCTCTCTCCACATAGAGTCTATATCCCCAAACCAGCAGCCACGGCTTCTACCTCTTATACCCAGAGCCTTCTGAGGCCAGCTAAACCTTCATCATCATCCTTCTCTGGTTTCATCCAGACCCCTCGTCCTTACAATCCCACAACCCCTGGGTTGCCGTATGAAGGTCGGTGGCCTGTTGGTGGTAAGTGCACTGTTGGGAAGAGATGGAAACTCAAGCGATGTACTTTAGATTCATCATTCCCAGTTTTTATGTGAAATTATGTTCCAGGGCGAATCAGCTCCCGTCGGCCCACGGCTGCACCTCCTTTTCCATGGGTGGTGGGAGCTAAAGGTGATGGGGTAAAGGCCCAGATTACTACTGTAGCCAAAGCAAGTGTGTCAGTACTGGCAGAGAGCGATGTGCTCCTACCCTGCAAAGCAACAGGGAACCCCGAGCCCAACATTGCATGGACTAAAGTCTCCACGGGTAAGAGGCCGAGAAAACAGCAATAAAGAAAAATGGACAAAGTATGAAAAGCTGATCAATTAGATCTTCAGAAGGACAAATGACTCAGCTCTGCTATTTTTTGTTAACTAATCTAAATGTCCCCACAATGGCTCTTCTAGTTCAGTTTTTTATATGACCAGATGTTATTACCAGAATATCTGAGAGATGAATTTAAGACACAGCAGAATAACAGTCCAGATTCAGAATTTGAACCTTTATCCTTTCTGTTCCCTTTCAGGTGCCACCATCCCAGCCAACACCAAACATGGGGCTCGTTTTGAAGTCCTGAAGGATGGCTCTTTCCTCATTAGAAATATTCAGCTGCAGGACAGAGGCCAGTATCTGTGTACGGCCCACAACAGGTTTGGATCAGATCGAATGGTCATCACCTTAGCTGTCCAGACTGAGGCACCAAAGATCCAGCCCCAGAGGTCAACACAGATGGCTGTATATTTAGGTAAAGGTGTGTCTCTGGACTGCCTTGCTTCAGGAAAACCACCTCCCATAATTGCCTGGATTCTACCAGACAAGTCATTTGTACGTGAGACCGGGACTGTTCACACTCTTCTCTCTCCGATGTCTCTGCTACAAAATGGAACCCTGCAGATTCATTCTTCCAATTTTTCAAGCAAAGGGGACTACAAATGTATTGCCAGCAATGCAGCAGGTGCTGAGACCATAACGTATCATCTTCATGTGGCAGCACTGCCTCCAACTATCAGCGAAGGAGGAACAGATTCTGTGACAATTCAGTCAGGTAAAACACAGATATCCAAAATCTCATCAAAATAAAATCAAACATTTGTACCAACAATCTGGGTCCTTATTTTACAGGAAGGAGTGTGTATGTCCACTGCTCTGTCAAGGGTGAGCCAGTGCCTGCTCTGAAATGGATGCTTCCAACAGGTGTTGAAGTTAAACCATCACAGTTTCTTGGGCGACGCTGTTTTGTCTTCCCCAATGGGACACTGTTTATAAAGAACATTTCACCAACTGATGCCGGGAGGTATTTCCAAGTCTTTCTGTTTCTATGACTTTGATTTTCTGTCAGTGCAGTGGGCGACCTAGTTGAAAATCTATGATGACTGTATAAGAAGTAATGTTTTTGGTCTAAGTTGATTCACCTAGCTGAATAGGAACAAATTCCATACATCAAAAATAAGCTGATCAAAAAATGAGAGGAACATAGCCCTGCATTTTAACATCACTTTGTCTGTGAAGGGTACAAAGTGAGGAGGGGATATTTTATGTGGGTACATGAAAATATCAAAACTTTGTAAAGTCTGATTTATCACCATAAGTGACATGTGGTTACATATGAGTATGTGAGTAAGTTACATATGACCAAGTGTTTATATTTTGCGTCATCTGTCTCAGCTCCAGTGTCACAATGACGCAAACACAAATGTCCAAAATATGAGTATACTGTATGCAGGGCTATACAAACATTGTCCATTTACCATTCAGTGAGGGTGAAGAACTTTTCTCCATAAACAAGGTCAGGCAGTGGCGGTTCTAGACCAAATTACTCCCCGGGCGAGCACCCCTCCAATGCCCCCCCCCCCCCCCACACACACACACACACACACACACACACACTCACAAACACAAAAAGAGAAAATTTTGAACAGATAGTTTTGTATTACTATGTAGTATTATTATTATCATAACAAAAAAAATAATATATTTCTCAATTGCAGAAATCCATTTTGGGCCATTTTGAGAAGGGCCCCCAGATCCTGAGGTTCTCTGACGTGTTAAGGTTTACAAAACAGCTGCTATCTCGGCCTCTGTAGTAGATAGAAACAAAATTCAAAAAGTATTGGAGAGCTTAAACATGTGGCTTTCAAGAAAGCTCTCTTTTAGTTTTGCGAACCTTCATCACATCTTTGAAAAAGAACAAACAAACTCAAATGAAATAAGGCGGCTGTATAAATAAAAGTAAAGGCTCTGCACTGGAGAATGACAAATAATTTGCTTTCTGTAAAACAAGTGGCAGTCATGATAAAGTGTCCATTCAATAGAAATGTAAATATAGAAAATAAGGTGTTGAAAGGGTAAACAGCTGCCCCAGTATAGTGCCAGTACAAAAGCAGAACTAAAAACTAAAAAATGAATAAATAAATACGTGGCTGACAGTGTGTTCATCTCTGTTCTCACCCAAAGTCATGCAACACTCTGATAGTGTGAGCCAAAGCACTCCATATGAAGAGGTTGTTCACACTGCTGGATGTTTCTCCTCTGAAGCTGCTCTCTGTCTCGGTCATTGTTTACTTTACTCATTAAGCTCATCAAGCACGTAGCAAGATCCGAGCATGAACCCGAGCGCTTTATTCGCCTATCAAAGGCAGACGGGTACGGTGATTTCATTCACCACGACTCCAGAAATGATTAAAAAACTACAAAATGACGTATCCGCGCTCCCGCTGATATGCTGACATGCGTACACAGAGCAGAGCTGTCCCCCCGCGACTCTCTCCCCGCCTCGTCTCCTACAGTCTGTCAGCCTCTGTGCAGCACCTTCGGAGCAAGCAGGGGCGCCTACAGCAACGGGGGGGGGGCGCCAATTTGACAACAAGAGTTAATACAAAACCGCTTTGCGGTTAAGATTTTTTATTATTATCTTTTATTTTATTTTTTTGGAAGTGCTCGTGCCGCCCCCCATGAGTCATGACACAAATGCCGCCCCGGGCGGCTGCCCTGTTCGCCCGTGCCTAGAACCGCTACTGAGGTCAGGTATAGGAGATGGTGGTAATTATAACCAAGCAGCCAAAGAGCTGGGTAAGACCAGTGTATCTGAACAGCAGAGTGGCATCTTTGGAGCAACAAACACACAGACTGATGTGGGGAACCAGATAAAGGAGAGCAGAAAACAAGAGAAAGCAAAAAGGGGAAAACTGTTGATCTTAGGGCAGCGTGATCATAAAATAACCCATACAAAGAACACTATAAATAAATGTCAATAAAGGTTATTCAAGTCAAGCAGAAGTAATGCGTGAACACCAAAGTTTTAGTCGTTATAAACTTGTCTTTCTATTGAATATTGCTGTCATCCCTCCACAGGTATGAATGTATAGCTTCAAATGCTGTGGGTATTTCTAAAAGAACCATCCAGGTGGAGGTGAAGACAAGTTCCCCTTCCTTCCTTGAGCCTCCTCGTCCACTTCCTGTCCCACACCTCCAACACCATGGCGCTCCATCACGCCAACATGCTGTCACAGCTATGTATGGCTCTGCGGTCTATCTCCACTGTCCAGAGTCAACCAGTTCCACAAAAGGGACAGTCTGGCAGCTCCCTTCCAGGACCATCATGGAACATCGATTCAGGCAACTTACTTTACCTCATTTCATAAATCAGTGCAATGCTCACAAGATCACAAATATGCTGAAAGGTTTTCACATGCTGGACTGACTGCCTTGATTTCAGTATATTCTCTGTCCCCTGTCTACCTGCAGTCCAGAGAGACCCATCAAAGTTTTCCGCAATGGAACACTAAGGATTCTCCAGCTGACAGAGTTAGATGGTGGAAATTATCTGTGTGTCTTTCAGCGGCCAAATGGAGAAGACATGGAGCTCTTCCATGTATGAACAGCATAGATCACTTACATGATTCACTTATTTTTTTTTCTGCCAACCCGTTTCCATTAGCCTGCAGCACTCACCCATCCATACCTGACAGAAGTGTTTTTGCTCTATCAGGTGGAGGTGATAATGACCCCTCCTAGAATCGAACAGGTGAGGACTGCGCAGACCAGTGTCACTTATGGAGACAAATTCCAGGTAACTTTGGGCGACATCACAGTGCTTTCTCAAAATCAGATATGGGTTCAGACATTGTGCTTTTCATGATCACTTCTGCTGGTAAATTTTGTTTGTTTTGGGCAAGTGTCTTGAGTTTAAATGAATGTGCAAATTTAGTCTGAGAGATTGGGGGCATCATTCACAGAAGGACTGGCAATTACTGACCATTTTTGGTCTACTTAAGAAAGTAGAATAAGTTGTATGTAAGGGATAATGTACTGTGAGTAGGTCCAGAATCTACATAGGGTGAGACAGGATCCTGGTGGGACATGGAAGGGTGTTCTGCACCCCATAGGTATTCTAAATTCAGTTATACATTATCCAACCTTACACCTGGCTAAAGATACAACACATTAAAATAATTTCAAGATGGTTTGGTTGATTGAAGAATGATCTATTTATGCAGCTGAACTGTGTTGTGGTTTCTTTTCTTATACTGGTCAACATCTCTGTCACTCAGAACTAATTTTTCTTCCACTGCTCCTTGTTCTGCTACTTTCTGTCCTTTTAAGGTGGACTGCGTTGCAACTGGCCTTCCTGATCCAGATGTGTCGTGGAGTCTTCCAGATGGGACTTTAACAAACAACGCACTTCAATCAGATGACAGCGGTCTTCGCAACCAACGCTATGTTATTTTTGGCAATGGGACTTTACTTCTTCAGCAAATGGGCAAAAAAGATGAGGGCGACTATACTTGCTATGCCCAAAACAAACTGGGAAAGGATGAAAGAAAAGTGAGTGTCAAAGTGGGGCCCAGTGCTCCGAGAATTAGATTCAAACTACCATCCTTGCTGAAGGTTAAGTTAGGAGAATCAGCCGAGCTGAGCTGCCAGGCAACAGGAGAACCTGCACCAAGGATTGCGTGGATCTCACCCAGCAGTGGTGTTATATCACTGCCATCGGACAAATTTCAGATCATGGATAATGGGATGCTAGTTGTAAAAAAAGTATCACTGGCTGATGAAGGTAAATACTCTTGTGTGGCACGAAATATGGCAGGGGATGATGTTAAAAACATGAAGCTTGAAGTAGAAGCACAGGAACCCTTCATCAATGGGAAAACAGGGAGGACCACCACAAAGGTTTTGGCAGTTTCTTATCAAACAGTGCTTTTGGACTGCACAGTGGAAGGGAAACCCAAACCAAGAGTCTGGTGGGTTTCTCCTCATGGTCACTCACTCCCAACACCTTACCTGGGAGGTCGCTTCCAAGTCCACTTGAACGGAAGCTTGGAGCTGAGAGGAGTGAGAAAAACGGATGAAGGGAGATACACATGTCTGGCTAAGAACAATCACGGTGAAGCCTCACTTTTAGTTGAATTAGACGTCATACCACTAGCTGAGAAACCAAGTTTTGCTGTTCCTAATATTGAAATCTTACCATTAAAACAAGATGGTGCTCTGATCCTAAACTGCCCTGCTCGTGGCAAGCCTAAGCCTGAGTTTGCCTGGGTTCTGCCCAATGGGACAATTTTAATGCCCGGTGATAGACTTCAGCGTTTCACACATCACCTGGGAAATGGATCTCTACATATATCTCAAGCAACTACGAGCGACAAAGGAGTGTACCGGTGTCTTGCCAAAAATGTGGCAGGGCAAGTCGAAAAACGATATGCACTGGAAACAGGCAGGAAGCCAGTGATCAAAGGATTTACAGGTATGTTTCTGGATCTAAAACTGTGTCATACAAATGTCTCAGGGTTAGTCAAACCAAAAAATACATTGTTTTGAGACTAAAGAGAGCTTGTTTGATCTTCCAAAACAATTATTTGGATGTCACCATTAGTTAGAAGGTCCCGGAAAAGGTCTAATTTCATCAAGCGCCACAAACACAACAAAGTTTGTTACATGTTTGTCCTGATTCATATTTAGCTTCAGATTTTGCTGCCAGCCTTCCTGTTATGTAAAGTGCACATTCAAACTGCACTGATCAAACTTGTTGAAAGTACCTTGATATTGAGTAAGAATGAAGTCAGTCCATTTTACCACCTCGGGTGAATTGGTCCTGAACTCTTTGGTAATCAGTCTTTAATTCAGGCAGGCACATTCTGAGCAGGTTTTAGAGCTGCAGGACATCTGACTCTGAGTCCGTTCCTGCGTTGAGTGTCATTCAGTGTACAGGGGGTCACCAGAACTGACCCCGGCCTGATCACCTGCTGGTCAGATAAAGTTGAACCTGAATGACACCTACATTTTTTAGCAGATGGTTTGATATTTAATTGTGATGGACCAAAAAACTGTTAAGCAGAAGTGGTGAAATTTGCCTTCACAATGAAGAACCTGGTGAGGGTCTCAGGGCTGGAGTCTGTCAGAAAAGTGATCATTTATAATTACCGCTGAAGTCTTTATTCTCCAGTGTGAGGGAGTTTTCAAAGGAAACACCAAGTGCTTTATTTTCGTGCCACGCCGGCGGCGTGGTGTGAGTCAGGTCCGCCGCGGTGACAAGGCATGCCCAAGCACATTTTAGTATTTTGGTGAGCGGCGCAGCCCGATGTAAGTATACCTCCTCCCTAACTCAGCTCCTCCCAGCGGCATAAGTCGTAGAGAGGGCGTGGAATGGGTTTAACACAGCTGAGACCGGTTTTCGCCGATCAGAACAGCTCCTCTCCTCACCGTTAAATCCGCCACCAGTGAGGCATATTACAATTTTCGTGAAGTAGTCAAAGAGATCAAGCGATGTCTGAAGACAGTAATGCCACACTATGGCAACAAAAGGCACCCCCTCAACAAGTGTCACTGTAAGCGCTGCAGAGGGCATCCTGCACACTCTCTCATATGAGCACAGATGGATTTTGTGTGTGTAATGTTGGACCAACTGGTAAGACTAACATCCTTTTCCACAAATAAAGACAATCACATAAAGTTGCACATATTCAAACCTCACGTGACAAAGGTGGGTTGTGCGCACAGATCACATCATAAATTCCAAAAATGGCATTAAAATCGGAATCAGCTGGCCTGGCTCTTTCTTTCATTGATTTGGCATATGAAATAAATTTGACTCACGCAACTGAATATTATAATATCCGTATGTCGGCTTAAAGTAAAAAACTCATCTGAGCACTGAAATAAATCATCTGTTCAGTTGCCACAGCAGCAGGACAGGGAGAAGACATGGAGACATGTCCAGGACAGGAGGAGCTGCGCGAGAAATAAGAGGAAGAGGAAGAAAGAAAAGGAGGGAGATGAATTAAATATCTTGTTCACTTCATCATGTGTGTTTATTTACTAGATATTTAATTTAATTTAATGCGGTTTCAGCTGTGTTGATTCGGTCAGGTTGTGTGTCCAAACGCATTCCAAACACGCTCATCAGATCAGATCAGAATATATCTATATAGATCTAAATGTATGTGCTGACTCAGATTATTAGTTGTTGATGATTACTTATTACACTGAAATGTGCCTGACACTGTGGAAACCTGAATCAGTGACGTATGCGCACTACGGCGCCGGTCTACCAAAATACCACTAGACCAGCTATGTTCCGCCTGTGCTCAAAGCTGACCAGGTTTGAATCGGCGAGCTTTCAGCGCACTTTCTATGCCGGCGGTGGGGACGAAATTGTCACTGCACCAGCTGATTCTGTCGACACCTCCCCCTTCCCGCGCCACCACACTCAGCTTGGTGGACCTCGGTGCGCCTCAGTCCATGAAAATACCAAACTGGCTGTACGCCGGGCTCTGCCAGACGAAAATACCACTGCGCGGGGTCCGCCACCCTCCGCTGCGTCGCCCGTGGGCACGAAAATAGAGCCCCAACACTCATCACAACTCGTACATCCTGATTTGACTTGTACAGCGTGAGTAAGAAGGTTGTGTCTGACAGCTAGACTGTTATGTCAGCATCAGTCATTCACTAATCCCCCATAGAGTGTGAGTTCACTTTGTATCTTAAATCCTGGAAATAACTTTCAAACTGAATGTATTGACAGTTTTGTCTGTATTTCTCAGGGGGAATGAAGATCAACTATGGCTTAACTCTTCACTTGCCCTGCACTGTGGATGGCTGGCCGCAGGCATCAATCACATGGAGCCTACCTAATGGACTTGTTTTGGAAAAACCTCAAACCATGGGCCGGGTAACTTTCCTCTCCAATGGAACCCTTCAGCTCAGGCAGGTGTCTACCTTTGACAAGGGAACATATGTATGTCGAGCCTCAAACTCTTTTGGTTCATCAACACTATCCTACCCAGTCACAGTGATGGTTTTCCCGCCACACATCACCAACACCCTAACCTCAATCACAAGAGTCAGCAGAGGATCACCCGTGACTTTACAGTGTGTTGCCACTGGTATTCCTAAGCCTGATATTTCATGGACATTACCTGGACGCACAACCCTTGTTCCACATAACAGGTTCACAGTCCAGGGAGGGATTCACATGACAGAGGAGGGCAGCCTGGTCATACAAAACCCTGGTCTCATGAACTCTGGCATTTACAAATGCAACGCCAAAAGCGCACTTGGAACAGACTTCAAATCAACATACCTACAAGTGATCTGAGTAACAGTGTTAAGTCTAATATTAGAAAAAAAAATCAGTGTTTGAGGACTGTGGACTTCATAACATTATCTTCATGTTAATGGGAGCTTTATGATGCAGTTTTTTGTGTTATTGTTTACACCATAGTGAAAAGGTAGTGTGGTGGTTATCACTGTCCCTCCACAGCAAGAGGCTTCCTGGTTCATACCCCTGACAAGGGTCTTACTCTGTAGAGTTTACCTGCTGCCTCTGTGCATGTGTGGGCTCTCTTTGGGTATCAAGGCTTTTTCCTTCACAACTTACATGTTAGATTCATTGATGACACCTATAGGTGTGAGTGTGTAAGTGTAGGTGTGAAGGGTTTTCTGCCTCTATATGTCAGCCCTGTAATTGACTGAGGACCTGTCCAGAATATGCCCTGCCTCTCACCAAGTCACAGCCAGAAACAGCTGTAGCCCCCCTGCTTTCCCGGTCTTGACAAGTGGTAAAGATAAAGTATGTGTAATTTAAAAGAAATATACTCATGCTTTCGAATACTTCACACTACACTTCACATGACCAACTTTAAGATCATGACATTGTCTTTCTTGGGTTTCTGTTTAAAGTTTTGCTTCTGGTCTTTATGGAGTCTGACTGGGTCAACAATCTGCAATGGTCAAAATAATCTTCATAATGACAATCACACCACAAATGCAGAAAGACACAACTTCAAAAGCACTCGCAAAAGTCCAAAACAAACAGAATGGTTAAATCGGGCTGCAAATACACAAATTTACAGAGCAAAAAATACACACAGACTTCTCTGGTTTTTGTTTCTTGGAATGAAGATTGTTCAGATTGTTGATCCATGTCGACACCCTTGGGTCTTTCTCTATAAATCTATTTCTACAGCAAAAAAGTTTGTACAATGGGCTCTTTGCACTGATCCACTACCTCCTGAACTTAAGGCAGCTCCTTTATTCCTTGTCCTACATTGTTGGACTATCTGATTAATCCAGGTGTGACTGACTAGTCAGAATAATCAGTCACATTTGGATTAATCAGTTTGTTCAGTAATGTAAGACAGGAAATAAAAGAGTTGCCTTATATTCAGGAAGTGGTGGAGCTGTGCATAGAACCCATTGAATACCATACATGACACTGTGGCTGCAATAATTTAAAATAGTTCTTTTTGGGACTGATGTATCTAAATTTATCACAAGATCATAACCTGTTATCTTCAAAATCACAGTTTACGATGATTTCAGCTGTACATGTCAAATAACCAAATACTCAAAGCACAAAATAGGAACTTGATCAAGCACCGACAGTTCAAAAACAGAGATGAGAAGTGAAGTTTCATGCGAGACCATCTTTAAGCTCCTTTTGTATTTTTATTATATTTTTGTAAATGTAACCCCATTGCTGTTAATTCAGATATCCTACATCACCCCTTAACAGTGTGTATAATAAGGAACCAAATTGCTGTATGTATTTGTGTCATTTATCTGTTTTCATAAAGTTGTACCTTGTAATAGTTTGGATAGGAACTGAATGTGCTTGTTAACAGTTACAGGACACAATACAAAACAAAGGTGCCATAACAACAAGTTGGCAAATCATGTTTTTCTTTGTGTTTTTTTTCATAAGTTACCTCATTTTAATGATTCACAAACAAAAGTTATTTTCTTATTAACACTGGCAGGATGAAGAAGAATAGATGCTTTGCTTTTTTAAGCTCAGCCGTTGAGGTCTGTTTTTCACAATTACAGGGTGTTAGAATGCATATTTTTTTAATGTGCACTATGACATGAACAGTTTCGTGCCACATAATAACAATGGACATCTGCGGAGCGATGCATCTCAGGAGTAAGAAGGAAGACGTCAGCCAGTCTAAGGAGCGCACATCCAATTTTGATATGGTGCAAATGTATAAAAGTATACAGGTCTGAAACCTTATTACTATCTACTCATAAATCTTAAGTAGAGCAGTTATGAGGCCTTGTTGGTCATGTCTTTAATCCACCTGAGTTTGACAGAAAAGAAGACGACTCTGATGACTCAGAGTCCAAGATCCGCCATGACACAGATCTCAGAGATTTCAGCTGTTGTCTTATTTTGGCCACTGTTGCCAAATGTATTAGCTTTTTTATTGTACATGGTCTCATATTGTAAGAATACACAACCCCCTAGAGAAAATGCACACAAGTCATAGTTTGTCTTCTTGCATCCATGTGCATGTATGTGTAGAAACGGTTGTTATATTTCACTGATAGTTTGTCTTCACTCAAATGTCTCTCGGAGTCGAGCCTCAAGACAAACAGGCCATTCATGGAAAAGAAGGCAGCTTTGTCAGTCATGAGCGCTGGGATTGTTTGATACAGCCAGAGTCTGTGTAGATGTGTGTGTTTGTTGTGCGTGTGTGTGAGAAGGGGATCATGGGTCTCTGAGATAGAGAGTGTGTCTTTGAGGAATGAGTGCTGTGCTTATATGAGCAACTGTGATAGTGTGTTGTGTGTCTGTAAGGAACTTTGACTAAGAGGGTTAAATGTCTCTTGGTGTGTTTTTGTGATAACAGTAGGACGGGAGCAATTTGACATTTTCCTCAAAATGGAAGCATAGCAGCTCAACCACAGAGCTGAAAACAGCTCTGTTACATCAGGTAAGTACTTTTGTTTCATCTGTGAAGGAGCTGTATGTGACTGATCATCATGACAGGAAACAACAAGACTGTGAAATAGGAGGAATAACTTCTGATGGTGGTGATTCATCAACAGGCTTAGGTGTGTGAGGACCTCTGAGCTTTCATGAACATTGTGGATGGTGATCTTCTTACCCTTCCTCTTGGGAGGCTGATATCTTCTGTGGTTTAGGGAACTATCAGGCTATGTTGCTAAGAAAGCTGTTACTCCCTTCAGATGAAAACATAGCCTCTGCTGTCTGTGTGCAAATCTGCTGATTTACAGTCTCTCTGAAAGCAGCTTCGCCCACTTGCATATCTTGCTGCAATAGTGCCAACTTCCATCTCCTTATCAGTGCTTTAATCTTGACCAAGATGTGGATGGAATGAGGAAACATTTACTTTGATAATCAAATAAGTGTTTGTTTGTTTGACATAATCACAAAAGAATTAGAAATCTGCAGTGAAACGTGCTAAACCCTGTCTGTAAAAGACAGAAAGGAGTTTAATATTCAAGGAAAGTGAGACTGGAAATCTCTCCTACCTTTAAGCCAGAGACCTTGTCTCCTGTAGAACCAAAACAAAGCAGCACATGCTTATTGGAAACACTATCGGGGGTTCAGCCTTTAACATGTGACAAAACAAAGTTACTGAAAGTTTCATCTGTGTCTAAGCTGTCCTCTTCTTTAAATCCCAACCATGAGTTATTCATTATGTAGTGGATTTCTTGAAAAATTAGACTGGACGGTAAGAATTTATGTCAAGAAAATCCTCAGCTGTTCATGATGTAAATGAACGCGTTAGACCAACCCTGTCACATGTCAAATAAACACAGTTTTACAAAATACAAATCATAAACTAAACAATACAAAACAATGAAATTGAATTAGAATAAGACATTATCCAGTGGAATCCATTTAAAACACTATCCAAATAAATAGCCTATGAGGGAGTGTGATAAAACAGCTGATCACATCATCAGATTATGTGCCTGAATGCTCTCATTTACTGTGTCCTGTATTTCAGTATGTTATGACTTTACAGATGAAAAAGTCAGCGGTACGATTTCATGTTTTGGAATAAAGTCATAGCCTACTTTAACACCGTTGAAGAATAACTGTCTAAACTGATCACTTATGACATATATAGGCTGTCTCACAGCATTTTTTTTAATTCACAGCATGATGACTTCCATATTAAAATCCTGTTTTTGTTTTGAACAGGCATATTTCTCTAACATTGTATTTTTTCCATCCATGATGAACTGACTCAGCCTGCTGTGTAGTCTCAGGATGAACTGGGGTTTTGTTGCCTCTCTCACGGCCTCTCCCTTTAAGACGACACCGTGCTGAATTCAAGCATCCTTGGTATTGTTGCATCCCTGGTCTCTTTCTCTGCCTCCTGCTCTCCCCTCCCATCCATACATCCGGATCCGGCTCCTCTCTTTCTCTTTCTCCTCCGGCACCATGACTAACGACTCTCCGGAGGAGGAGATCCGGGCTGTGAGCGGCGGAGGGGCTGGAAAGGGACCCGTACGAAGAAACCGAGAGGACGACAATGTCACCATCCTAACATCCTCCATGGACCTACAACGAGCCGGCCGGGGTCGAGCAAGCAGCAGCAACGATGCCGCTCCTAGCCTGACATCCTCGGTGGATCTGAGCACCTCCTCCCTGGAGCTGAGCATCCAGACTCGGATTTTTAAGATCATCGTCATCGGGGACTCTAATGTCGGAAAGACCTGCCTCACCTTCCGCTTCACAGGAGGAAGCTTCCCCGAAAAGACTGAAGCCACCATCGGCGTGGATTTCAGGGAGAAGGCGGTGGAGATCGAGGGAGAGACCATCAAGGTAAAAGCTACAGATGCTGTTTGTCCATCATCCGTGCTGTCTCCTCACCCCCTCTCCTCCTCCCCCCTCTACTCCTCTCCTTGTTTTTATGCAGCTTCATCTCCAGGTCTGGATCACACAGGCCCTGTTCTGTCTCAGGGATAACTGGACTAAGACTAAAGTAGTGATGTTTTCTGCTAAAGAAATATAAAACTGTTTTTGTCCTCAGGAAAGCTGGCAGTGGAGTCTTGTTGATAAGCCTAAAGCTGTCTGATGATTAGCTAAATGTCAGGTGTCTCCTTCAGTGTTTTGACATTGTAGGGCCGAGAAAGAAAGGCCAGACAGTGTTTGCAGCTGATACTTCTGTGGTCTGGCTGTATTAACATATAAAAGAGCTTCGCTGATTGAATCCCTCTAAGAATGACTATAAATAGGTGTAGCCTGCCTCAGAAGAGCATGCGAGACATCCTGAGTTTGATCAAATAATCAGTAATATCAAGTTCATTGTTGGGCAGGTCTATTATTACATACCACCCAACAAATGAACTAACTGAATGAAAAAGTGACCATCTGGTCAACATTTCTCACAGCTGAATAAGAAGACATGGAAAACATAGTGGTTCATCCTGCTGTCTGCTGTTTTTGTGGTAGTAGGCCACAGCAGCAATCAAAGACTTAGAGACTGTAAAATTTGAATCTTCTCCTTTTGCACACAAACATGCATGTATTTTTCTTCAAATGTTACACTGTGATGATAAATACCACGGCACTGGAGCCTTTGTCCTGTCATGATGTAAGCTTTGGCATTTTTCACTCCCTTGGGAAGGGACAGAGAAAGAGTTGGCATGTATACTGACAGTGAGAGCATAACCAACACTGGCTATTTGAGGCCTGATTTTACAGTGAATAACAGGCCAAACTCTGAAATGTATAAACTCCATAGCAGCGTAGAGTCCCTGACAGCAATAACAGTCACAGAAACCTGGATAGAAAAAGAAATAGAAGATTTTTAAAGAATATTTATCTGTAGGGACAGTTCAGCTGTAACTCAACAGGGACATTGACGCTATTGTCTTTATCCAGTTTAAAACCAGTTTAGTCAGGAAGATCAACTGGTCAATCACTGAGCATCTGTATAACCTGAAAAAATAGGTAACTGTGAAAACAGTATCTGTCATTGGTTAAAAAAAAAAAAGGGCAGTAACTTAAACTTATGGTAAAATGGACTAGCCTTCAGTTTTACTTTAAACTTAATATGTCGTCAGTCTTACTTTTTCCAACTTAGAGACTTATTCAATGTTTTTGAGGCTTTATGTTGATGTTGGCTTTTGTTAATTACTATCAAAAGAGATCCTCCTGCAGAGCAGAGCTCTCCTGTGGCCTGGCATATCGTTGATATCTTGTTTTGGTACTGTCATCACAACCAAATCTTTATCTTCAGCTCAGTAGACTACAACCTTTCTCTGTTTGGAATCTGAATATTAAACATTGTTGCACAAAATCAGTTTTATTAGTATACAATCAATTCTTTTCTTTACCATTTTTACAGGTGCAGGTTTGGGACACAGCTGGCCAGGAGCGCTTTCGTAAGTCCATGGTAGAGCATTACTATCGTAACGTCCATGCAGTGGTCTTTGTGTATGACGTCACCAAGATGGCTTCCTTCCGAAACTTACAGACATGGATTGAGGTTGGTAACTAGCACAGTACTCTAGTACAGAGTATTTTACTTGTTGTAAAACAGACTGAAATCAATACTGATGTCTCCCATGGCCTGCTAAAGCAAAAAAGCCCCTTACTTTTATGTTATTATTAATGTCAAAAACCACAGATAGGTCAGATTTTAGAGGACTTCAGCACACTGCTAAAATTGCCTTTTTCCTGTTGTTTTTATGCCTGAGATTCCCCTTCAGTAGTGGTTTTGATAAAAGACAACAGGATGAGATGTAGGCCTGTATGTACAGACCATAGACTGTATGGACAACTTGGTTCCGCCTACCGCCTGTATACGGATTTAAAGCCAAATAGCTCTCGGTATTTCCAGGATTTTTTCTTCATTTCCTGAAACCAGCGTTGTGCAGTAGCAATACGTGCATTCCGGTGTGCAGTCGCTGAAAGTCACTGTGATGACGCTCGGCTCAAACAGCGTATCCCCCGGGAGAGCTACGCAATCCCTGAACACCCATAGGCTGTATCAGGTGTCAATCATAGAAAACTTGAACCCACTAATAACTTTTAAAAACGGAGCTTCACAGAAAAAAGAGGACTTGAGCACAAACCAGTGTTACAGTAACTACATGTCAACATCACAAGCAGGGGGGAGAAAAGTTTATATTCTGTGTAATAAATTCCTAAAGTTTGTCCACAGTCCCATAAGCTTTGCTGGCGGAGGCGGGATTTATGACCTTTACTGCAGCCCATCAACAGAGGGTGCTGTTCTCGGGGTGTCTTCACCCAGAGAGGAGGCAGACTCTGTCCATTCTTTATACAGTCTATGGTACAGACCAAATAAGCAGAGGGACAGCGGTTTGTCCACAGTACTCATCAAAATCAACTCAAAGGAGTTTTGATGACCTTACCACAAATCTATAAAGCATGTTATAAACTGAAGAGCACATCCACTGGCTGAACTTCTGAATTTCTTACATGTCTCCACTTCTGTGTACTCGCTCTGACTGAACTCAAAGACCGTTCATTGGCAGAGGGTTTTAAAAAAGTGACATTTTCATCATAGCTTTTCATATCGATTTGCATTCCTAAATGCTGAGGTTACTATCGTTTTACCTCTGCTGTGAGCGTGGTAACAAAGTCATGAATCAAAATGTTTGACTCCAAGTGGTTTCTGTGGTCGTATATGTAGAAAACAGCTTTTCAAGGAGAGCGTACTAACAGCTGCTTCTATTACAACCCCCTTTATTTCCACCATTATGTCCTCTGGTATTGTAACATGTATAACAGTCAGTATCAAGTTAGACAGTAAAGTTTTTTGTCTTGTTTAGACTGTTTCCATAGCTGTTGTTATAGTACTTTTCCATGGCATACACTTTTGTATGCTCTATCCATGAAAACATGGATGTAGTTATTTATATTAATGTAAAGCCACATTTTCTGTAAATACTATAGATAGATAATTCACCTCAGGCTTCTAAGCCTGAAGGTTATAACCTGTTCTTTGCTGATCCAAGCTTTTCCTGCAGTGAGTCGAAACAGCTGATGTAAAAGAATTTGTAATAGTAACAGTTTAGCTACTGTCTGCATTACCGTCCATATTAGCAGGTCAATTACCACTGCTGGTAAAATATAGGAAGTACATACTGTAAGGCATTGGAGACAAAACTCAAAATGTACAGTTAACTCTGTGTTAGTTGTTTTTTGTGTGTGTTGTGGTTTTCAGTTTTAACTTTCTTTCACTGCTCTGGAAGGGGATGGGAGGGCACTGATGGGTCGAGAAAAAAAAAAAGAAAAAAAGAAAAGAGTCAAACTCACTTAAACCCTCTAAGAACTGAAGATCATTATGTCTTTAAAACCAGCTCAGATTTTGACCAGTCTGAAGGTCCCGTACAGCTCCCGTCAGTGAGACTTTCACTGAGTCATGGAGTTGTTGGGATTACAGGTTCGATAGCTATGACCCAAAAAATGGACTAAAAAATAGGAGTGCTGCATGGAAGTTTCTCTCCCAGGTTACCTCTCTTCTATTTGTCTGCTTGTAAATGTCATATTGTATGCTTTTGTACAATGACAATAAAGAAACTAACTAAAATACTGATCAGCATGTGGCCATATGTGAGAATATATACTTTTAATTCTGTTGTGTTCCAGGAGTGCAATGGCCATCGAGTCTCAGCATCGGTACCACGAGTCCTAGTGGGAAACAAATGTGACCTTGTGGACCAAATACAAGTGAGTGTACTCAATCAAGAACCAAAGCATTGATTACTTATGTTTCAATCCCTTCCTGTATTAATTAGTTTGCAAAATAAAATTGTGCTTTCCCAGGTACCCTCCAACATGGCACTGAAGTTCGCTGATTCTCACAACATGCTGCTCTTTGAAACGTCAGCAAAGGACCCAAAGGAGAGTCAGAATGTTGACTCTATCTTCATGTCTCTGGCGTGCCGCCTAAAATCCCAGAAATCCTTGCTTTACAGAGACGTACAGAGAGAGGATGGGAAAGTCCAACTCACACAAGAGACTGAGACAAAGAGTAATTGTCCCTGTTGAGGAAAATGAGAAGTGTGAGCATAATGAAGGGAAAAGGAAAGGAGAAGAGACACTGTGCATGACATGGTTAAAGGCGAGAGTGTAAACCCAAACAATGAGCCCAAAACAGAGTCTTTTACACTAGGGGTCGTTTTATTGGTTTAGGAGAGGGATTAGAGGTGAACCTGACTTTAGAAGTTAATCAAAGAAGTTGGTGATGTTTGTCAAAGAGACTGTTAACCATCAATATTCTTGTCTTTAAGTACAGAGCAATTTCAAAGGTTGCGGAGGCGTTAACTCCCTACAAGTGACACTGCTGATCCACAGCTCCAAAACACCGTGGTCTTCTCTGTCCACAGTATGAATCAAAAGTGTTTTTTTAAAGTACACAGGAACATGATAAAATACAATTCTGGTCTGCACAGACTCAATGCAAACACCCGAACACAGTTTAGGTTTGAATGATTCAAGGACACACAGCAACTAGTCTTCTCTTTGTTTACTCCTGCTAAAACTGGTACCACTTTATTTGAAGGAGTATACATAAGACAGACATTACACTGTCACAATAATGTCATGACACCTGTCATTAACATGAATAAGGATTATAAAGGTTGTCATTTAGTGTTATTCAGTAAATTATGACACCTTTGGTGCTATGTTAATGACAATGCCTTCCCAAACAATGTCATTGTAGCACCAAAGGTGTCATAATTTAACAGCGTAATGTCAGTGTTGTATATACCCCTTCAAATAAAGTGTTACCCTAAAACTCCAGTTTAGTGTTTATCACAGTAAGAGGTGACAGGATTGAGACCTCAGCCTTACAGAGCTGCCCATGTGTTTGTGGAAAGAAGTCAGTCTGGCAAAACTAGAATATTATTACCATTTCAGATTATCATATTTCATACAACCAAACAAGTTGAAAGCAATTGGAAAATGGGAGTATTTGACAGGATGACTGGGACTAAATGCTGTTTTCTAGCAAGACCAATCCTTCACCAGTTTCTATTAAATCACAGTGAGAAAAGGATAAAATGCTCATGTAAGAAAGTCCAGACAAACCCAAATGACCATTGTAAGAAGACTTCCAGAAAGGAGTTGCTAAAATATCGACGACATCATGACATTTTAAGGATTTGTAGGCTCGGGGAAATGCTCTCTCCCAAAAGATAGAACTGTAATGGCGGAGGACCTTTTTTCAGCTGGCCCTAAAGCCAACAGATGCCTCTTATGCATTTTATTTATTTGGAGGAGTAGCTTGTGAAACTTCCCTTTAGTAGGGAAACACCAGAAGATTTCATGATGTAATTTCAGACTCTCACATTACCTTTTAAATTTATAGCTGTTTGACTTGAAAAAATGTGCTCTGTCACATAAATATCACTGCCCCCGGTCTCAGAGAGGACAGGGAAGACTATACAGAATCTTACAGCTGTGTGCCTGGATGAATTTGTACTGTTACACAGCCTGGGGTATGAGCTGGAGGGAGACATGTTTGAATGGAAGGAGTTCAACAGTATGAAGGACATGATGGACACAGGCTCAAAGAAATGTATAAAGCCATGTTTATTATTTACAATAAAGGAAGTGATGTTAGTCCTGCGTTCAAACAGCTTCTTGCTGGATTTAGGGTCGGGGCTCTTGATCTTAGGTAACATTGCATCAATCAACAAGTATTACTGTGATGTTGTCCTTTTGATGCACACACACGCGCGTGCGCACACACACACACACACATACACACACTTTATGCCTCTGCATTTGAATGTGGTGGCCTTGATTTAAACATTGTTACATTTGGATCTATGAATGTTTTGTTTAGTGGGCTTCTGCAGCCATGTTTCTGTTGATGAACTACCCAGTTTGCCCAGTTAAACTCCTGTCCCTGTCCAGTTCCAGTGCTACACAAAGGATTTTAGTTTTGAAACAAACATGAAATCGAATACATCCCAGTGCTTTGCCATACTAACAAGTTACATAGCTCACTAGCTCTAAGTGGCCAACCCAACCCAAAAAGCGTTGACACCTTTCAAGGACCCAGTTTTCATATGCCTACACTGCTGACCTGACCTGTTGTATCTCTTGGGCCCCTTGGTGGTCCCCAATACCCAACTGAAGAACTAAATGGGCAGTGAGAGGCTAGGCTACACATGAACATGATCGGGCCTGTGTCATGTATGTAGGTCATCTGGGCAGCTTTCATATTGTGGGGACCAAATCAGAACCTGAATCAAATGCATGTGTATTAGCGTTTTCTTTTAACCCTCCATTTAAATAAGGGCTATTCAAGTATTCAGAATCACATAGTAGATAGGGAAAAGCCTTTTTTTGTGCCAGAGGGAAATATTTGACTCACACAGAAGCTGAAACTATCTGTTTGGTCTCGATGTTGTACTGACCTAAAGCCAAGCCTGAGTCCTTGGCCTTGGTGTTCCTCCATGCTAACAGTCTGATGACCCTCAGCTCATTCCCTTCACCTGAACACTGTGCAGGAAATCTACTGAGCTTGAATCTGTTTGTGTGATATTTATTTTGATCTCATAGCGCCCTCTGTGATTTTATATTTTGGCAGCAAAATTAATCAATGTATACAGATAAATAACATTAAATCAATGTAAAACACCAGCCCACTATGATGACATTTGATTTGGATGCGAGTTTTACCTTGTCATTAACATGTATTAGTCAGCTTGAAATCATGACCCATTCCTGTTTCATCAGATCATACAATTAATGCTAATGTACAACGTGTGTGCTTTGCTTGCTTTCTACTGTTTTATTTATATCTTAGTTTTTCTTTATTTTTTTTGCAGTCTATTTGGCTATGTTCACACTGCAGGTTATGATGCACAATTCAGATTTTTTGTTAAATCCGATCTTTTTGTGCAGTCGTTGACATTACAACAACGAATGCGGCATCTAATGTGAACAGAATGCGTCCGTGAAGTGACCCGCATGCGCACAAAGCACAAATTGCTTTCCGTGCCTGTTTGTGTTGTCCAACCATGGTGACGTTTGTCGCATATTGATGATGTACAGGTCGGATGAACGCGACCTGAGCGTCCACACTGCAGTTACAATGGATACATATCCAATTTATATCCACATACAAAAGAGGCCTGGGTCAGATTTGAAAAAATCTGAATTGCACTGTTCACACTTACATGAAAAAATCAGATATGTGTCACATATGGTTAAAAAATTTGAATTGACCTGCAGTGTGAACACAGCCCTAGTGTCTTTTTGATATGCCATGTTTGCTGTAAAAGGATTTTCAAAAAAAACTTTTGTTCTGGGGCTTTTCATGGCCCTCATTTTCCAGAATAAGACAGTGGGTAGATCAGGACATGGGAAGTGATAAACCAGTAAAGGAACCAGTGGTTGGAAGCAGATCAGGGCCTCCTGCATATGGGGGGCACACTGAGACTGCTTTAGGCAAGTGATGCCCCAGAGAAATGCCTTATTCATTTGAAATTTAGTCAGGAATCTGTGCTGGTGCCTAAAAACTCTCAACATGTCATCAATACATTGGACCTGTGCATATTAGGACAGAGCAGTAGCACTACCATGTAATAAGTAAAGTTAAAAAACAGAGTACGCAAAAAACTCTATGAAACTACAATAGACAGACACGTGAATAGATGACTTCATGAATGATCTTTGACTGAGAGACACGAGTGTGCACAAAGTTCTATCGTGATCATTGTCTGAATAAGGTCGCAGTTTGAATTCAAAGTTCCCTTCAGTTTTCATTTTTTTCTTGTCCCTTCACAGCTGTTTCCAGAGTCTCTGAAAAGTGTATAACTTTAATTCCAATACACAATCTGTTGCAACTTGTGAACTCATTTTTGTCGATCACTTGATCAACTCTTAATTAAATGCCTTTCACACCATTGAGGTTGATATGGCACCACAAGTGTCAGAGGTGGATTTTTCAGGATGGTGGATTCCTGTTGACTAATTTTTATTTTTAAAAAGCAGTATACTAAATCTAGTCACAACTACAAGTTCAAATTCCAAACAGAGTAATAAACGTATTCTTTAACCAGACATACCATTGTGAACTGTGTTGTCACCATTTTATTCTAAGATCTAGGGTGACAGTTTTAGCTGAGTATACTGTTATAGATGGACTGAAATTTGGTGGTCATAGTTTTGCTCAGAACCATCTTTGCGGTATGCATCTAAATGATTATGTTGTACTGGTTAAGCCCCATCCAAAACATCTCATATGCCAGAGTTGGTGCTTTTATCTGTTTTCAGTGACTTTTGTACCCTCCATTTCATCTGGTTCCTCCTTCACATCTGAATTCATCGTTAAGTCTGTCTGTCCATCCCTGTCCCTGTCCTTCTCTTTGAGTAAAAAAGCAAACTGGGTCTGAGGCTATATACCTTGTCTTTAGGCCTGAAAAATTATTTTCTCCTCTTCATCATGACAAGGATTCAGTGAGGCCTGAATCATAATCAGATTACTTTATCTAATTGAGTCGTTATACTTCCTCTTGAAAACAAAATTGTTTACGGAGGAAAATAGAGGTACAAAATGAAATTAGGATAAATAAGAAATTATTATATTTAGTATATAGTTCAGAATACGATTAATCAAAGCTATTTACAATGTGCACTGTTTGTAAAACATTTGGAGAACATGGAGAGACAGGTCAATTTGAGGTCATCTCTAGTCAAACTGATTTAATCCAGAGAGGGTTTTCCTCTCTTGTATAAAATGTCTTATTTTGCTATATCAGCTATCGTGACTCTTTAACTGAAACCTGTGGTGGCCGAGAACTGCCCCTGCTGCAAATAAAAAAGAATACAAAAAAAAAAAAAGAAGCCCGCTGCAAATAAAGAAAGAAAAGATGCAGATAAAAAAAAAGCCACATCGGAAGTTAACGACACAAAAATTAAGTGGCGATGCAAAAAAAGTTATTTACTGCGAAAATAAAAGGATGCAAATTAAAAAAGCCACAACGGAAGTTAATGACGCAAAAAAAAAGTGCTGAGGCCAAAAAAAAAAAGTTACTTACTGCGAAATAAAAAGGATGCAAATTAAAAAAAAGGCCACAACAGACATGAGCTGCCGGGGACCAATAATGATGATGCACCGGTGTTTTACGATCTAGGCACAGAAGACGATGGCGAGAAGAGGAGCAAAGAAGTAAGTATAAAGGTTATTGTTTAATTTCGCTTCATGTGCTTTTCAATGTGTCGTTTGTTTAGGCCATGTAGCGCCTGAGTCGATATGAAGTTGAACTGGAGGATGCCGGTGTAGTGTTTGCTTCAGTTCAACTTCATATCGACTCAGGCGCTACATGGCCAGACCAAATGACACATTGAAAAGCACATGAAGCGAAATTAAACAATAACCTTTCCACCTACTGTTTTGCTCGTCTTCTCGCCATCGTCTTCTGTGCCTAGATCGTAAAACACCGGTGCATCATCATTATTGGTCCCCGGCAGCTCATGTCTGTTGTGGCCTTTTTTTAAATTTGCATCCTTTTATTTTCGCAGTACGTAACTTTTTTTTTTTCCTTCATCGCCACTTTTTTGCATTGTTAACTTTCTTTGTAGCTTTTAAAAAAAATCTGCACCATTTCTTTTTTTATTTGCAGCAGGCTTTGGTTTCTTTATTTGCATCAGTAACTTCCGTTGTGGCTTCTTTTTTTTTTTTTTTTTTTTTTTTGCATTCTTTTTTTATTTGCAGCAGTGGCGGTTCTCGGCCACCCTACGCACCAGCTCACCAAAAACTTAACCCCCTCTCTCGCCAAGCTTTGACAATTTGAAAAGCTGCAGATGTAAAACTTCCCTCTTTTACCCGTGGGGGCAGTAAAGGTCTCAGCTGAGTGAAGGTAGTCTGCAGTTGTGGTCGAAGAAGAAGGTGAAGACGTCACATGGAAGGATGCGCTCATCATCATCAGCAGCCGCTTCACTATTAAACACAATATCAACAGCAGAAGCTAATAATCACATCTGATCGATCAGACACGAAAGATTGATCTGTAGAGCAAAAACGAAAGATTCACCGAACATGCAAACGGTGAAATAAGTTCCCGGACATACAGTGTTATCGTGGCCTGTTCGTGCACTAAACTCCCGGACTGCTCTGGATCAGCTCAGTCCTCCCTGGCTGGGCTCGGGTTAGCCAGCTTGCTAGCTAGCTGATCAAATTGCTAATTGTAGTTAGCTAGCTAGCGAGCTGCGGCTACTTGCGTCATGGATGAGCTGATCGTGGAAGTGAGGGGAACAAGTGGGGCCTTCTATAAGGTAAGTTCTTGTCTTGTTGAGATGTATCCTTTTGATTGATCCACGAGTTCACATAATAAAGGTAAAGTGGCATGTTTTGCCGGACTTATCTAACAGGCTTTTCCCCAGGCCTCGGTGCTTTTGTCCAGCCTCTGCTAGGACGTCAATACCGAGAATATGTGTCTAAAGCTGGCCATAAGCTGCTGCTCTCCCCTCTCTGCTCTTTCCTTTAACGACTTTAATTCATCTCGGTGTGATAGAAATGATCAGACGGCTGGTTTGAACAGTGCTGAGCTAACACAGCTGATGTGATTGTAACGGGGTTTGATCTAGTCTTGGTAAAGTGAGTTGATTTGTGTTATTCAGAACTTTTGTGGATGAGGATTATATTTGGGATTAAAGCTAAGCATTTGGATGATGCATGCTTGAATGTGTTGAGGTCAGGTACTCTTTCACTGGAGCCTCAGAGGTTTCAGACAGGGGTGAGGTCAACAGGTGAGACAGTCAGGTGGATTACACATTTATTATTCTTATTTATATCCAAAGAAGATCATCCCAAAGTCTCAAGAGACTTGTGAATTTCTGCAGCGGGCAGGGACCACATGTCTCCTTTGTTTATTTGGTAGATATCAGTTTTCCTGTGTTGTTCTCATTATCTGTCTTTTAAAAATGCTGAAGAAGCTCCCGACTTAGTTGGTTTGAGAACATAACATTACACCATATCAAATATATTTGTCACATTTTTTCACTCTGTTGCAGTGAGATGGTTTATTTCAGCAGTCTTCAAGCTCTGTGAATTCACATTTGGTTGTGTCTCACTACACTGAAGCTTTGTACCCTGAAGGAAAATGTAGAAAACTTATATCAATATAGAAAGAAGCTTTCAGCTACAAAGCTTACTGCTTTTAGACCAAAACACCCAAAGATCATGTCAGTACTTTTTGACTCAGACTGGTGTGCATGGACAGGGCTTACCTGAGTCTATATTCATCAATGTTGATCACACTTGCTGCTGATCTTACTCACCTGCCATCAGTTTCTTTAGGTTGTACGATAAGATGATAACGGTATATATCGAAAATTAATTTCCCTCAATATCAATATACAACATGGTCAATATGCTTTTCAATAGTCGGTATCGGCCATGTTTTAGTGGACTATATGAATAGCCAATGAAAAGGGGAGTTGCTCCGGGTCCGCTCCGTGCTGAACCAATCATGTGCTAAATTAGAACCAAGTAGCAAACAAGTGCATAGTAGCAGGCGGCAGCTCCACACAACCATGGCATTTTAACACGTGAAGTTGACAGCACTGTTGATGAGGAAAAAAGAGAATGAGTGCTACCCCTGGCAGAAATGCAGATGAAGACTCAACAGGTGATAACATCGTGGACAATACTGGCACAAAAACGTTGGTGGTGTGGAGGTATTTTGTTTTTTTTTACGTCGGACATGAAGCAGAGTAATCTGCACTGCAAATTTTGTCGAGTACATGTTCTCACAAAGTGCGGGAATATCTCAAATCTTTTTCACCACATGAAGCAGTGCCACGCTGCAGAGCACGCGCAAAGCAAAAGGTTACAAACCCAAGGAGCTCATGCTGCCTGTGCAGCCGAAACAGCTGATCATTCAGTCCGCTTTCTCTAGCGCAACGCCTTACAACAAAATGTCTTAAAGACACAAAGACCTCACAGATGCAGTAGCTTATTGTACTGCAAAAGACATGCTACCAATAAGCACTGTTAATGTTCATTTTTTATTCCGTGATATGTATCGATATCGACTGATATGAAAAAAATATATTGTGATAAAAATGTTCCCATATTGCCCAGCCCTAGTTGTACCTTTCATGGCTCCAAGGTGTTTTTCATATATTTATAAAAGAAGAGAACTGAACAGCAGCAGTCTGAAACGTCAGATTAAAAGGGGCAGACAATGTTATTCTCTTTATTTGCCATTATTTAAAAAAAAAAAAAAAAACAGGACAGTAACAAAAAAACAAAACAAAACAAAACAAAACAAAAAAGTGTAGAAAACATTTAAACAGGCAAACAGCTCCTTCCTCAGCGAAGCTGTCTGTGCTCTAAAAATCCAAACAAATCAATGTTATCAAAATAATGAGATACTTTGACAGTGATATACACAGAGGAGAACAATCTCTTCTAAACTAACTCTTGGACTGGACCAAGCACATGCAAAGCACATCCACACCAGCAGAGGATGATACAGACACAGAAGACACAGCAGAGACTGAGGAGGCAGGTAATTCACATCAGCAGAGGAAGATAGACCTATGATGAGAAAACAGAGACCAACGCAATGTTCGATGGACCATCGGCTTCATTTACACCAGCAGCCAAGCAGAGGGTCCTTTATAAGAGGACATGATGAAGTAGACAACTGAATACTCATCAAGTGTTCCTTAGTAAACTAACCAAAAGACTGCTGAGCTGTGAGCTGCACCAGCTGAGGTTAATACAGACAGAGAAGGAGGCAGATAATGGTGTATGACAAATAAAACTAGTAATAATGATTATTTGACAGCCACACACAGCCTTATATTAAAGTGTAATATAACTGTTCACAATAAGAAGTAGTTTCATTGACACTGATCTTAGAAGAACATACCTGCGTTAAGGTCAGATCTGTGGAGGTGGATGACAGAGCGGACTGTTCAGGGTCTGGATCATCTCTGGCATCAGAGAAGTTTCTGGAACAGGTGGTGTTGTCTGGGTCCTGTGTAAAATATATGAACAGCTGCACTCCTGGGGACGTTTTATATAGCATGGGTACATATTACATATTTTACTCAAATGAATTTTTATATTCTGAAAAAAGTACACATAAAAACCAATAAGTCTGAAACTTGTCAAATAAAACATTGTGGCATTAAAGTAAAATAGCAAACCCCAAATGTTAAATATTGTTGGGCTGGTAATAACTCCAAGTTTATGAAAGAGGAGCTTATGTACATCACAGAAACATAAACGTCCAGCAACAGTGAACTTTGCTTCATAATAAAACCTTTAAAAACCCACTCACCCACTCCAATGAAGATCACGTTTTTCTTGTTGTCTATATGTTCAAATGGCATTTTTCTGATGCTACAGGACATATCAGAAAAGTAAATGCGAAGTTGCTTTTCTGAGTATTTTTTCATTCAAATCGATGTGAATCTCTGGCAGACCCCAACAACAGCTTCAGAGACAGTGAGATGTCATACGTCACAAATACAATCTCTGCCCCCGGAGCCCCGCTATACAGGCCACACTCTATATATAGAAGAGAAATAGAGAGGACGATCGCAGAACAAGCGTGTGTGTTAGCGGATTGAAATGCTCGTAAGAAAGCTAATTGTGATATTAACTTTCATAGTGTCCCCAAAGGCATTAGTGTCCCAGAGCTGAACAGCTCCTATGTTACCTGCTACTTCTACTACATTGACAATGTTAGGCAGCAAGCTAGCGTGAAGAGGAGTGTGCAGAGCAGTGCTGTCTCCTCCCACGACTCAGAGGTGAATTGCTAATGAGTTACTGGAGCTCTGCAGAAGAAAAGCCCTTAAAAATGACACAGGTAATGTGATTTTTGGTAAAAACTTCATAATCACAATTTAAAGACCACTGAGAACACTAAGTGGTAAAAAAAAAGAAAAAGGTTGGAGTGGGACTTTTACCTTTCACAAGCTCAGACTGATGTTTGAATATACTACAAATAATCACACAAGGCTGCAGTTAGAAAACAGAGGTGAAAGGTAACCAAGTATAAATTTACTCAGGTAACTTACCTATGATTCATCTTAAGGTATCCATATATTGCTCAAGTAATACCATTTAATATTTCAACTTCACTACTTCTCAAAGACAAAATAAACTCCACGATATTGATCACTTAATTGATCACTCATCACCACACACACCTCTCCTCTCTCCACCTGCCTGCAGCCTGATTTTCTGAACCTGTTGCTCAACGCGTTGTAGGTTCAGCGGTCCTCCATTAATCTAAGCAGAAGCTGTAACTTCTCTGTGCTCCCAAACTTTGTTCTTATTGGTCTAAGCTGCTGCTGCTGAAGGTAAAGTGAGAGCTGTTTGATGAAAGTGGCCACGCCCACACTCTACTGTTGAGGAAGAGTGGAAGGGTGTGAGGGTGTGTCTCAGTTAGCATACAGGACATAGTCTGGGCAACACAGCAGGTTGCACAATAATCGTTCAGTTTGGATTATCATTTTTTTTCTGATTGTGGGAGGTCTCAGCTAGACCACAGACAATCAATTTTTTTTCTTAATAAACTTTTAAAACTGTTTCAGCATATGCTTTCTCACTACTGAACTCCAGTATTTAACACAAGGAGTCAAATAAACCAAATCTCTGTGGTGTTAAAGCCAAGTTGTCCAAAGTACAGTCTATGAGTCATTTATGCAACAAGTGGATTTCAGTTTCTAGTAAACTTGTTTTGTTTTTTTACAATGCTGTACTGAGTTTGTAGTTTGTGACTGAATATTAAAGTCAGACTAAACCGTAAATATTATTCTGAGTTGAATTTTTTTTGTTTTGTTTTGTTTTAAACCAGTATTAGCCCGACTAAAGTTAAAAGTAAGAGTTGAAGTCACTTTTATTTAACTTGTTCGCTGAAGTTATTTAACAGAAAAAGTGCATCTATAGTAAAGCAAATACTCACATTGGCCTTGGTACTCGGTATCGGCAGATACTTGCTGATAAAAATGATTAGATCAGGATTGAGGGGGGGAAAGAAGCTGATCGGGGACACCCCTAATATTTAGTGAAATAATAGCACAGTGATAAAAGGGAGCATGACACTCTCCGTCTCTGGCTCTCAGTCAGTTTGAGCACTTCAACTCTGAGGCGTACTTCACGTATGTTGCAAAAATAAAAATCTAGCTGCTGTTAATTTTCATTGAATGAAAAGTTGCAAAGTTGAAGGAAAAAGATCAGACTTTTTGGCCTTTGAACTTTTCTGCAGTTTAAAATGTGTCTGCAACAGGAAGCATTGATACTCTTTGACAGTTAGCTTGTGTAATGTAAGGAATCAGTGGAATTGAGATGGTGGAGATTTGTGTCCCAGACGGAGAGTCCTAAAGTATCCTGGCAACACCACTTCTGTCTCAGTGGCTGATTATATGATATATTGGTGAAAGTAGCCTAAATAAAGTTTGTAGTAAAATAGTAAAGATGGGATTTTAACTGTAGATCTGTGTCCCTCTTTTTCTCTTCCTCCACAAACATAACGTTCAGTTTCTTTAAAGGGCGTTCATCAGCATTGATACTCTAAAGTAGAAAAAGAGTTTTCAGATAACATATGTTGAGAAATGATGAGAACTGCTAAACAACACAGACAGATACAGATAAGTTTATTTGTGAGAGGAAGTTTTTATTGTTGCCATTGAAGCAAATGAACCTGACACTGAGAAGGTGGTGTGAGATGTGTATTGAGGTGAGACAAGCTGGCCAACATGCCGCCAGAGGGAGTGCGGGTTTGTTTAGTTACCCTTTACACTCTGTTCCTTGGGTTCAGTTATACGCCTACCTTGGGAAGAGGGTTCCTACCCAGCCCAGCAGTGACCCTCAGTAAAAATGAAACCTGGGCCACAAACTCAATAGACTCCTAACCCCAGAAATGACTCGTATATAATTGACTTTAACTGTTGTGTATCACAGTCTGAACTACAGTGATCCGTTTGCTTCAAAAACACATTTACATTTTTCATTGATAGTTCTCTTTCATTTCCCTGAGTTAACCTTCACAAAAGAATCAACCAAGTTCAATCTGAAAACCAGAGTAGCAACATGTGAGGACACATGATATCAGCCCTCATGGAGGTCATAACTGACAAAGTAACACCTACATCACTGAATATCACTCAGGATAGGTGCTGCTGTGATTTAAACTTAAATCAGCGATTATAAAGTCAAAGTTTGGAGCAGTTCGGCCTGTGAGTCAGAGAAGCTTCTTGTTATGCAGTGAGACATCAATCTGACAAGCAGCCAGTGGTAGACCTTATGAGTATTGTGCAGAGGCTTAAGAGGATTTCTTTCTTAAAGTGACTGTTGGTTGCAAACAAACAAACAAAAAGAAGCGTGGAGTGGATTTACAATGTTATAATAAAAAAAACTAATACAAGCATATTGTGTAAAACTGTGCAAGAAAAAACCCGTTTTGGGGATTTCAGACTATGAGCAGCTGCTTTGGCTCCTTCTTGTGACTTTCATTTCCAGAAATCTATGATATTTGTCGTTGTTGATGTGTCCTTTACTTGTAAACCAAAGGTTAGGAGGGGTTGGTCATCCCTTAAAGGGATATTCCAGCATAAAATTAAGTTAGGGTGAAACACACTGTACACCCAGTTAGACACCCCCTTGAGAGATGAATGTTGCAGACTGCTTGCTTTTCTTGTTTTACCAACTTTAGTAATGACCGAATGATAGCAACACAGCGGTATATGGCTCCACGCGCACCACCTCAACCAAAAGCCACTCTATAGTTACAAATGATGCTCAGAACATCACCTAACTTCATCAACAGTACATATAGGGTCCCAGCCATAGTACTAGCCAGCAAACATTTTTTTTAGCTTTGCCTGGTTTCTCTAGCAAAGAGACTAAACACAGCTCACCCACTCTCCTCCAGCAGCTGCTTGTTTGTAGGGGAGATCACGGAGTGCAGCAGATCATTTATGATTACTTCATGGAAATGCAATCAGACCAAGATGCTAAGGCAGAAGAACTACTACTGTGTCTGCAGTGCACATACAGTACATGATACACAAGAACTCTGATTGTATTTCCATGAAGTAATAATCCCAAGTGTTCTTCCTTGAGCTGCGAAACTCTGCTGCACTCGGTGATCGACTCGTCAGAGCATTTAATCCAAAGGAAACTTTGCCAATCTTAATTTGTGAATTGCTGGTTGTTTAACAGTGTGGGTCAAGGGCAATCACTTCTAGGTCAGAGGCATTAGTCAAAGGTCTGAGGGTATCGCAGAAGAATCTTCAAGACTATTTGGTAAATCAATTAGGGGTTTGACAGTAGTCAAATGGACATTTCACCTTTTGCTGCCAGTAAGTGGAGCTGTTTTGTGCAGATGTGTTGATAGGCTGAGTAAAACTGGTTGGAGATTTCAAAATTGAACTTTGCCATTAAAACGATAATGATATATATCGAAAATTATTCTCCCTCAATATCAATATAAAACATGGTCGATATGCTTTTATAATAGTCAGCATTCTGCCATGTTTTGGAAGATTATATGAATAGCCAATGAAAAGGGGTGTTGATCCGAGTCCGCTTCCCACTGAACCAATCATGTGTCAACAACACTGGCACGAAAACATTGGTGGTGGGGAGGTATTTTGGTTTTTTGAGGTCGGATGTAAGGCAGACTAATATGCACTAGAAATTATGTCGAGTACATGTTCCTGCAAAGTCAGGGAATACCTCAGATCTTTTTCACCACCTGAAGCAGTGCCACGCAGCAGAGCACGTGCAATGCAAAAGGTTACAAACCCCAAGCGGTTCGCTTTCTCTAGCACAATGCTTTACGACAAAATGAAGAGACAAAAAGACCTCACAGATGCAGTAACTTATTGTATTGCAGAAGACATGCTACTAGGCCTGGACGATATAGAAAAAAAGCATATCGATAAAAAATAAATCATATTGATCGATATCGATAATTATCGATATAATTATTATAATTATTTAACATACACTCACCGGCCACTTTATTAGGTACACCTGTCCAACTGCTCGTTAACACTTAATTTCTAATCAGCCAATCACATGGCGGCAACTTAGTGCATTTAGGCATGTAGACATGGTCAAGACAGTCTCCTGCAGTTCAAACCGAGCATCAGTATGGGGAAGAAAGGTGATTTGAGTGACTTTGAACGTGGCATGGTTGTTGGTGCCAGAAGGGCTGGTCTGAGTATTTCAGAAACTGCTGATCTACTGGGATTTTCACGCACAACCATCTCTAGGGTTTACAGAGAATGGTCCGAAAAAGAAAAAATATCCAGTGAGCGGCAGTTCTGTGGGCGGAAATGCCTTGTTGATGCCAGAGGTCAGAGGAGAATGGCCAGACTGGTTCGAGCTGATAGAAAGGCAACAGTGACTCAAATAACCACCCGTTACAACCAAGGTAGGCAGAAGAGCATCTCTGAACGCACAGTACGTCAAACTTTGAGGCAGATGGGCTACAGCAGCAGAAGACCACGCCGGGTGCCACTCCTTTCAGCTAAGAACAGGAAACTGAGGCTACAATCTGCACAAGCGCATCGAAATTGGACAATAGAAGATTGGAAAAACGTTGCCTGGTCTGATGAGTCTCGATTTCTGCTGCGACATTCGGATGGTAGGGTCAGAATTTGGCGTCAACAACATGAAAGCATGGATCCATCCTGCCTTGTATCAACGGTTCAGGCTGGTGGTGGTGGTGTCATGGTGTGGGGAATATTTTCTTGGCACTCTTTGGGCCCCTTGGTACCAATTGAGCATCGTTGCAATGCCACAGCCTACCTGAGTATTGTTGCTGACCATGTCCATCCCTTTATGACCACAATGTACCCAACTTCTGATGGCTACTTTCAGCAGGATAATGCGCCATGTCATAAAGCTGGAATCATCTCAGACTGGTTTCTTGAACATGACAATGAGTTCACTGTACTCAAATGGCCTCCACAGTCACCAGATCTCAATCCAATAGAGCATCTTTGGGATGTGGTGGAATGGGAGATTCACATCATGGATGTGCAGCCGACAAATCTGCGGCAACTGTGTGATGCCATCATGTCAATATGGACTAAGCTCTCTGAGGAATGCTTCCAGCACCTTGTTGAATCTATGCCACGAAGAATTGAGGCAGTTCTGAAGGCAAAAGGGGGTCCAACCCGTCACTAGCATGGTGTACCGTATAAAGTGGCCGGTGAGTGTATATTTTAATTGCAGCCCTGGATGTTTTATGCTATTGCTTAATGACCTTCTTTTAATAGAGAACACACAAGCACTGAATTCAAATTCAAACCTTTATTCAACCACCTTTTCTTTTTTAACAACTGAAAGTTTTTTAAAAAAGAACTAAAAAAAAAAAAGAAATCAACTTAAGTGGCCTGAGTGACGTCAGTAAATACTGACAAACATAAAGACTAAAGTGACCAGAAAATCTGATAAATAAATATTTAAATAGTCTTTTGATGAAAATAAACAAAACAAACAAATATATAAATAAACAGAATAGCTTTAGGTGGGAATAGCATACTACCAGTTTTAACTGTGTGGGAAACTGCCCACAGCCTGGTGTCTGAACACTGAAATATTTCTCCCGGGGTCGGGAGATTTATTTATTTTTATTATCATGTGATTGACTCAATACACAAACTAAGCACGAGAAGCAGGACTTATCCACGCCTGTGTTGTGTCGTAGAATGCACCCCTGCCGAATGCACCCCCTGCTAGTAGCCATGATCCAAATACTCGCGTCTTTGTAAAATATGAGCTCATTTTCTTCCACTTTAAGAAGCTAATGAGTGGACGGGATGCAGGGGTGCATTCTACGGCCCAACACCGGAACGTAATTCCTCCGCACCCTTCTCAGCTTTTCAACCCCTGACCCGTTTTCATGCCTGAAGCGCTGTGTTTGAGAAATACTTGCGGCCGGGCACTTCATATCGCGGGTCGAGAGTGGCTAGAAGCTGGTCGAAGCCAGGCTTTTCAACGGTAGTTATTGGCAGTATGTCCCTCGCTATGGAGCATGTTACTGCATGGGTGATGTCCTTATGCCGCTCGGACGCTTTGTCGTATTTTGGCAAGAAACGAAGTCCAGTTTGGTCTGCTTCACATGCTTTGTGCTGGTGCTGGCAGCGGTTCCAGAGGATTCCTCCTCCGACGACGACGTGGAGCCGCGGCGCGGCCGACTCAGCTCGTACTCCTGCGGGTGCGATCGGTTTAGATGGTAAAACAAGTTGGTTGTGTTACCAGACTTGGTTTTTTCTCTGCAAATTTTGCAAACGACCGCTGTTCGCTTTTTGTCAGACTTCTAAAAACCAAAACATTGCCATGCTGGTGAACTACTGAAACCTTTTTTCGGGACAATGTCCTCCGCTTCTCCTTGCTGTATCATTTTTTCTAATACACGTGCTGTCTGTTGTGGTTTGATAGGGGCTGGGCTTGGTGCCGTAGCGTACCTGGGTCTGCGTTTGTGATTGGTTGGGAGGAAGTAATGACTGTAGTAAAGGCTACATGATAGGCTATGATGAAAAAGAAAGGGAAACTGTGTTTTTCTATCGAACTTTTTATCGACCCGTTTTTTTTCTATCGCACCACACGTCTATCGATCGATATATATTGTTATCGAATTATCGTCCAGCACTACATGCTACCAATAAGAACTTTAAAATTTCATTTTTTATATTGTGATATAAATCGATATCGACTGATATGAAAAAAACATATCGTGATAAACATTTTCCCATATTGCCCTAGGGGCTAGTATGGTGTGTAGTAGTGAACAGGGATGGATAACATAACAGTGTTTCAATATGGATATTCTTTGCTGAATGAAGTTATCAATTTTAATATATTGTCACAAAATATGTGCAGATATAGAAAAAAACAAACTCAGATAACCTCTGCACATATCCCATACCAGTGCGTTCACCAGTAAACACTGACACATTTTAAATTTGCCAACATAGAAACTGATAGGACTCATTGATGACGTATGATTAAAAGAGTATTATTTCGCCGATTTATACATCATAAGTATTTTAATATCAAAAAACAAACGTTTTATTCGGGATTCATTTAGTTTCACTTTACAGAGGAGCATGCCCCTCTGTCTGTGTCTGTATCTCTGTCTGCATGGTTGTGTCTGTACCCATGTCTGTGTGTGCCTGTCAGTCGTCCAGCTGTTTGTTCTGCACATCCTCTCCAGTGTTCCTGTCCTCCCTCATATTCCTTTTCTGCCTGTCTTTTGAACCTGAACTGAGAGTACTTCCTGTTGGTGCTCTCACTGCGGCCTCAGTCTTTAAGTGGGTGGAGAGATGATGAGTGGTCTCTTATTAGAGGCTTGGAGGATGAGAGGAAGCTGCAGTTCAAAGATGTTTGTATCAGTAAATGTTGAAGCTGTCTGTTTCATTCCTTTATTCATAAAGGTCTGTATGGGGTGAAATGAAAACTATCATGCTGACTGTGCAGACATAATGTTCCCTCTTTTGTTTTTTTTTTCCCCATTTTTTCTGAAGGAGCCTGTAATGACAGTCACCACTGTTTCTGCAGCAGAATGCTGTTAATCTTGTCTTTGCTGTAGAAATGGACTGTGTAGATTGGACTGTGTTTGAGTGATGCTCTCTGTAAAGCACTCAGAGCATTTCTACATGACATTTCTCACTCATTCACACCACATCCATACACTGATGGTAGAGGTTGCTATGTGAAGTATCAGTATTACCTAATCACGGTTTCCCCTAGGATTTTTTCAAGCTGTGGTGGTGGGCTGCATGGGAGGCGCACAGCCGCGCTATGTCGTGCCACTGCTGCTTCGCTGGCGGCAGCGAAATTGTTTTATATCATGACAAATAAGAATTTTTATGAATAACATTTATTTATTTTTTGCCAGTCTTGAACAAAAACAACAACGTTTCTACCATTTCAACCATTCTACCATTTCTACTGGCAAAGTTTGCATCCTGTCTGAGAGCACTTCATTTATCTTGATTTTTTTAAAAACAATTTAAGGGCTCTCTCATATGGGAACTCGGCAAGAGGTGGCCCATTTATGGTCATTATGAGGCATGCTGCCAGATGGTCTCCCTGCAGCCTGTTCCTCAGGTCTTTCTTCACCTACACAAAAATATTATAATAAAAAAAGTGAGATATGGGAAATTAAGACAAACAAGCCATCTCCAACATGAATTGTAAAGTTGACCAAATATCTTACTCTGTTCATTGCAGAGAAATCTCTGATGGGCATTGTCAACGCAATGGCCGACAGCTGGTTCAAGCAAGGGTACAGCAGTCGCCATTCATCAGTCTGTGATGCCATCTTTGACATCTTCCTGCCCTGCGTCTCCAGCTCTCTCTCCTCCACTCACAGTCTCAACTTGTGCCTGATTCAGTTGTTAAAAATGTTATCTCAACATTAAGATACAACTGTTGCCATAAACATTTGGTTATTTCTACTCCTCAGAACGTGAGGGCTAAATACCTCCAGTACATGAGGGCACCTTGGAACATGAGGGCTAATTAAATATGTCGCAACGTGACGGTTCACATCACCACAACAATAAGCGTCCTTTTGTTACCTGACCCTCGTCTTAGGGAATTTTTCTCTTTTGTGTGAAATACTTTAAAATATTCATCTGAAATCGCAACCAGTGACGAGTCAGGGCAACAAGCTGGTATTAAGCTAGGTCGAGATGATTCACACGGGACAAACACGCCATAAAGTAATTAAACGTTACTTTCGGTAGCAATGTCAAAACTAAGTTCGTTTTCACAGGCTTAAACAAGAAATATATGAATTAACTTGAAATACCTTTCTCTTAAGCTCCCTCTGCTTTTCTTTCTTTTTTGGCGGCGGTGGGATGGAATGGGGGGTTCGCGAGTGCTAATTGCAATCTGCTCCGAGGCAGGTGCGAGCTTGCAGACAGGAGATTCCTTGTAGAGATTTACATGTAGGGGAAACCCTGTTAATCCAATTTTGGGATTGAGGGTCTTGCTCACACATGCACAGGACTTGCACAGTAGGACAATGACAGACATTTTTTCTGGCTCGTATAAGTTTGAAGTAGAGAAACGGTGAAAGCCAAACCACTTATCCCACTGATGGATTTTCCACCAGTCCATGGAACACAGGGGATCTAATGTGCATGGTGGTCTGAACGCATCACTGACCAACTGTGATCTGATGCACCACTAATGTACCGTATTTAAATGACATGACTGACATAGACAAGTCTATGTCAGTTAGAGATCCTGAATACCCATTTTGAGAAATTGCCAAGGTTACTCTGAGACTTGGAGTAAGACCCACACAGTAACTCTCTGTTACTGTGTGGGTCTAAATATAAGACACCCTCCACCCCACCCAAGAAAACAAATGTATGTGAAATTAATGGTACAGAAAGACATTAAATTAAACCGATAAAGTCTTGAAATATATTACCCAGTGATTTTATGACATTATGATATCTATGTATAGATATTGGTCTATTGTGCGAGTCTGCTCTTCAAGTTATTTCAGTATTTGTTCCCAAATGACTTTAATGTTCAACTTATCTGTAGTCAGTGGTTTATACCCCTACACAGCACATGGACAGCTCTCCAAGGGTGCAGAATGACAAACAAGCTCATCTTTATCAAACAGCAGTTTGATAAAGTTCAGATTTGACTCGAGACAGCTCACTCTAGTCATTGAACAAACACTACAGAGATCCTGGAGGATCTTTTCTCCGATTACCTTCAGATGATGTGTCAGGTGCTGCAGGCTCCAGGCACACAGGGCAGGAGCAATGAAAAATTATCAGTTCAATAATATTATATTATAATATTTTAATAAAACAAATGTACTAGATGGTAGGGCTGGGAATCACCAGTGGCCCCACGATATGATACTATTACGATACTTGAGCCACAATACGATATTATTATGATTTTTAACATTTTCTAATACAAAGAGTATTGCAATATATTCCAATTTGTACATTTTTTCAACTGTTAAGCTGATTAGCATTTGTCTTTCCCTAATGTTTGTCTTATTTAAGCTGTATTTTATTTTCTTGTAGCACATCTTGCAAACCTTTTATATATCTGTTGCAGTGACTTTCTCCTGCTTTATGATGTCACCTCTGCTAACCTCACTGGACAAACAGTTGATTTAAATTTTTCCATTAACATAGACTTGACTTCAAATTAATAATTGATTTGAAAGATCAATACTTGGTAAATGAGACGATACGATATATCACCAGACAAAATGTCGCAGTACTATGCTGTATGGATTTTTTCATCCACCCCTTTTAAATGGTCAGGCTGTAAAAAATCTACCTGAACAGCCCGCCCAAGTAAAAAAGGATAATACCCCCCTTTAAACATTTTAGTCGTGTTTATTGGCTGGTCAGGCCTTTGTACAAAGACGGTCGGTGGTCAGACAGAAGTCACCTGGTCTATTGGTCTCCCAGAATAAGGAAACTTGTTGTCTCACCTATTGATCTGTCATCTTATCAGACTACTGCAACCTTTCGTCCAGCCTCTGTCCCTCCTTCTCCTCGTGTCATTTGCACGTCCTTCTTGCATTACTTGACATACATGGACACCGAGTGTGTGTTCCCGAAGATGGGTAGAGCCAAACAGCTCAAGCCCAGAAAAGCAGAAAAGGCTGACATGATTGGTGCCGATTGTTGCTAACTACTCGGGGTCTGGATCATTAGCATAGTGACTTTTTTACACTGATGCAAATATGAAGCTATGTTGACTGTTTTTTAAGTTATATTGTTGTCGGTCTGACCTTGCTGTTTTGACTCTTTGTAGGCCTTTGTGAAGGACGTTCAAGAGGGATCGGTCACTGTGGCATTTGAAAACAAGTGAGTGACGCACATACACAACAAACTACAAGATTCTGAAATGTGACCTTAGGCTGATACTGATTTTGTAACCATGTGTGTGTTTCTTTGTCACAGTTGGCAGCCAGAACGTCAGATTCCTTTCCAGGATGTGCGTTTTCCTCCTCCAACAGGGTTCTGCAAGGAGATAAATGAGTGTGACGAGGTTGAGGTGAGACTGACTTCATATTTGAGACGAGAGCCAGAAAACCAGTTAAATGACAAACATGGCCACCGAAAAAATTCAGTCTATGTAAAGGACTAAAAAGTGATTTGGCACATACGGGTACAGTTAAAGAATAACATTTTATTCAAAAAGTGAAACCTATTTATTCTAGATTTATCACACACAAAGTCAAACATTTTATGACTTACGTTGTTTGAATCTTGATGATGGCGACTCACAGCTCACAAAAGATTCCCTATTTGAGAACAAAAGATTTATTACAGAACTCTGACCCAGAAAAATGATTTTTTTTAACAGACACATTCAGGAAAAATGAGGTTCATTTATGCATTCAGCACTTGTTTAGGACTCCTTTTGCACAATTACTTCTGAGATCCTCTACAAGGTTCAGGTCAGGCTAGTTAGCTGGACAGTCAAGCAAAGTCGTACCACAGTCGACAATCCAGTTTCTGGTGATTCTGGCGCTGTAGGCAGGTGCCAGAAGAGGAAATCTGTGTCTCTACAAATCATCTCAGCAGGTGAGGCCATGAAGGTCTCTGAAATCTCCTGATAGACTTTAGGCTGTCCTGACTCTGGACCCGATCAAACAAAAAATCAAAAATATGCAGCCACATTTTGATTTATTTATTTTTTTAACCTAACCCGTACCCTAACCCATGTTCGGGTTAAAGTTGACATTAAAAGAAAACTTTGGAAATTATTGATCTTGGTCTCAATTTTTTTTTTTTAACATTGCAAAACACTGGCATTTTAACAGGGGTGTGGGGATTTAAATATCTACTGTATATAGTTACCTAGGTATAGATATGGACATATATAGAGGGATAGACACACAGATATAGAGGGTTTAAATTCAGATATTGTAACACCAGTGTTTTGGTCACGGTTTCCAAGCTCTGTATAATGTCCTCTTTGTGTGTCTGTGTTGACAGGTATATTCCAGAGCAAACGACAAGGAGCCGTGTGGATGGTGGCTGGCCAAGGTTCGCATGGTCAAAGGGGAGGTAGGGTCCAGACTGTTTTCCCTATCATTTTTTAAAGTATTTTACTCACTCATGAAAACTTAAACATTTGGATTCTCTGGAATATGGAACTGGGTGTCAGGATTTATATCACACCTGCCCCCCTGCTGAGTACAGGTGAACAGTACTACTAAGCAAACAAGAGCAGCCTGACCACAAACCATCTTTGAGGACAGTGCAGAGAGAAGAGAGGGCCCCACTACTAGGGCATGGGCAATATGGCCTCAAATCAATACCACGATATATTGAGCAGTTCACCTCGATAACGATAAATGGACGATAACTACTTCACAAGCTGCTCACCACCGCCCACATTTACTTTGTCTACTTCAGCCGCTACAACTTTTAAATCGTCCTCTGTCTCCTCACCTGTTTTTCCCTCTTTGTTACGGACTGGATGGGGTGGAGTCACGTCTCATGTCTTAAAGGGACATGAGACCATAGCCTACCCACACACATCAAAAAACGACTTTTATTTATTTACTTTTTGACACCAAATATATTGACATGGGCAAAATGACGTTGGTTATTGTCATAAATGTCTGTATCGGTAAATTTTCGGTTTATTGCCCAGCCCTACCCACTACTGTTGCATTGTGATACATGATATTGTTGTCCATGTTTTCCTGCGACCAAATGACTGAGAAGTTGTTCTTGTCTCTGTGTTTGTAGTTCTATGTAATAGAGTATGCAGCATGTGACGCTACATTAAATGAGATTGTGACACTGGAGCGGTTACGGCCAGTCAACCCAAATAAACCATCCAACAAAAGCACCTTCATCAAGATCAGGCTTGATGTCCCAGAGGATTTACGGCAAATGTAAGTTTTTCACATGGATAACAGATACATCTTACTAAAGTCCACTATTTATCAGATGAATTCCAGCACTTCTAGTGTTTAGAATCTGAGCGTGTCCAAAAAAGAAGTAAAGGCACTGGCTGTGTAGAGATCTATTTTACAGGAGCAGCAGAGCTAATGTCCAGTGCTGAGTGTAAGTGTAGAGAAATTCCAGCACAGAGGAGAGAGACCTAAAACCTTCGCCCTCGAGCCTTAGTAGCTTTTAATGTTGGTGTCAGGACACTGAAAATGAGAACCTGTGAGAAACTTCTGTCAGAAACACCCAGTGTCTGTTAAAAAGTGACAAAATAACCGGAGAACAGAAGCTGCTGAATTTACTAACTGATACAGCATGCATGTTTGATAACCTGTCCATACAGGAACCAAACTCTTACCACACAAATATTTAGGCGAGCTCTCTTGTTTTTTTTTTTAAATCTCACAAGTAATACTTTATTTTCCCTTCAGTAAATTTATGTGGCTACACAAGTACCTTTTTTTTTTCTATTTTGGTGATATTAGACAGAACAAGACAAGTGAGTGAACATACAACTACAAAATCGTACAAACAGGTTAACGCCCAATAATTTATTAACAACATTCATTTAACATTGTTCAGCGTGTTTGATCATGTTAGGGTGTGTTTGCGTGCGTGTGTGCACACTTGTACATAATGTATGTATATAGAAAAGTAAAATTAAAGAAACAAGGAGAAAAGGAAAAAAAAAAAAAAGGCGATCATTTTTACATGCATGTCTGTGCTGGCATGGAAAAAGGCCAGTGAGTTTGTCACCGAAAAAAATGGAACAGTATTTTACTTGCTCTACAAAAACGATCCATCCGGACATGCGCCTGTTCTTAGAAATGACTTGTGTTACTCTGTGTTGACAGGTGCTCCAAGGAATCAGCGCACAAAGACTTCAAAAAGGCTGTGGGAGCGTTCAGTGTCACCTACGACTCTGAGAAAAAGCAGCTAGTCATATTGGTGTGTATCAAAGTTTTAAGAACCGGCTCCATGTCTGGCAGGGACACCCTGTATGAGACTGTAACCTCTACTAGTGACAATACCCGAGTCAGATTGTTTGTGTGGTTAAAGCTGTTGTTGTTGTTTTTTCCACAGTCGGTGAATGAGGTCACAACAAAGAGGGCCACCATGTTGAGTGACATGCACTTTAGGAGTCTTCGCACCAAACTCTCTCTTATGCTTCGAAATGAGGAGGCCAGCAGACAACTGGAGGTAGAGACACACTTATTAAGGGGACTTGGAGACAGCTGCATGGGTGTAAATTGGTCATTTTGCAGTTGAATATCATTGAATATATAAAAGAGACTCACTCAGGAGGCATTAACACCTCCTTCTCTCTTAATGGTGATGATAACATTGTTTACGTTCTTCTCTCATTCCCTCTATGTTGTGTCTTTTAGAGCTCCAGACAGCTGGCGTCCCGGTTTCATGAACAGTTTGTGGTTAGGGATGACCTGATGGGTCTGGCGATCGGGACTCATGGGGCCAATATTCAGCAAGCGAGAAAGGTCCCTGGAGTTACTAACATAGACCTGGATGAGGAAACGTGCACCTTTCACATATATGGAGAGGTTCAATGGCCATACCAATACTAATGTCCCTATGTAGAATAGGATTGCCTTGAGTGCAGTGTTCCTTACATTCCACGTATGCTGTATTTCTGTATGGTTGACTTTGAAACTTTTGCCACTCATATTTTCCCACATACATCTCAAACCTGAAAGTAACTCAAATGTAACAGACTGTTGTTTGTCTAAGGACCAAGATGCTGTCCGTATGGCGAGGAGCTTTCTGGAGTTCTCTGAGGATGTCATCAAAGTCCCCCGGAACTTAGTAGGTGAGACTGTCACTCCACACGGGCACTGAGGGTTTTCATTTCATCCATGAAAGAGTTGATCAGACTATCACAGCAGACAGTGAGTGAGTTTTTTGCCTTAACAGGGAAGGTGATCGGCAAAAACGGGAAACTGATCCAGGAAGTAGTCGACAAATCTGGAGTCGTGCGTGTTCGCATTGAACCTGAGAGCGACAAAAAGCCCCTGGCAGCAACAGCAGCGGACGAGGTCAGTGTGTAGTGTTGTAATTTAATGTTACATTTCATGTTTGATTGAATTGATAATTCATTATTATTATTATTATTTCTAGTTAAAAGAATTGATTGACAAATTGCATGATTTACACTACAGATGGATTGATTTAATTGAACAGTTTAGTATTGCATTTCATGACGTTGCTAAGAGAACTGCATTTCCCATGCTCCTTTGCTACCGGATGTTAGAGAGAAATGCCGGGAAATTTTGTGATCGGAAAACGTGAGCCTTCTAGTAGTTCAGACTACAGAGCGATAGCTGAGTGAATGTTTATTTTCTCCATCTGCACCTTTATTTGTAACCCCTTTTTTTCTTATATAAATGGCAAGCAACTGCACTTGATTTCCGTCGTCCTGTCGATCCTTTTGAACATTGTTAATCTATATGTAGGAAAGACTGAAGACTCTTCTCACAGAAGCCCCATAGTCTTGATTTACAGACCTCTGACCTGAAAGTGAAGATCGTCAAAAAAGTGACAATGATTTAAGATTAACCTCAGTGTCTCTTACAGGGCATGGTGCCATTTGTATTTGTGGGGACTAAGGAGAGCATCTCCAATGCTACTGTTCTGCTGGACTATCACCTCAACTACCTTAAAGTGAGTATCATCAGGACTTCTGAACCTTTGACCATTCATACCAGGGTATTAAGGGGTTACAGCTCTCCATTGCAGTAACAGGTTCCCATCAGTTTCAGAGATGTGATGATTGGCAGGAACAACATGCTCCCATGCGTTACATTCCTCCCTTTATCAGCTCTCTTTATGCGTGTCTGCCCGTGAGTCCAGGCGCTGAAATGACCCTAAAAGTGCAAAGAGACTATTATATAAAAGGTTTACAGCAAACAAGACTCAAGGGTCAAATCTGATTGATTCATTTCAAAGTCTGAGTTTTCACTGTCACAAACTGGCTTTATTTGAACCGAGCAAGGTCTGTTAGGTCTAACTGACCATGCCACTTTAACCCAGTTTAGACCAGTGTACAGTCTGTGGTTGGGACCAGGTAATGTCTTTTCCCTGGATGAATGAGAACCTACTCAGAGAACTCTGGCCTGTCAGCAGCCACGTTTACATGTGGAAAATTTCTTGATCCGATTAAAATTTGAGGGATCGGATAATCTGAATCCAGTTCAGATTATCCGTTTTTAAAAATGATGCGCAAAATCAAATGATGCGATCATGACGTGCGTTTACATGCACCATGCTTTGTTCAGATTAGAAGGATTTGGACATGCACAGAGTTGTCAAACCAACAAACGCGGTAGTGACTCACTTCATCCAGTTCAGGATTTTCCTCCTTGTTAAATGATGTCACTAGATGGCGCTCTTGCTTACTTATTTTACTGTTCTGTCAAAGGTTGCACTGTGCGTGCAGATGTGATGCTTTTGATCGAGCATTTTTATTCCGATTATTTGTGCCCATGTAAACACAGCTAGTGATGTCCTTAAATCTAAAATGCCTAATGAAAAAACCATGAAGAGGACACTGAACCATGAACTGTCAAATGCGTTGTTGCATTCCCAGTTAAGACCCGTCAGTGTTGTGATGACTCACGTTCTCACAATAAGTCACGTTCACTCCAGATCTTACATACATTTTTTCACTCCAAATCTTACATCAGTGTTTTCGGGAGCAATAGGTCTCCAGTAATAGACACTAAGAATAAGAACCGTTTACCTGGACTTGTCTCCATCTTTGGACACAAATATGACAGAACAGGGAAGAGAGAGATTCCTCAGACAGGCAGAGCTGCCATGTCTCTGCCTCCTGAGCATGTGTTCTCTGCCGCAGGGCTCATTGTGACCTGGTTGTGCTCTGTACTGAGGTGCCAGGTCAAGAAAAAAGGGGGCACATGCCATTTGGTGTGCACAGATTTCAAATCTTTACTCACTGTTTCTGAACTGTAGTCCTACTAAAACCAGGGGAATGCAGACTGAAAGAAGGTCTACCTGTAAAGTAATCTTTCCCATCCTTTATGTCTGCATCTACATGATGAATTGAACTGCAAAGCCGGTAATTAAGTTCATTATTTTATCAACAGTATGACAGCATCACTGTGACTTTTTACTCCTTCCAGGAGGTGGATCAGCTTCGTCTGGAGCGCCTTCAGATTGACGAGCAACTCAGGCAGATAGGGGGTGGAGGAGGAGGGACAGGGCCGAGGAACCCCAAAGACAAAGCCTTCGTGTTTGATAATGGCGTTGGGTTGGGGATTAGTAGAGGAGCAGGAGGAGGAGGCAAGCCTTACGCTGGAGGACGAGGAGGCAGAGGGCGAAGAGGCGGCGGCGCAGCTTTCACCTCAGGTCTGGTAAAATAACATCTGGATAAAAAACAGAACATCTGAAATTTACATGAAATTCTCTTCTGCTGTGTGTTCTGTAAACATTCATATGTAGAAAAAAGTGATATTTTTAGAGAGGTTTGGTTTATTTGTAAAAATGTGACGTGTCTGTTTTTTAATTCCTAAAAATGAATTGAGTTTGTACAAAGAGTTGTATCACAGGTTAATGTTGAAACCAAATTTTTTTGAATTTATTCGACTTCAAGGCACCAACTCAGAAGCATCAAATGCATCAGAGACAGAGTCGGACCACAGAGAGGAGCTCAGTGATTGGTCCATGGCCCCAACCGAGGAGCTGATGACAGGAGGCGGGACCCTGCCCAGACGAACAGATGGGAGGAAGAGAGCGGGAGGTGGAGGGCCTCGTGGCAGAGGAGGGAGAGGGAGAGGAGGAGGGGGTTACAAAGGTTGGTAGTGATTTCCATTTGCAGTCACTGGTTCACTTGGAGCAGGCATGGAGTCTATAGACTGAGACTCAGGACTTGTCTGTCTTCCTGTAGGTGAAGACATGCAGTGGAGTGACCCAAGACCTCGTCATGCAAGAGACCCGAAGCCAAGAGTTCAGGAAGAAACACTACAGGTAACACAAACACAGAGACAGACGTGGCTTTGTGTGGAAAGAAAGCAGATCCTGCTTATATTTGCTTATATCTGGGGACCAGAACTTCAGACTTTCCTATTCCACTGCAGTCCCGGAACTGTCTGGAAAGACCCTTTTAAAGATCCTGAAGTGAAGGCGAATTATCCCCAAAATAAGACACACTGGAAAAGGAAATTCGTTATCACATCAGTTTTGCTCCATTAAGAGGGAGAGCTGAACAGTAATCTTGTGTAAAGCTAAATAGAGCCGACAGATAACCTGAAAGAATATGAATTTGAACCTTTCTGATAGTTGATTGTTTTTGTCCGTGAAATTTGTCCAAATGTTTCTGATTCTAGATGTTGACCCCTAAGGATATGCTGTGTTGACAGTCTCTAGTTTCTGAACTGTGGCAGGTCCAAACGAAAAACTTTGTGGATCCTTAAGTTTGCACACAAGTGACAATATATCTGTATTAACATGTTTTATTAAACGTTTCTTTGATTTACAAACTTCTTGAGCTCAAACTCAGGTGTACTGCAGCTCCATATCGCCCATGTTATTAAACGACACCGGGTTTCCTTTTGCTGGAGCCCTTTCACGCCTGTGTGGGAGATATAAAGCTGACAGCAGCAGAACAAGCAGCCTGTGTGTACGGCCGTACGACCCATGCTGCAGCTATCTTACGTCCGCTGTGGAGAAAACTACATGATGCTCTTGCATTAGCAAACTTTAAACAATATGATGCAAATGAGGTTATTTTTTCATGGATTAGTCAATTTAAAGGGATATTCCGGCATAAATTTGAGTTAGGGTCAAACACCTGTTGGGGGAGCCTTGACGAGTCGATCCCTGAGTACAGCAGAGTTTTGCAGCTCAAGGAAGAACATTTATGATTATTACTTCATGGAAATGCAATCATGTAATAATTATAAATTTTCAGCTGCACTCTGTCATCCACTCGTTAGGGCTCCCCCACAAACAAGGGGCTGCTGGAGGAGAGTGGGTGAGTTGTGTTTGGTCTCTTTGCTAAAGAAATCAGGCAAAACTAAAAAGATGTTTGATGGCTAGTGCTATAGCTGGGACTCTATATGTACTGTTGATGAAGTTAGGTGCTATTCTGAGCATTATTTGTGGCTGTAGAGTGGCTTTTGGGATGAGGTTGGCCAAGGAGAGGTAGACATCGTTACTAAAGTTGGTATAACTAAAGAAGCAAGCGGTCTGCGACATTCGTCTCTCGAGGGGTTGTCTAACTCGGTGTTCCGGTGTGTTTGACCCTAACTTAATTTTATGCCGGAATATCCCTTTAACAGCTGTTATATTTGTCTCTACTGATGGGATTAATATATTTACCTTGTGAACTGTCAAACATTGTCTTTTGCCTGTTTTTCCGACTAAATCTGTGAAATTAGTTTCAGCTCACACGCCTGTGCAGCTGAAGCAGACAAGGTTTTGTTAAACACGATGAACAGACTGATTTGTTGACCTACAACAACAACAACAGGAAATCATGATGTGCTTTGTCTCCCTCAGATCTGTGTGGATGGTAACAATGAGCGCAGTGTGCAGCACTCCTCAGGAGGGCGAGGTCAACCCTCGACCCAGGGTGGCATCAGTGGCTGCGGCGATGGTCCTTCTCGCCATCACCATCAGAGACCCATCAGAGACCGAGGCATGAAGAAAGAGAAACACGACGCCCCTCCACTGGTGAACGGGGTGTCGTAGAAGCATCATTTGAGGACCTTCTCACTTAGACATGCACTCAGAAAACCACACACCTGATTCTGTCATAAACCATAGTAGAGTGTAGTCTCTCTCTCTCTCTCTCTCTCTCTCTCTCTCTCTTTTTCTTTCTTTGTTTTTGTCAAACACACCAGTACACATACTTCATCAGCCTGGTTTGCCATTGTGAAGTTGAAGACCAGAGTTGACCTGTTACCTGCTGGTCTCCTCTCGGGTTCTGAGTGTCCTGTTCTGGTATTTTCTCCACTGGTGTGGTTTCTACCTTGCTTCTCTGGAGTGACGGTTAAAAAAAAAAGAGCACTTTTTGTACAAAAGGAAAATAAACGGAGTGGACTTACAGCACATCACTCACAGAGACATGACCCTGAATATGTTCCTCTAACCTTCAAATACAAATGTGTTTTTGTTTTATATTACTGCCATGTATGGATTTTCTCACGGTAGGGCATGAAATAAATCAAACCAATTGAGGACGTCTTAGTCTTTCAGGAAAACCTGAATTAAGGTCTTTTAAACCAGGATCAAACTGTCTCCCCCTCCTCCAGCTCAGTCTGTATATTTGCTGCCTCACGTGGCAGTGCTCATTTAGTCACCTGTAGGTGATGTTCCAGAGAGACTCCACTGATTAACTCCAGAAGACTGTTTCTCAGCAGGTGTAGATGTGTTTGGTGTCGCTCAGATCATTTAGATCATTTCTGTTCATGGGAAACACAGAGAGGTGTCTGCTGACAGCACTTAGCTTTTCATTCTTCTTTAATAGTTACTCAAGGCCTGACCACCATGTAGCAAATTGAACAAATAAAATTTCCTTTTGGGATCAACAAAGTAGAGAGCGAGTGAAATGTCCTTGGTTCAGAGCCAAAGACTCACAGAGCTTTGAGAAGACAATGGAAGTATAAAAGTATTTCATTCGTGACATTATCTCTGTTTACTGTGGAGATGATACAGAACCCTTAGTCTTCCCAACAGTGGGTCCAATGGGCCCACAAGATGCATCAATGGAAAACATAAATCTGAGGCACTTTGATGCAACTATTGAACAGCCAAGGTACTGTCTCTGTGGAGCCTTTTACAGACGGGAAAGTATCAGTGAGCTTCCCTTTACAATTACAAACTTAGCGTGTGGCCGGCCCACCAAGACAGCAGTTCTTGTAAATTCACAGCAAAGCTAAATTTGAGCTGTTCAGGAGCACAGTTTGGTCCACAGACTACAACTTCAGCCTTGACTGACCTGGAACATCTCCTGGGGGTCTGGGTGAACAGGAAGCAGCTCCATGTCATCACTGTGTGGACAAGCAGAAGATGAACTGTAAAATACTGTCAGGGAGGTTTTACTGGGGATTGTACAGAAACAGAAACACTTTTTTTTTTTTTTTTTTTTAAATAATTTCTTTGATTTGTTGATGTAGTTTGTACCCCAGGCTTCATTTAGAGTCAACCTTCAAACTTTGATGATCATGTTTGGACATAGGTTTGCATAAAAAGGACTGTTTGATGGATGAGTGTTGTTGTTACAATAAAAACTGTGGATTGGCTTTAATAATCATGTGAATCCTGCAAAATATAATGAGCCTAGAGGTGGATGAAAAATGAAGGTACTGTGAATTTTCAAACTCAGACTAAACTGTATATTTACTTTGGTGTACAGTCTCAGTGAACTGCTGTGATACCGTCTTTGGACACAGCAGCCCTTTGGAAAGGCCCGCCAGAACCGACAGCCTGACTGATGAGGGTGTTTCATAGTTGGCTTGGGTAGATAGCTGGACTTCCTTTGGCTGGTTGTATTTACATGATGTTAAACAGTTTAATGAGCACAGAAACTTTTGTTTCCTGACAAAGATGAGGATCAGTCAGGGTAAAGGTAGCAGCCTCATCAATGTAGTCAGACAATTACATGAGTGTTTCTTTTGCATGTGGAAACTTCTGTGCTCCACAGTGTGTTTGTTTGGACTGAGAGGGACTTGGTTTTTGTAGGAGAAACACTTCACTGAGGTTAACCTTTGCAAAATAAAAGTGGTCCAAATTGTTATTCCTGATGGTTTCCAACTTGCCCCGGCTTACCATGGAAAAGGACCCTGAAGTCAACCTTTGTGCATTAATCAGTTCTTTTTATTTCTCCCTCTGTTTTGTAAATGCCACACAGAAAGAGGGCAAACACTGACATTAAACAACTGAGGTCAGACTTCCAGACAGTAACTCTTCAGGTGTTATAATTGTTAACAGTTTTCTATTTCATGTATGCTCAGATAGATTCATGAAGGTATCATCCCCCCAAAATAGTAGAGATTCAGTTCAAGTGGTATGAAGGGCTTTTACGACCATTTGCAGTTGGATCTGTCCTCAATTATACTCTTACGTTTTAACTCTCTGCAGTAGTTAAGTGAGAGGGGCAAATGTGGAGAGTCTTTGAGAAATGTTTGAGGGAGATTGACAGTAATGTTGGTTAAACATAAAAAAAATGAAAAAGCATCATCTCGTCTCCTGGCTCCAACAGCAGAGTCCAGAGTCAAACTCAGAGTACCAACGAAGGGGCCATCTTAGAATTTTTTATTTTTTATTTTCAAATAAAAATGTAACATCAGACTGATTAATCTTGTTATTGTACAATAAGAAGTCGCATTTAAAAAAGCCACTTTGCCCCATCTTCAACAGACTGTAAAAGACGAAGACATGATTCAGGAAAAACCTGTAAAGATTTTTCCATCAAGCTCTCAGAGAAACTCAAAAAGAAATTGTAATGTGCCTTTAGTTTTGGTTAACATGGTAATTCAGATATGAAAATGTCTAGTGGTATGAACAAGAATGGATAACAATGCGGGTTGTTGATTGACCATTTTTTCAGACTAGTTTGTATTTACTGAAACGTAAAGGACTACGACTCTACTGACCCACCTGCCCCCTAATCCTCCATCAGCTGATGTTCTGCCCTTTATCGTGTCCACAGATGGAAAACATCGACCAGTATCTGATGACCAGGATGATTTCTCCAGTCACTTGTTATCATGTAACATCAGCTTTATCCTGGGACTTTTTTAAACTGTAAATTCAGGACCCCAAAATCAAAGCTTGCCACTCCCTCCTCAGAAGCCACTCTTATGCTCCAGTATGCTTGAGGTAGCAAACTGGTTTGTTCTGGTCTGACTAAACTCCCTTCTGGATTTCAGAGGTCCATAACTGATTAGAGGCAGTGGACCAAGTGAGGTCTCTACCTTACAATGTTGTACCTTTTCAGCCTTGCAGTGCATGTTAGTATTTATCATTTTTTTCAGGACATGTTTGATAGTTTCTGACAGATATTTTCAAATCTGTGTGTTTTTTTTTCCATTTCTTCTTGACCTGAGTTCAGCAAAAGGTTCCAGTGACAGTTACTTTTTATAGTCACTGACTTAAACTTTGGTAAATCGCTGAGGGCAATTTCTTGTAACTTTTGAATCATGTCACTTTTGTTCCTTGGCTGACTTTTATTTCTAAGATGTATTATTTGTGTTGGTTTCTTGCCCAGCAGCCTGTTTGGGTCTTGCCCTCACATTTGCTGTTCACACTATAGTCATCTGCATTTTGTTAGCAGTCAGCACTCTCTGCAGTGTATGGAGGAATGGCTGCAGTGAGAGTGAGCGCATTAGTTTCTGTGAAGCAGTGACAGAGCAGAGCTGCTTTTGAAGAAAGGATGGCATACTGTAAATAGTGATTTTACTGTTTGTCTAACAAAAGATTTGTATTCTTGTTTCTTATGTGCTCTTCTCTTTCTTTGCTGTTTCTTATGGGTTAAAAACTAGAAGTATTGATATAGACTAAATGATGTGTAAAAAATAAATATTCTCTATGATAGTTTGGACACGTATACAGCTGTGATTCATAACCCATCGGTGATTGTGCAGCAGAAGCAGGAGGAGTTGATTTTAAAAAATCCACCTTAAAATGAAGTTCATGAGTGAAAAACCACTCTGACATGTCCGATCTCCCCAGGGTCAGGGTTTCAGCAGGTTTCTCCTGTCTTAGTGCGAACAGTTACAGACATGAGTAACCTAGTTTGGTATAAGGACTAGAAGCCCACAGACAGAGGGACTGCTGGTTATCTAACAGGTTATTTATTGATTTCATGTTTTTTTTTCCTAAATATCCACAGAAATCAAAAACATGTTTTTAAGAACTTTTTACATTTCTGTAACAGACTCAGTAAGAGACCTCCACAAGCAGACACAGGCCCTTTTTTGAACCTCTGACACAGCCAGACTGGATGTTTTTCTCCATCTTTTTGTAGATCATGAGACGCCAGCAGGCTTGTAGCTAAGTTTCACAGATTTGAGGACAGTATCATCAAGTCTTCTCACTCTTTATTTTCAGATGAAATAATTCTCTTTACCCTTATTAGAAAACAAACAAACACACAAACAAAAAATGATCCTTCTCCACAGTGAATCAGCTTATAAAAAATACATCTACACTTAAATAAAGTAAAAAACAGTTTTAAGGTGGATTTTCACTCTAGTTTTTACTCACCATAAATAATTACAGATTAGTTTTCCCAGACATTTCCTTATTCTATACTACACAGCTCCACAGAGCTCAAACATTTATAATGGCTTCATTGTGTCACAGCAGTGATAATAAATACGGCTGCCCTTCAACATGCTTGTTGGTGTTTATGACTGTACCTCTGAACACCAGGTGTGTTAAACTGGACAGCTGCTTCACCAGTTTGATGACTTTGTAATGTTTTCACTTGAGTTAGAGGGAAGCTAGCTAACACTGATGCTAACACTGATGCTGGGCCAAGGTTCAATATAATAATGATGACAATTACCAAAAGATAAGCAGCTGGGAAGGCTGAAACACTTAAACCCTGCATGGTCCTGTACCAAAGACTCTCCTGGCAGCTGTTTCTCTGTTGCTCATGAAAAGAGTCTCCGTAGATGGTGGAGAAGATCATGGCAGAAACCTATTTGGTATGAAGCACTTCGAAACACTTAAAATGTGCTCAGCAAGGATGTATACTATCATCATTTCTATTGGGGGCTTGTTGACCAATAGGAGCTCTAAAAAACAAAGTTTTAAGACCAGCTGCATGAACACATTTGTTACCCCGAGCCTCGCTATGTTGGTTTGGTTCACTGAAGAGGACTTTTGAGTCTTGGTCCTGAGGTGCAGCTTTGTCACCCTGGTTTGTTTGTTGTTTTGGTTTGACTCAATCCTAAATGCAGCCCACTGTCATTTGTTCATTCAAATGACATGTTGGTACTTAAGAAACACCATCAAAACTCTATTAAGAGTCCTGTTGCTTTGGAAGATGCTGTTAACTTACATGAAACTTGTCAAACTAACACTGAGGACTTCTTCTGTGTATGATGTTTAATGATGTTCTCCTGCTGTGAAAGGAGAGCAAAGAAAGATGTGAGACATCTTTCTAAAGAGCATGAAAAAAGTGACAGTTTATCACATTTTTGACTCATTCATGAGAACTGAATTCAGATCCTTTCAAGTTTCATTTCAGTTGACAGTATTAATAACCGTGATGGAAATGTTTGCTGCTTTTCTCATGAAATGCTGTTTCATGATGTATTTGGGGGTTTATGTAGCAAACGTTGGAAACTGCTTCATCTCTATGAACTTTGGTGTACAGAGAACACACTTATAATCCAGTGGGGCTGCAGTAGAAAAACTTAAGTTATTTAATATGTATTTTGCCTGAAAAATAGTCATTCTTTGATTAAAGTTATCTGTTACTACAACCACAACTACTACAGCATTGTAGTTTTGATTTACAGGTCAGCACAGCAACGTTTCCAGCTGAGAGGAGTTCAACAACCAACTTCTTCCACAGACCTGATTTTGACTCCAGATGCTTTTTGAGCATAAAGAAACACAATGACACAACAACACTGGTGAAAAATGTGATAAACTTCAAATATAAGATAAGCAGAAGAAATACACCCATGAACTGCGAACTGTTGAGAAAGTTGAAGACTGGAAAACTGTTTTAGATGACAGTACATGAAGCCATCCAAAGCTAATTAGACTCCACGGTGAAGATACTCAGCAGTAGAGTGCCATAAAGTGAAGGTACCTGCAGGTACTGCGACCGGGGCTGTAAAAAAGTGGGCACTTTGTGTACTCTTGGGCATTTCCATTTCCTTTCGTTTATATTACCAGTATTTACTACGTTTGGGTTGATATTTCTGGTTATAGTGCAATATATTTTGTATGCAAGCAGTTTCAATAAATAAAGGTTGATCTTCCGTTATGAGCTCTGGCTGATGTATGCATTTCACAAGCTCAGGACACCATTAAAGTGCAGTAAAGTCTGGCTGTTGTCATGGATACCAAAGGCTCACACTGCTCTCACTGATCTATCCTCACACCTGGATGTATAAGGCTTAATCCCTGGCATTTCTGATGGCTTTACCAAATCATCCCCAGGGATTAATGAAGCATCAGGTGAGGGTAATCTAGACGTGTACATGTAAACATGTTCCCACCTTTACTGAACTTGCTGATGAAAAACCCAGATTAGCAGTTAATTTCAAAGAAGAGGGCCCTGAGGAGTAATGGTTGAGTCGCTGTCTCTCTCAGTCCACCATCAGCTGCTGTGTTCAGCACGGCTCCATCTGCAGATAACGTGGTGTGCTTGTGATGAGATGCAGTATGTGCAAACAAGCACAGGTGTGTCCGTGTGTTTGGACTGGACTGGGTTATGCAGAGGTAGCAAGTATGTGCGGCCACAGAGCCCATATACTAATACATACTAAACACTATCATTGGGGGTTACACCAGTTATATTTTGTAACAGCATACACAGCTGGTTTTAACGTGGCTGTGGTCATTTATCTGTAACTGTATGATGTTCTGAGTTTTTTCTTTCAGGTCCTTTTGGATCTTCTCCTGACAAGGAGACATTTCAATACAATTAAAACTACACTTTAACTGGAAACATAAATAAGATTAGCCGAAGATTTCAGAACTTGGTGTGAGTAACTCAGCATCAGGCTGTAAGAGTAACACTGGGTCAGACTGTCTGACTAGGGAATAGGGAGAAGGTCTCTGTTAGTTTATGATGGTTACTGGGTTTGACTGCTGGAGTTAGGGTTAGATTTGGCTCCTGGAAAATGATGTGTGTGAGTCAGGGTCTTTTTCAGGATCTGGCCCAAGGCCCTCAGACCTGCAGATACTCCTAAAGGTCTGCCATGAGAGCTCAGTCCTGAGGGACTATTTACCAATCTTTTTCTGCAGAGTTGCACGCGCCTGCACTGTTTCTGTAAGCATTAATCTTTCCTAAACTGCTGATAGGTGGGCTTTACAAACACACACACTGACCCCCTTTTGAGTGAGTTCTCAGTAAACTACTTCTAAGTCCACATAGGTTCAAGTGAACTAGTTTACATCCATACTTCTTTGTTTTTCAAATCTTTTTAAACTATGTTCAGTGTCCAAAACAAAGGTTCTAGTTCATGTGCATCTATGCTCTCTCACTTGTGTCTCTGAGCAGTGGTGGATCTGGATCTGTTTTACTAAAAAGGGGCAGGCTGGGGCTGTTTGTGGAGTCTGAGGGACAAAAGAGGAAAAAAAAGCAGTTTTCAAGCAGAAACTTTCTCCTCTTTATTTAGATGATAGTTGTAAAGCAGGTACGGAGGATGAATTCCTAGTTATTATATCATAAATGTAAAAGAAAAATAAAAAATGAAAATGAGGTTTGGCTAAGACTAGAGCTAGGACCAAGACATTCAGTCCCCTAAAGATGGTCTCCTCTGTCCTGATGATGGGAGGTAATGGAGTAAGTACTGTACTGAGAGGACAGGTGCTGTAGCAGATTCAGCTGGACTCCATCTGCAGTTCCTGAGCAGGTAAGAAAGGAAACAGTCCATGTGCTTTGATTTGAATTTTATTCATTTGTTTAAACCAGCTCTGCTGTAGAGTCTTCATAAAAAAATAATGTCCTGCAGAGCTCCTCTATGAAGATACAACATAATAATGAATCATGTGCGCATGATGCCATCAGACATTGTTGATTGTTTCCCTTTATAGGTCTAGATGTCCATCTTCCCTTTGTGCCAATCCCGGTTCATTAGTCCACTTGTCTTTTATTATAACCACATCTTCCTTTTCGTCCCTGCCCTGAGGTAGAGGAGCTGCAGCCTCATCCTGGTCTGGAGATTCACAGTCTGGGGAGAAAAAAAAAAAGACAAAAAAAGTCAGCAAAAAAGCAAAGACAGCAAAAAAGGAGCATATGAAAATTCAAACTCACATAAGGTATTCTGGCCATCTTTCTCTGGAGGCCACTGTGGTCAGAGCTGCTGTAGATGTTGTTATCCTGACCAGGGTCATCTGCTAACATGTACAACTCTCCAGCATGGACATCAGAAATATTGACCTAGATATATAAAGGACATATATTTTATCTCTGATTCTGACGAAAAATGCCTCGAACATTAACTGAACATAGATTCATAGGTCTCTCACATGGATGCAGCTCAACCTGATCCAACCAGACAGCTCACAAAAGAAGGAAAAGACTTTGTGTGACACACCAACCTGAAATGTATTAGGGTTGAATCCCAGCCACAGAGTGTACCTGTAGTCCCAGGAACGCAGGGAGTAGCCCATAATTTTTATATCTTGAAGATCTGGAAGATCAGAGTTCACCTGGAAGAAGAATAAGAGTCAGCTAACATGGCTCACCGCTGTTTCAAAACAACAGCTCCAAAGACTCTCCTTGTTTCACTCTCTTCTTTTCAAGGTAAATACTTTCAGGACACACATGATTCCTGTGTCACCTCTTCAATAAACCAGATAATCCAGAACCCCAGGCAGACTGGGGAGAATCTATGAGGAACCCTGAAGAGTGTTTACAACAGTTTTAACCTGCAGCTCTCAACTCGATTAGTTATTTTAGATCTCCCCTACTTATGATGGCCCTGGGACAATCCAGGACACAATTCACCGCCACCCTCTAACACCAGGTACAGGTAATCAAACAAACCAGAATTCGAGGTGGAAACAAGTGTTGTCCTGGTACAGAGCCCTGAGTGACAGCAGAGGCCGGTATGCCTCAGCTGGTTGAGCAGGTGCTCTTCTTACATATTCTACAGCCCTCATTGCATTAATGGATTTCTGATCCCAACATAATTTGTTGCATCTCATTCTCCTCTCTCTCTCTCTCTCTCCTCATTTTCTGTCTCTCTCTATCCAAACTATGTCCCCCAAAATGTAGACAGCGTGTTAAAGCTTGTGGTGAAACCTGTGGTGTGTCAGCTGGCCGTGGGTACTGGCTGAACGATATAGCTTCCTCATCCTCTCCTCTCTCTCTGTGTCGGAAGGTATAGGCGAGGTTGTCTCCCTCTGTACACAAGTCCCTCTAGAAGCAAAAACAGACCAAAACAAAAGAATGTATGTTAAGAGTCCATATTGTTGTTCCTAACTCTCAATATCTCTGGTTTGGCTACCTACACTGGGACCAACACTACAGAGATGGTGAAAATAATCTGTTCAAGTTTAACCACAACAAGATTATATGAGTTAGAACCAACATTTATACAATTTTCAATAAAACAAAAATGAAACAGAAGACCTTCAAGTTATTGTCTCTGTATTCGTCTAACAACGTTGATTTAGCATACAGCCCACTGAACTGGGAGGCCCAAGGCATCATTACGAGAAGTGGTGCACACTGGCGTTTTTTGTCTGAACAATAATCTCAACAAATACATTGTGGTTACATCTGTGAGATTTTGGCTGTTAAATCTAAGACCAGTCAATGTTTATGTGTCTGAAAACACTGGCAGCAAACAGTATGCGACCTGCTGCCTTTAACCAAACACATTGAGAAAACAAAACAAAACAACACAAAAAACCTTTCTACCAATTTTGAGACTAAATCAAGTCCACAAATATAAAACTTTAACTGAAAGCAAAGAGTAAAATACATTTGTCAGTCTTTCATACCTGGAAAGAAACATCCGGACAAGGTTCAGGTGCTCTCAAGCCAGCCAGGTAGGATGTAGTGGGAAAAACATCCACCAACTCCACCACATTTCTGATCACTTTTTTCGCTAGAACAGAGAGGAGTCAGTGATGCTTACAGTTTTTTGAACAGTGAAAATGGTCACGGGCAAATATCATAGTACATCCTCATATAAACAGGATTCTTCATTGGAATTTAATGGCAGTGAGGCAGCATGCTCTACATGTGTACACGTATGAAATTCATACAGTATGTATACATGTAATTTAAAGTTATTTTCTGAGTATCTATGATGAAGTTGACAGACAGACTGATAGATTGAGAGAGAAGGGGGCGGGTCTTACTTTTAAAGTTGAACTTAGATTGGCTGAAGACATCAATAAAGGGAAAGGTTGGCTCCCCCAGCCACTCACGTATGGTCGTGATGCCAGGAACATAGTATACAAGAGGGACACGTGTAGTCACATCAAAGTTTGAATATTTCGCCCATTCACCATGTTCCCCCAAAGACCAACCTGAAGTTTGATTTTTAAAAAAAAAACAGATTTAGAAAGTTTTTTGGTCAGTAGATATCAATGAAAGGGTGAGTGTGTGAACACATCACTGCTATGCAGTGGTAAAGAAATGAAAAATGTACCTATAACTGTATTTTCAATAGAAACATTTCTAAGTTGTGAACACTCTAAACCTTTGTAAAGAACTCTTTGTGTCACTAACCATGATCTGAAGTAAACACCACCATTGTTGTGTCTGCCAACCTCAGCTCATCCAGAGTACTAAGCAGCCGTCCCACTTGAGCGTCCATGTAAGACACCGCGGCATAATAATGCTGGCGGATACGCAGCTTTAAGACATGGTTAAGAATATTATTTCTTCTGTTGAGTTGAGGAGCAAGTAAGCCAAATCAGACTTTAAACAACCGTAACGAGACTACCTTTCATACCTGGAATTCTGTGGGTATTGGACCATAGGGGAAGCTTATGTTTAGTTTTTGAACATCATCTCTCTTTCTCACATCCAACCAAGGATTGTAGGCTACAGATGGAAGGAGTCGAGGGACTTGTGGATCAGGGGCTAAGGTCATTTGGTCTAGAGGATACAGACTTAAGAATTCCTGAAAAACAAGTCACAAACAGGGTCACTCAACCAGGTTACAAATCTAAATCAAAAGGCAGATGTGCATTATTGTGATCCTCAGTTGTTAAGTTGGTTTGAAGTCAGTAATTATGTGAAAATGCAGCAGGCAATCCTGTTGCCCTTGACTTCTCTCTGTTTGCTTTAGTTCCCAAAAATCATAATGAACTTGGTGACAGAACCTTCCTTTATCAGGAACTGAGAGCACAGCGAGTTTCAGATTTTTTAGGACTTGGATTTCTTTGACCAACAAGCTCTAAAGGTGATCTCAGAGGTTTGTGGCATACTGCTCGTGAGCTTTTTAGGAACAGCACTTCTGATTAAGATTACTTCATACAAGGTGGTGGAGTGAGGTCACATTTTGTGTACAAAGCGTGCTCACACGAAGCTGGCTTGACCTGTTCCCATCCTCATCTTGGATTTTGGAGGGATTGAGTGATGTCAGTAATGAACTGAAGATAATGAGGCGGCTAAGGAAAGATGTATCAGTCACATCATTTTAGACCTAAAATCTGTGAACCTCCAACTTTCAAGTTCAAACAAACATACTGAGTTTACACTCAAGCTGAAACAGGACAGTCTCAAGTGTTAATACAAGCTCAGTCACAACATATGTGTGAGATGTTATTAATGCACCACTATTTCCATTCTGTTAAACCAGCTAATACGCTCTTAAATCAATAAATATTTTCTGAAACTCGTTTATTTTAGGCTTGTGGGAGATTGCAGAGATGATGGATGCCTCACTTGCATTGATACCCTCATGCATTTATATGCTCTATCTGATCATTAATTATCCTCCTCCTGCCATTACAGGTGTCAGATTTCCTCCTCATTATTGCCTTCACGTCCTGCTGTTTTCTCTGTACTGCTGTGTCAATGTGATGTGGCCTTTGGGTGACAGTTCAAAAAAAAAAAAAAAAAAAAAAAAAAAGGTGCTTTACTGCATTGTGCTTTCAAGCCTGCATGACCAACATTACCATGCAAACAGACCACCAAATCAAGGCAGGTTTAAAGGAAGCGTACCTGGGCATGGGCTCATCAACACATGCTTCCAAAACTGGGCACAGTTTCTCTAGGAGTGCACAGCATCAGTCAGTTTGGCTTCTACTGCCCTCTGTTGGCTTTGTTTTGCACTGCACCATAGGGTGTAAGTCTCAAATCTGTTCTCACAGGACTTGCTGCCCTAGGACAGCATGATGATACTGTATATTGCTGTATTGATAACTTGAGCACAGCTCTAGTAATGTGAATTTTGGGGATACTATCACCCTGCACCTTTTAAATGATATTTTGTGGTTATTTTGTTTATAGTCATCAGCAATAAAACTTTCCCAGCTCTAATTTCTGACAGTATGAAATAACTAATGTGTGTGTTTAGAGTCAAGAAATACAGAAGGTATACTGGTTCAAATATTAAGATGTTTACCTGTGGTATCCTGAAAGGGATGTGTGGTTTGTGAAAGCCCACAGCTAAAAAGAAAGGGTCCTTGGTGTTGGCTCTGCTTTTCAGTAACCTCACGGCTTCATCTGTGCTCTCCAGGTCAGGCAGGGTTCCCCCGGGCTGTTCCGTCACATTCACTGCACACAGTAAGTTGGTGTGGAGTTTGCCATCTTTTCCTTTGCATACCTGTGAACAAAGTTTTTAAATATCCATACCTAACACATTCACTGAAACAGAGAGAAAGCCACCTGACACCAGGTAAAGTTTTCTTTAAATTCACTGTAGAACTACTGATTGGTTAACCTTTTCCCCTGAATCTCAACAGGCATGATAACATATCTAGAGTACTTCAGATCCCTGAACGTGAGGACCACAGTCTATGGTTAGGACAGACAATGGAACACCAATTTTACAAACAAACAATCTCAAACAGCCCGTCTGATAAAAGAAGCAGCAAACTTCAGAGGAGGAAATAAATGACAGTTTATTTCTGTATGCCACAGAATCTGCTGTGTTAATTTAGTATTTTGTCATGATCCTATGCTGTACCACATGTACACTTCAAATAAGATTGAGAGACTGCTGAAATTAAAATTTAATACTTCACAAATGTTGCATGGGCCAAGTCTGTGGTTGGTATGCCAGTTTGAATGATAATTAGTTTGGTGGTAGTAAGGTTTTTCTGTGAACAAGTATGATGCACATACTGGTTTTCAGGAGCCCTGTAGAGTCCAGATCATATCTGGCTTATATAAACTAACTATTAGAGTCAAAAAGCCATTGTGCTTGTTTTGCTTTACTGTGGTACATTGGTTTGTTTCATTTTCTTATTGTGTCACTTTTGCAATGTGTACTTTTTTAACTAGAGTGTCAGATGCATAAGTGATTGCGTACTGAAAACATATGAAAAATTGCATACCTTTTCTTTTTCGTATCTGAAAGAGGCTGGGTGGAAGGCTGGAGTGGACCAGCTGTATGGGTAGTCATCAGTGTGGTTAGAGGCGATACCTTGAAGAAAAAGCGACACCTTTACTATGCAGTTAGACAGAAGAAAACAAAAAGGAAGACTTTCAACATGTAGGCAAGGAATCCTGCAGAATTGGCTCTCCTTAAACTCAGTATTAACCACTGTGTCACATTTTAGTTCTTGCCTCCCCTCCAGAGTCATGCATTCAGCATGGTACAGCATTTGTTTGGTGTGCCCTGCATTATCCCCCTATAAGATTCTGTTGATAATAATGTCCATGGTTATGGACCTTACCTGGGTGAAATACCTTGCCTACAGACATGGTGAAGTAGCCCTTAGATTTAAAGTACTGTGGGATGGTTGTGTAGTTTCCAGAGTGAGCTCTCCAGTAGGAGTTGAAGTCGTAGAGCCTGGTCGTGTCGGGTCTGCGACTAGTCAACATAGAGATACGGCTGGGAGCACACACAGCTTGCTGAAACACAGGAGTACATGATTGAACGAGGTTAATGATCCTGAAGGTCTCACAGCCAAATTGTCTGTAATAGAAACTCCGGGATCAGCATCCACCAGCGGACTGACCTGAGCGTATGCATTGAGAAAAACTTGACTTTTGGATGCTAGCTGGTCAATGTTGGGGGATTTTACCACGGGGTCCCCATAGCAGCCCAAAGACGTCCGTAAGTCATCTGCCATGATGAGAAGAACGTTTCTCCTCTCTAAAAGCAAACAAAGTCAGGGTTGAATCCACCTTCTGCTGTTTTTATTTTTATTTTTGAATAAACTTGACAGCAGTGATTTCAAACACCCTCTGCTGTTTGAGTCGCGGCTGGTGACAAACAGCAGCATTACGCAACCCTCTAAGAAGCTGCTTCACACATGACATTTACACAAACTGTGCACACTTCATGATATTTCCAAATGTTACGATACAAACATTACCTCTTCTTGTTAAGACAGGAAGAGCCAGTGAAAGAAGAAACAGGAGAGGTAGCCATGCTCGGACACATGTGTACATTCTGGTGTGGAAAGAGGGACACCACCAGAGCTTCCGATGAAGTTTTTAGCCTCAGCTTCCACCTCTACCATGACCATAAATTAAGTACGTCGATTGGCTTTAAAATAACTTCCTCGTTACTGCGCAAGCATAGAGGAATGTTGTCATTGGTCGATTTAGCACTCGACCCGCCTTTAAAGGGTAGTGGCATTAGCTGGGTGATGTGTCAATCATGTGAGAAACTCCTTTTAACCCACCGACAGGCGTGATAGAGAACCAAACTCTCTCACTGAAGTGATGTCTATTTTTAACCTACACGACAAAATGAGTTTATCTGAAACTAATTTTCCCAGTTTCTCTGCACTCTCTTTGCCGGCCTGCCTTCGGTCTGGACTCTAACCTCAAACCCACAGCTGAAGCATAAAGGTGAGGGAATAGTCTGTGGGCCAGCCACAGCTGGGATTTATTTCAGCTATGTCCGCATCAGAGAGAAAATACACTAAAATCCCATGACAAATGCACCTTCTCGGATTTTTGAGGGGATGTGTAGCTGACCTTTATTTATTTATTTATTTATTCATTCATCCCTCTCTTTTTCATAGCATCATCCAACATTTGGAGTAACTTCCCTGACAGACTCGACCAGCTACTGTGACACACAGTTCACCTGTTTTACATTTACACACATGTGATGGTGTGATTTATTTATTGTTTTTATTTACATTTGAAGGGCAATTGCTGTAAAGGACGCCATTAGTGTTTCTCTCTTTTCTCTCCTCTTTTCATATTTGAGGTGTTAACATATTCCAATAATTACATGCAAGGTCAAATCTCTGGAATTTTTTAGCACTGTAAAACTAACCATGACAATGCAAAAAAAAAAAAAGATTTTTGTAAAAGATCAGTTCAATAGATGTTTAAAAAAGGTTCTCTTATACTAGGGCTTGAGCTTCAAACACAGTTTCGCTCTTGACAACTCCTCAGCCCGGCATTACAAATGCAGGGCTCTCAAGTCTCACGCATTCAGCGTGTGACACACGCATTCCCACCCGTTCACACGCTCACACGCCACACACCTCACGCATTTAAATGAACATGGTGATGTCCGCCAAGTTGCACCTCTTAAACTATGGAACAGGTAGGAATCAACTGAGTTCGTCCGAGAGTTCAGAAGCTGCGTGCCACGCGCAAGCCAATCAAATAAAGTATATCTACTGAACAGCCAATAAAAAAGCAGTATTGCTGTATCCGGGTAGATTTTGATATCTTGCGGTTTGACTACAGAAGAAGACAGACACTCGCCGTAATAGAGCAGGTTTTTATAAGGACGAGATAGACCCGATGATTACAGTAAGTCAGTAACCTTCACATGCAGAGACCTCAACACCTCATGGCAGATAAACTCATATGATAAACTAAAGCCCTATGCTATTGCTATTAACAGCTGTATTGGCGGATTTAGTCTCTGTACAGCCATTTCCAGCCATTTTCCCCTCCACAAAAGCAGCATTTCTCATATATCTCAAATATAAGTTCTGATACTCATGACAGTGTAATGCTCATGTACCAAAGGATTAAGTATCTCCATGTTTGTGAAACCTATACTAAAGTACAATTCATCTAAATGCTCCACAGTGCTGATTTTAACAACTCTCCTTCACAACAGGTAACTTTACGACTTAATACTGATATTAATGACTTTATTCTCCCAAATAATAACTTTATTCTTTAAGATTTAAAAACGTTTTTTTTTCTAATTGTGCCCCTTATACTCCGTTGTATTTAAGAGATAATTATACTAATAATTATCTTCAATCACGAAAAATAACCTCCACTTTACTTCGAGAGATATTTATATTCCATTGAGATTAAAGTAAATTAAAGATAATATTAAACTTTTAGATATAACCTACCAGTGTAAGTGTTTTTCTAAAGTATACAGCATTTTAAATCTCCATGGTAACCTGTAACGATGTAAAAACTTTAAATCATTACAAGCCAAAGAGAGCGGTCATTTCTGAAGATCAAATCTGAAGAGAACAGCACGAAAAACTTAAGCGGCTCACGTCCTTACAACTTTTGACGGCTTCATCGAAAATAAAACCTCACCAGACGACCAAGGACTCCGACAAACACCTGTAACCAACACCTGAACAAAGAGGACAACATCTACGACATGGAGACCGTAAGATTTCATGACAATATTATCATACAAACTTGTGTTACTGTCGAGACTTTCGTGATGGTTAAGCGATGCATCGACAAGGATTAAATGTGTGCATGGATATTTACAGTGTTTATGACTTTAATGTGACAGGCATTATCAAAACTAGAAAAAAATTGCATTTCCTTGCAGAAAATGCGTGGAAATGCTGAGTGCTGAAAGCTGAAAAAGCAATGCTAAACTGCTAATAAAACATGGAGGAAGGTTTAAATGTAAACTTGGTTAAAGAGCTGGAGAAAGAAAAGTAGAAGTTGGATGAAAGTGAAAATTGCTGAAGTACAAATAGTTTGAATGTGCTTCATAAATTTAAATTGCATTCATGCTGAATAAGGCTAGAAAAACTGTCTGAAATTGCAAAAAAAAAATTGGATAAGGAAGAAAATTACCTTAAAACACAGAAAAGTAAGAAGCGGCATAGGTTTAAGTTGAAGTACTAGAAGAAGTTTGATAATAGGTAGTTGTACTAGTGATATTAGTAGTCATGTAAGCAGTAGAAGTAGTTTTAGAATAGAAGTAGAAGTCAAAGCAGTAGAGCTCGTGGTAGAAGTAAAAAAAATATTAAGAGAAGCAAGAGCAGTGGAGGTAGAAGTGAAGATACAAGTTAAAGTGATATAAGTAGTAATTGTAGTGGTAGAACTGGGATTTTGTTTGAAGAATTAAAACGTACATAAATAATGAGAATGATTTTGAAATGGGAAAAATTTTAAATAATTAGAAGTCCTAAAGTGTTAAACAGGTTTGAAGTATCAGAAAGGTTTGAATCGGTTTGAATGAGTTTGGATTTGTCTGACGAATTTAATAATGCATGAATAATGAGAATAATTTTAAAGTGGGGAAAAGTTTAATAAAAAAAATCCTGAGTACACCCCATAATGTCCTCAATTAGCTGAAATTTTGAAGCCCAGAATGGTTTCTGTAGCTCAAAGTTTGTGGGTGGAGATAGGTGGTGATGCAGACACATATTAACTGTGTGTACATGCAGGTCTTTTAGACACAGACACAGACACATGCACACACATTGTCAGACTGTGTGTGTCTCGTTAATGATTTTATCCTAAACAGCTGTGAGATCAAAGGCATTAACTGACCTACTGTTTGAATGAGAAGCTGCCTCTGGACTTCTTCACATAGCACGATTTCCTTAAATCCCAGAATGAAAATAAGAACATCGTACAATCCTCCGCCCTGCATGAACACAATGATCTGTTTTTCATGTCTGTACTCCAAAAAATGTGGCCACAACAGCAAGTTAAAAGTCTAGACGTTCGGATGGTTATCTTAAAAGTGATGCATTGACATCACATGAAAGTCCTGCCCACCATGTCAAAGACTCTTCGTGCTTAAGAGCAGAAAAGCTCATGTTATTGTGAGAAATCTCTATAAGAGATTTTTTATGTCTTCTGGGCTATTTAAAGCCTTCAGTCTGAAACTTATTTGACAGTTGCTTTTATACTAACCAATGCTTTCTTATTTCTTCTTTAAATCTGCACAGAAGAGTCAACCCATTCCTGTAAAAGGAGAAGCTCTGAGAATTGCGGGCTCGAGTTTCAACAGGAGGTAAGAAACACGTTTAACTTATGATGACAGTAAAATGCAAACTCAAATTTATAGGGGTGTGATTTTAAACAGTAGTTTAACAATGTGTCTCTAAAACAATCTTTTACCTCTTTTGCATTTAATATGCAGAGTGTAACATTTGAAACATGACAGAGACCTCCCAGCAGATTATAATCTGAGACAGTTCAGAGTTAAATCTGTGACAGTGCCAGCAAAAATCTAAAGATTCGCAAATTTAGGATTTGATTTTGGACTTACACTGTGTTTCATACTGTTTTTGTCACAAGACACATGTATTTATGTGATACATTTCAGTGGTTATTTTAACTGAATAAGACAATTCAAAGGCTTCACATAAGACATTTACTGATCAATTAATCAGTCAGACAAAGGAAATGTGTAAAAACACTAAATGAAATAAAGTTTTATCATCGTTTGCTCTTACTGGGAGTCTCTAGTCAAAAACTAGTAAAGAAGAATAGCAGAGACTAGTAATGGGAGTGTGCTAAATAACCGTGCAAGATAAACGAAGACAGGGCCCACATCTTCTTAACGGTAAGACAATGTGTAAATTAGTGACTAATGTGAACGTCTAGCTCAAAAACGATAGTCGAATTTGGGGCGTGGAAAGAAAAAGTGAGGAGTAAAACCCGGAGCACAGGGTAATTGGCAAATAAATGATGAAAAGAGATAAAGAGTAAAAGAGATAAAGAAGAAAAGAGAAAAAGGCTGAAATGGCCCAGGAATAAAGAAGAGAAAAAGTTAAAGAGACAAAGTGAAAAAGAGAAAAAGGCTGAGATGGCCGAAAAAGAGAAAAAGTTAACTTAATGTTAGGGAAGTCGTGATTGGGCATAACAAATCGGTAAGGACAGTTTAAAGAAAAAAAAAAGGCCTATACACTATAGTAAGGAAACATTGAGCTCAGTGAGACGAGGTGTGCTGAAGTTTGAGTGTGTGAGAGAAGCTTCTGGTGTGTGTGTGAAAGGAGTGTGTGTATGGGTGCTGAGTGTGAGTGTAAAAGAGTCTGTGTGTAGTAAGTGGTGTGTGCACAAAGTTGGGGAACGGTCTAGCATAGGTATAAGTGATTAATGTATGATAAAGTGATAAATGATGTCTTATTAAATATATAATGATATGATATATGAAATTAACATATAAGGGAAGAGATACTGTTGCCTTTGTAGTGTTAAAAACATATGAGCCCTGTTTTTCTTTGTACAGGGACGTTAATAGAATAAGTAACTGCTATGAGCCTCTCAGGATAAAGAGGACGTTTGTACATCTAATAGTAAGAAATGAGCCCCTTATTAGATGAGGAGGACTTTGGATGGTGATAACATCCTCAATTAAAATGGCAATTAAAGAAGTGTACACAAGCACATTTGTATTCATACAGATACAGGAAAAAAACAGAGTAAGAGAGTGGGGTAAAAAGGAATGATTTGCTAACTGATGAGTGTGGTTTTCCTCTGTGTGTGTGTGAACATTTAAAGTGAATGGTCACTTGCTGATGATTATGTTTAGAGGGAAGTCCTAGTTAAAAATTAGGAGAATCCAGGGAGCTTTTCCTCCCCCTTTCTTTCTCTTCTTACAGGCCTGAGAACAGAAAGAAAGCTAAAAAATCTAGTTTAACTATCCTAGTTGTGTGAAAATTTTAAATGGTATACCATGGTAAAGGGGAATGGTGTATAATAAATTTTAGTAGTTAGATAATAGAAGAAATCTTTAAATAGTGGTAGTAAACATTTTAAATTGTATTGAATGAAGTGATTGTAATGTACTAAACATTTGATTTGTTCTTTGTCCCTAACTCTGATGCATGAGAGGGGAGAGGAGAATGAAAAGCATCTGACGCTGGAGCGCCCATAAGACAGATAGAAGATAATTGGCTGTGCTGCAACAAGAGGGGGCTTGCGGATGAGAGGCTCACCAGGACCTGCTCCCATTTGACAGGCCAGTAGAGTTTTATCTACAAACTCTTCTCCTATGCATCTGCTGCTACTTAGTTGTACATACACACACTTATAGTGGGAACACATTTAGTTGGGTGTATACATTTGTTAGTGCTAGACAATAAGAGCAGTAGTTTTGTTGGTAAAAAGAAAGGCTTGGCAATAGACTGACCAGTTGAAAGGGCTGATGAAGTACCGGATTATTGTTGAATTAAAAGAGCATTTCCAAGAGGTCTAAATTTTGCATGAGAGGCACTAGGGGACAATCGCGCCCACCCAGAGGACCTGTAAACCCTGATAGGGGGCCAGAACCTGGATTTTAGGGGTGCCCAGAAGACCTAAAAGGGGGGTGTCAGCTGGTAATGTCAGGGCCAGAACAAGAGCCAACCATTGAGGTGAAAGTGAATGATAAACCATTGACAGTTATGGCAGATTGCGGAGCTGCTTTCACCTGTGTTAGGCCCAAAGATGCTATACATCTCCCCATGTCTGGCCAATTGGTACGGACAATAGGTTTTGAGGGTGTGAAACAGCTGATACCTCTTACAGAACCCATTGAGCTCTGTTATAAAAATCAAAAGACCACAATACTGATACTAGTGTCAGAACAAACACCTATTGCACTTTTGGGCAGAGATGCGTTGTGTAGGTTGAAATGCACAATACGATGCACACCAGACGGCTGTCTGGTGGATGTACCAAGTGATAGTTGGCAACAACTATTTATGAAAACAGAGACTGAAGCATCTGCAGTGTTTTGGATTGGGAACCTTAGCCAGGAGTTGCTAGAGCCAGCAAAGCTGTGGGAGAAATTTATTGTGGCCAATATGACTGAGGTGAAATTACCTGAGTATCCATACCACTGTACACTGAAGTATTTTAAAGATGCTACACAGACCAACTCAGCAGACTGGTTGAAGCAGCAACCAAAACAAGTCCAGCTTAGCTCCAGTTCAATAATTTTGGGGCCACAAGGAGCAGCTTTAAAGATAGAGAGTAATGAATATCTTGAAAAAGAACATGACATCGAGGAAAGCATTCCTCACCTGACTTTGATGATAGCTGAGACCTATGAACAGAAGCATATAGGCTCAATGATGGTAGAAGCAGAGAAAGCTATTTTTACACCAGTTAAGGAAAATCCTGCTATTTGGGTGAGTGAGGATCAGCAGTTCATAAGGATTGTTATCTCTGCTCACGGGCAGGGTCAGCCACAAGCTGTACAGATGACACATGAGTCAATTTGCAGTGCTAAACTTGACTCAGACGCTATAAAAAAAGACATGCTACAACACGTGCCAGAACATCTGTGGTCTCGATATAGCACTGATATTGGACTGGTAAAATCAGCTCAACCAGTAAAAGTTGAACTTCGACCAGGCACCAAGCCTCCTTGGAAGAATCAATATCCATTGAAAAAAGAGGCAATACAAGGTATTGGATCTCAAATTGAAGGATTGGTACAAGCAGGTGTGTTAGGGATAACTCAGAACCCTCAAAGCAATACACCGCTGTTACCTTTGCAGAAACCAGATGGCACATACCGCCTGGTACATGATTTGAGAGCAGTAAATGACGTGGTGGTAGATTTTCCAGCTGATGTACCAGACCCCCACACTTTATTAGCCCAAATCCCGCCAGATGATACTCATTTTACAGTGTTGGACCTGTGTGGAGCATATTTCAGTGTTCCTTTGAGCACAGAGAGTGGAGAGTTATTTGGATTTACTTATGAAGGGCAGTCCTATGTGTACAAGAGGTTACCACAAGGATTTAAACATATCCTCACATTTTCAATAAAGTGTTGAAAGAGGATTTGAAAGGATTGGAACAAATGTTGAACAGCACTGTGGTGCAGTATGTTGATGACATTATTATCTGTTCACCGGATAGAGAAACATGTCACAAAGATTCAATAAAATTACTGCAAATTCTGGCTGAAAAAGGACACAAGGCATCGCAGAAGAAGTTGCAATATTGTCGGGATAAGGTAGTGTACCTGGGTCAGACAATAACTAAAGGACACAGAAGCATTTCGGACAGTCATTTAGAAGCCATTCGAAAGACTCCCAAGCCAAGAACAGTCAGAGAAATGATGACATTTCTAGGGACTGCTGGGTATTCATCAGCATGGATAGAGGACTATGCCAGTCTGACAGGGCCACTGAGAGCTATGATTAAAGAGACAGGAAGTGCACAACTTCATTGTAATCTCATGTGGACACAGGAGGGTCTAATAGCCTTTGAAACTATCAAACAAAGACTACAAGAAGCCCCAGCACTAGCACTCCCAGACTACTCCAAGAATTTTCTGTTGTATCTACCTCAACTGGGGGTAAATATGCCTGTGCAGTTCTTTGTCAGCCAACAGGAACAGGAACAAGCCCTCAACCCATTTCTTATTATTCGACTGCATTTTCAGAAGTAGAGTTCGAGATGCCTTTATGTTATAGAGCAATGGTGGGAGTTCATCTCATGTATGACAAGGCATCATCTGTGACAATGGGTTACCCAGTGACAATTCTTACACATCATAGTCTCAGAAATCTTCTGAATTATGGTAAATTTACATTGACTATGCCTAGACTCAGAAGTTATCATAGACTGTTAGAGCAAGAGGATGTCACCTTGGTGAAGTGTAACACAATAAATCCAGCTGAGAATCTGCCAACTCCAGAAGATGGGGAGCCACATGATTGTGTGAAGGAATCAGAGAGATATTCAAAACTACGGTCAGACTTGCAAGCCCTTCCACTTCAGAAAGCAGATGTAGAGTATTGGACTGATGGGTCGTGTTATCGGATTGGAGACAAATTGAGCACTGGCTATGCAGTTGTAAAAGCTGAAGGAGATGGATTTGTTGTCGAAAAGGCAAAAACAGTGCAACAACCAGCATCTGCACAGCTGGCTGAACTTGTAGGACTAACCGAAGCATGTCTTTTGGCAGAAGACAAACGAGTGACAATTTACACAAACTCTGCATATGCACATAATGTTTGTCACTTGTTCGGAGCACTGTGGAAAAATCGGGGATTTAAGAAAACAGATGGGTCTCCTATACAGCATCATGCCCAGATAACCAAATTGGTGCAGATGAAGCCGAAAGAAATAGCAATAGCTAAGTGTGCAGCACATAAAGGGGACATGTCAAGAGTAACTCAGGGCAACAGAGCAGCTGATGAGGCTGCAAAAGCTGTTACAGGGGCAGATAAAGAAGGCAAAGTTCTTCTGGTCACTCATGAAGTAGACTTAGAAGATAAAATCACCCTCAAAGACATAGGGCTCTATTTTGGTGCTTCGCCGGAGATGTGCCGCAAGCGCAGCGTCAATCAGATCCGCCGCGCTGACAAGGCGTTCCCAAGCACATTTTGGTATTTTGGTGAGCCGCGCAGCCCGGCGTAAGTATCCCCCCTCCCTAACTCAGCTCCTCCCGGCAGCATAAATCATAGACGGGGAGGAGAGAGCGTGTAGTGAGTTTAACACAGCCGAGACCTGTTTTCACCAATCACATAAGCTCCTCTCCTTGCCTTTAAATCCGCCACCGGCGAGGCGTATTACTATTTTCATGAAGTAGTCAAAGAGATCAAGAGATGTCTGAAGACAGTTATGCCACAAGATGGCGACAGAGGGCAGCTGCTCAACAAGTGTCCTCCACACTCTCTCATCTGAGCACAGATGGATTTGGTGTGCGTAATGTTGGACCCACTGGTAAGACAAACACCCTTTTCCACAAAAAAGACACTCACATAAAGTTGCATATATTCAAACCTCACGTGACAAAGGTGGGTTTAGCGCACAGATCACAACATAAACTCCAAAAATGGCATTAAAATCGGAACCATCTGTGCGTAAATGATGCATCGCGCTCCGTGGCCTGGCTCTTTCTTTCATAGATGTTGGCATATAAAATAAATTTGGCCCACAAAACTGAATATTATAATATCCGTGTGTCGGCTTAAAGCAGATAACGCATCTGAGCACTGAAACAAATCATCTGTTCAGCTGCAGCAGCAGCAAGACGGACAGAGGACACGGAGACGTGTCCAGGTCGAGCTGTGCGAGAAATAAGAGGAAGAAAGAAAAGGAGGGAGACACATTACGTATCTTGTTAACTTCATCATGTGTGTTTATTTACTAGATATTTAATTTAATTTGATGCAGTTTCAGCTGTATTGATTTGGTCAGGTTGTGTGCCCAAACGCGTGCCAAACGTGCTCATCAGATCAGATATAGATCAGAATATATCGATATAGATCTAAATGTATGTGCTGACTCAGATTAATAGTTGTTGATGATTATTTATTGCACTGAAATGTGCCTGACACTGTGGAAACCTGCCGGTGAGGCATCAGTGACGTATGTTGATACGCCGCCGGTCTACCAAAATACTACTAGACCAGCTGCGTTCCGCCTTGCGCTGAAAGCTGACCAGGTTTGAATCGGCGAGCTTTCAGCGCACGTTACACGCCGGTGGCGAGCACGAAAATGTCACTGCGCCAGCTGATTCTGTCAACACCTCCCCCTGCCACGCCACCACGCCCAGCTTGGCGGATCTCGGCTCGCCTCCGTGCGACTCAGTCCACGAAAATACCAAACGCCGCCCTCCGCCGCCTCACCGGCGCGAACGAAAATAGAGCCCATAGTCTCAATGCAAGAAGCGGCCTCTGAAATAGACAGACAGTTATGGCGTGACCGAGGTGCAACACAGGATACCACAGGATTGTGGAGGAATCATGAAGGGCTGATGGTGGCACCTCCAGACCTACTTGGATTATTGATTCAAGAGGCACATGGGTTAGCATATGTTGCAAGGGGGGAAGTTAAACATCATGAAGGAGTAGGTTTCTGGACACCACATTTGCGTGAGCAAATTGATTTATCATAAGTAGATGTACAATGTGTCTAAAAAATAATGTTCGAAGGTGTAACAGTTGAAGCTTGTTCAACCAAGTGGAAACATGCTCAGTATGTTGCCAAGTTCTTGTGTAGGGAGGTAATAAGCAGATGGGGACTTTCAGAGTAAATATTCTAAGATAATGGAGAAGAGTGTGTGGATAAAACAGTGAAACTGATTTGAAAAAACTAAGAACTGAACAATGTTTGGGAGCTGTGTACCATCCGCAAAGCCAAGGTATCTGTGAAAAAATGAATGGGGTGATGAAGAACCCGCTGGGTAAGATTGGCCAGTACAGGTTTACATTTTGATGTCATGAAGGGGGAGTATTACGTAGGGGGAAATAGGATAAACATGTCAAACAAACAAAAATGTATGTTTTTGGCAAGATACTGCTTAATTTTTTCATTCTCAGGACAGCAGTTGGGGAGACCAGCGAAAGAAAGGTGGTTCTCCAGAGATCTAAACAGCCTTAATGGACCCACACCTCCCAACAAGACAATCAAACATGGACAGTGTAAACAGAAACTGAAACCTGACAGAGGATGTGAACAAGGACATTGCATTGGATACCCAAACAGAGAACACCCATGGACAAGAACACTACACAAGCAACCAAGGATGTTAAGAAAAAAAAAAAAAAAAAAAAAAAAAAAATTATATATATATATATATATATATATATATATATATATATATATATATATTATTCTTTTTAATCATAGAGTTTGTTAATGTATAATCTGTGCTATGAATGTCAATTTATCTTTCTGTGTTGTATTTTAATGTTCATGTCAACACCAAACAGCATAGGAAGAATGAAAACTATGAAAGGGGGTTTAGTGATTCATAGCATAAGTTGTAAAGTGAATGTATTGGGATCTCAGGTGTTTTCTTTGTTTTCTCGTTGTAGGATCAGTGGTGTTAGGCAGGGATAGGTCCACTGGAAGTTCGATGGGATGACCAGCTTGACTGTGGATAATTTTAAATTTGTTTCTGAGATTCCCAAGAATATTTGCGCCAAACATTATTTCCACATAAAGTCTAACCCTTACCTTTCAATTGGATTGGAGTACAATAGGTGGTCGCCTAGGGCAGAGGGACCGTGAGTGACTTTTTCCTGTCTAGAGTGTTTGATGGATAATAATGGGAAGACAGCTGCCTGACAGGTTTTCGCCCTCACAGTCCAAAATTTTAGCAATAAATAGAAACTGCATAAATTGAAATTGTAATTATGTCTTTTCCTTGAAATATGTGGTATCTGGAGTACAGCATCAACATACCAGGCCGAGGTATTTCCCAAAGTTACATGAACTAATCAAAGTGTGGATTGTAGACACTGGGTCACCTGGCTGTTGAGTGCTTGTAGAGCACAGGTCACAGTTCACAGGTCACGATTCCAGACTAGATGAAAAGATAGCTGGGGAACAAAGAGAGGATGACCCTATATAACAGGATTGCAAACTGTGGTCAGGGAGAGCTGGACATCATTGGCAGTCCTCTCCCAGCAACTGCAGTGCTGTTCTGATACTGGTTTTGTCTTTATAATAAACTCCTCTTATACAAGCAAGCCAGTGTCACGAAGCCTCCTTCTGCATCTACACATTGAGGACTGCCCAGACACAACATAAACTAAAGCCCTATGCTATTGCTATTAACAGCTGTATTGACGGATTTAGTCTCTGTACAGCCATTTCCAGCCATTTTCCCCTCCACAAATGCAGCATTTCTCATATATCTCAAATATAAGTTCTGATACTCATGACAGTGTAATGCTCATGTACCAAAGGATTAAGTATCTCCATGTTTGTGAAACCTATACTAAAGTACAAGTCATCTAAATGCTCCACAGTGCTGATTTTAACAACTCTCCTTCACAACAGGTAACTTTAGGACTTAATACTGATATTAATGACTTTATTCTGTTTTTTTTCTAATTGTGCCCCTTATACTCCGTTGTATTTAAGAGATAATTATACTAATAATTATCTTCAAACACCCCCCCCCCCCCCCCCCAAGGAAATCTCACTCTAAGAGCTCTGCAAATGTACCGGGAAAAGCTATTAGGTCCGTTTTACTCAATCTGGGTAAAATAGATTATCTTCTCAAGTAAGATAAATTCGCTGGAAAATTCAATGTGAAGTTCACAAAATGGTGGATTACTAAAGAGTTATGAAGGTTCCCCAGGTAAATATGGTGAAAGGTGTGTTGCCATACGAGATGCTTTTTTTCCCCTCACAGCATAAACTTCAGAAAGTACGTTTTAGAAAGTAATGGTAACAACACTTAATGTACCTTTTAGTGTTACCCGGACTGGCTTGAGGGGGCAGTAATGTGCCGCAAGGAATTTAGACTGCCGGATAGTCAAGAGAAGAAGAAGAAGAGAAAGACCGAAAACTACAGCAGAGAGACAACAGAGAACAGTACAGAAAGATGGCCGACAGCGCGGGAGGGGAAGCTAAAATATTAACCCGCGGAATTAAAAGGACGAAAACTGACGATGATGGCCCAACAGAAGATGGAAAGGAAACTGAAAATCCTTTACTTGGATTTAAAACATCGAGTGTCCTGAGTGGTTCTGCTCGGGAGAAAAACATCTTCATTCATGGAAAGGTAATAAGAAAGCAGTCAAAAGTTTTCTAGACTATTTCCACTGAGCGAGGCTTTAGTTCATTTTCCCAGACAAGAGAGTGAAGGAAAGACCTCCAGTCATCTGATATGTTACAATAATGTCTCTATTATTGCAGAGTCGTTGTCACATCAATGTCTCTGAAATGACTAAACTGTGAAAACACTGTGTTATTGTGCTCTCAGTGGTGTATTTAATGCAGGTTGTATTATCCGTGTCTCCTACAGCTGGCAGATGAAGAGGCTGTGGTCATTATGGAGAAGACCCCCATCAGAGAGGACACTCTGGCAGAACTCTTTCGGGGGTCCACGCTGAAACTAGAGATGAGGAACGACATCTACAGCACCTATCGATTACAGGCTCCCCTTCACCTCAATGGTATGGGCTGATATAACACACGTTCAAACAGTCTAAATCAGTCCATGGCTGTACAGAGGTTTAAAAAGTAACTGTGTCCATTTTTTCAGAGATAAAAACAACTGTGGTCTGTCCTGCTACTGAGAAACATGTCAAGAAATACCAGCGCCAGGAGAGTTTCCTTGTGGAGGAGACTGGGGAGGACTATGAGTCCATCACTTTGCCCTACATCAAGCAGCAGAGTTTCAGTCTGCAGGTGTGTAGACTCTATTGCCCTTCCTGCTCCATCACTAACTGGATTGACTTGAATGTTTGTGTCCATTCAGCAGAAATAGTGAACAGTAAATGCATGTGTATGATAGATCAGATAAATCTGAAAACTAATTTGCATTTGTAATTCAGACCAAAACTACACTGTCATTCAAATACTAAACTGTGTCAGTCAACATTGTCAGTACATTGAGAAAACAAAAACAACAAAAAAACTTTCTAGTATTATCTGAACACTTTTTTGCCCCCCATTTTTTAACTCTGGTTGACCACCACTCGTCCAAAATAATAAAATAATACTTATTAAAAATATATATTAAAAAAAAAAAGATAAAAGGATGATTCTTGTGCAAGGTGCATTAAAAAATGGAAGATCCCCAAATACATGTTACTTATCATTCTCTGATTTCCTGCATTTTCCCAAGTTTATATGCATCTATAAATGATGCACTAGTGTATCAATTGTAACAGGAAAGTACAAATCAAAATAAAAAGAATCACAAAAAAAGATAAAGATAAGAAAACTAGACAACACACAAAATGACAGTTTCATACAGACCTTTTTAATGTTTTATAGTTCCTCAGTACACTTTTCAATTTTACTCAAACCATCTTCCCTTATTTCTTTCCAGCTCTTTATACCAGAAAGTATTTAATCGTATATTCTTCTAGTTTTGCGTAAAGATAACATATTTAAACAGCTTAAAAAAAAAAAAAAACATTCGTGAACATAAAAGTGATCTTTTCCAGAGTGTTATGCTCTCTTCTGTCTCTAACCATTAATTTTCTGTGGAAGGTTACAGTTATTCCAGCTTTAGTGTTCTCAGAATCCAAAAAAGAAAGATCTTAAATACTTTTAAACCTGTGAGATGTGTCTCCAACTGTATATTCTCTTTATCCACACACCCTGCTTTTACAGACGTCTGACCAAGAGGTTTTCCTGCACACCTCCATATTAAATTTACAACATTCACCCCCCACAGTGGGTTTACAACATCCTGGAGAAGAAGGCAGAAGCTGACCGCATAGTTTATGAAGACCCTGACCCAAAGCTTGGCTTTGTCCTTCTTCCAGATTTCAAATGGGACCAAAAACAGGTGAGAGGTGGTGGAATCTTGTGATTCGTTTATTTCACTTCTCTGACAATTAAAAGGCAAAATAATGTTTTTCTTTTGCTTTTTATGAATATAGAGGATCATTTGTAATGAAAGGTTTTAAGGCAACTATAAGAAGTTTGATATTTACACTCTAAGAAATCCTTCTGGTGATAATTTCATGAAACGTCCCTGAGTAGGTTACTTTAAATTTAAAAAAGAAGTAGAAATAGCTGTTCTGTGCTGTTCTGGACACAGATTCAGGTGTTCAGCTACTTTTTCACTTGGGTAATCTAATCCAACCCAAAATAACAGCTCTACCTCAAGTTCTACTTCAGGAAGCTTCTGAAGTTTCTGTTGACGTGATCAGAAAGGTGACAACTGTCTCTTTTCTCCGGTACACCGTGACCACCCATTATATCTTCAATAATTAATATAAATAGGTTTTATCCCCTTTCTGATCATGTAACATACATTCATAGTTGCATGTTACTGCTGCAGTCATGATTGGAAGCCGCAACTGTTGGTTTCAGTTTTTTGCACTTTTTGCTCTTCTTTCAGGTCGAGGATTTATACCTGATTGCCATAGCACATTGCAGGGACATTAAGAGCATCAGAGACCTGAAGTCAGACCATCTACCACTGCTGAAGAACATATTCCAGAAAGGAAAGGTGAGGTTACAAGATAATTCAGGAGTAAACCCCATCTTCATATTGCAGGTCCCATCAATGTGACTCAGTGTTAATGATTAGGGCTTTCAAATGAGATATTCATGTTGACTAACAAAGACAAAATAATGCATCAATAAGTTACTTAATTTATGTAATCGCACTTCACTCTACCTTTTGACCACTGACTGTCCTTAGCAGCTCTAAAAGTATTGTGGGAACATACATCCACACATCTGCTTGTGTATTATAAATATTTAAAAGATCTCTTGAAAGATTTTAACAACATGGTTTAGGATGCCAGAGTTATATATTCCTAATATTGTTTCTAACAGTCAATGCAATCCGAAACTCCTTTTTGATACTAGAGGTAATCCTGTGTCTTCTGTTCCCTTTATCAGTCAACCATTGTAATAATTTTCTGTCTTTCTTTATTGGAAAAGTCAACGATATTCGCTCAAACATCAACCCTTCCTCTTGTCTTATCCTCCAGTTTCTTGTCCCACCTGACAACTGATCCTTACAAATTTTGCCTCTATCTCCCTGCAAGAGCTTACCAAACTAATTGGTGGTATGAAAACTTCATTCAGTTCGTTAGACATTATTCCAACTAGTCTACTTGAAGAAGGAATTGTTTCCTTTTCTACTCAATAATCAATAATTCATGAACAACCGGCCTCGTCCCATCCTATTTCAAACATGCGGGTGTACAGCCTCTTCTGAAAAAATCGAATCTTGATCCTTCATGGCAGGAAACCCACAGACCCAGATCAGATTAGTTCTGAGGTCTTAGAAAAGGTGGTTGTTGAGCAGCTCACAGCTATTCTGGATGAACATGATGTTTTCAACTAATTCCAGTCTGACTTCAGTCATTCTACAGAGACTGCTCTTCTCAGGGTAACAAATGGCCTGTTGATGAAGGCTGATGCAGGGGAGTGTTCAGTGCTGGACCTCAGCACAACCTTCAATACTGTGGAGCACAGTGTGCTAATCCAGCGGCACAGACAGTGGGAGGGTGTCTCTAGAACAGCATTAGACTGTTTTCCTCCTTGTCTGGTAGAGCATTTTCAGTTGCTGCTTTTAAATATAGTATGTCTCATGAGCTGGGACCCTGTCTTGTGGAGTCCCTCAGGGCTCTGTCCTGGGCCCTCTGTTGTGTTCTTGATACTTGCACCAGCTGGGATATCTTGTAAGGTCTTTAGAAGGTGTATGTCATCTAGACCTGGGTTTTAAAAAATGTTTGTAAGTACATTAAAAACAAAATGGACCCCAGTTATGATAAAACTTGTATTATTCTGTAAGGTGAGAGCAGATATCTTTGATATTTTTGTTTGACACTTGTGCGATTTTGAAAAATGAGCAGTCTTTTTGTCCACCTACAGAAGAGTTAGGAGAGTACTCCAGTCCCAGAGTAGACCTGTTTGTAAATAAAAGTCTGCAATAGAGAAGAATGACAATTTCTTTTCATTGTAACAAAGGAGGCCATCATGCTGCGGTACAATCTTCCAGCCAGTAAGCTGAGAGTCTACCTGCACTACCAGCCCTCCTATTACCACCTTCATGTCCACTTCACAAAGCTGGGCTTTGAGGCTCCTGGCTGCAGTGTGGAGCGGGCACACCTTCTTTCAGACGTTATTCAAAACCTCCAGTCTGACTCCCAGTACTACAAAACTCGGACCCTGTACTTTCCCTTACGGGCTGAAGATGGACTTCTCAGCAAGTTCAGAGAGCTTGGCAGGCTGTAACTCACCATTACACAGTTTCTCATACAGGTAAAGAAGTTTACAGTGATACATAAAACGATACCTGATGTTTGAAGCTGTTTTGTGATCAATATTCAGATCATTTTAATATTTGTCCTCTCCATATTAAAAATAAATCACAGGACTGAATGAGTGAATTATTTTTTTTTATATATCTTTTCTACATGTTTGCTGACTTTCTCCATTTTCTTTGACTCAGCCTGATCCTTGAATGTTTTTGATATGCAAGTTTTTTTTTATTAAACAATTACTGGTCATCAGGCAGCTTCATTATCATGGATGTCTTTAAACATGAATGACCTTCAAATATCTTTATTTCTACCATCAGATTCAGGAGATTTATGATGTGCATGTTGACGTGGATGAAACTTCAGATCAGTGATTCTCAAACTTTAAAAAATAAATTTTGCTGTATTTTTAAATAAACATAACTAAAACTGTGCGTGTAAGAGTTGTTTATTATTGCCTTGAAAAACACTCCCAGTTCCACATTAAAGGTGACCCCCTGCCATACACCTCAGGAAAAGATTTAAAGATCAATTCGAGGGACCTGGTCTTTGTGTAGGCGAGTCAGGTGGAAGTTGAACCTTCAAGGTTGGCAGAGCACCAACAACATCAGCAATGACAATAGTTGTCCTTGTCAATGGGTCCCCAAAGAGGCTTCAATTGAGCCCCTACAGTACATACAAGCTCTGGTCCCCCCTGGCAGAGAACCAGGTTTTAACTGGAATGGGTTAGTGTTCAGGGCCCCAGGAAAGAGAATCTCCACATTACCCCAAATTCATGAAAGGAAGACAGCAGAGCTGCTGGTGTTATTAGGACTAACACTTGTGCTCTGCGACCACAGTGGCTTTCTTTGTTGTGTTATTAGGTTGTTGAAAAAGGGTTCTAGGGCGGACTGAGGGAAAGCGTCATCCCAGAGTGAGACAAACTCCACGGTCCTCATTAATCCAAAGTGGGCAGAAGAACCTGAGATGTATGATATTAAAAAAAAAAAAAAAAAAGGCGAGTTTATCAAACTTGTGCGCATCAGTGTTCAATCCCACACGGTCCTGACCTGCATGCTCATGCACGTTGTATTAGAAATTCCTCCATATATGATACAGTGATGGCTTTAAAAAACATGCGAGTATTGTATTCCCCCATCATGGATCAAGCGCAAAATGAGCAGAGGTTTATCAAATTATGTGACAAAGTGTTCAGAGTTCATGGCCAATCACATTTTTCCCAGTTTACCTGAATAACAGATATTTTCCTCATCTGATCTTAGATCCTTATGGTCCTAATTTTTGAGACATGATGCTGGAATCATATTTTAATAAGGCATTTAACTGTGTGTTTTCTATGTGTTACATGCAGTTACACTTTTATCAAATCATTTTTTTTTAATTCTTACAAAGTTTAAAGAGTACAACAGTTGTTAGTACAAATATAGTAAAGATAATTTACACAGAAATCCATCAGCCATCTCTTAACTTGGACATAAAAATAACCGTCCTTTGCATCATCCTTCTGCTGGTCACGTAGCCAGGGTGGACACCATCTCTGAAGTTGGTCCTTCCACTTCCCCAAGAGGTTTTAGGCGATTTAAAAGTAATTTTGAAGTGTCTTAACTTTTTTGGATGAGGGTTCTGCAGCTTTTTTAGAACAGCCCTGATGTTGGAGCAAGAGCAGTTCTTTGACTGCAGCTGTAATGCTTGCTGGTCAAGGCTGGGGTGATGTTCCTCACAGTGAGGACAGTCTTAGGCTGTGGTCACAGAAACATGACGCTGTGCTTTCAGTGCAGGTACTGCATCACTTTGATGAATGATACAGAGATGAGTAGTTCATTAATCAAATTAAAGAGGAGTCTTCCTGAATGGAGACTCTCTGTTGTCCATTGTTTTGATACTTCTCAAATGTCCTTCAACGAGGGATTCATACAGTCTATCTTGTCCTTGCATCATATTATGTGCATTCCACTTGCAAACCTGTTTCATCTTGCAGACTGTTTAATAAAAATCGCTGAGTGCTGACATTTTTGTGTCATTGATCATCAAAAGTAGAATATTATCTTTTCTAATCAAAATCAGTGTTAGATGTTGTTTGAAGATGAAGTTCATCAGTCTTTGATTTGAAGAATGCTCCTCTTCTCCAGGTCGTTCATCTCTTTAAGAATCAGAGCAGCATTGTATCGAAGCTCCTGGAACTTGGACACAGGCACCTGAAAGTGAAGACAGATGTTTAACAGTGAAGCAGAGATGCTGTCCCTGCCTGGGCTGGATCTCTGACTTCCTTACAAACTCAGGGATAAGTTGAGTGTAATTTCTCTCTTATTAAATAATCTTTTTGAGGGGTGAGGCTGACCGCTTACCAACATTCTCTAGATAAGGTAGATTAAGTAGAACGGTAGAACGTTTGTTACCCCCTCTGGAGTGAAATATATCCTGAAGATTTAATGAGTACAAATCAAAGTTAAACTCCTATATTCTTATTGAGGAGAATTCCTAAATGCTAACATAGTTATTCATGTTGTAGGAGTGTGCAATGGTGGTCAGCTGATGTCTTTTTAAACCACATTATTGCTTTACTCTTACTTGCAAAATGCAACAATTTTACACTAAAACCCATTATCCTATACACTGTAGTATGCGTGGTTATCTGTGTTAGATGGATATTTAATAAATTCATAGAATAAAAAATAAACAAGAAAGTGGATCATGCAAAAGACAGGCTGACATGTTAATGCAACACCAAACTGCTGTAGATTGTATTTCGCTCCTCCCTAGAAGTGAAAAGCTGCACTTGTGTTTCTCTTTGTGTAATGGTGGATCTCCACTCTCTGTGTCTGGATCTTTTTCCATTAAAAGTGTTTGTTGAATTAAACTGCATCATCAGAGTTTTGAAAAGCTCATTTTTAACAGAACTGATTTCAGGAATATTTATTAAACCTCCTTGTGCCCAACAACTTCATTTGAGTGACAAAAGGGAAAAACCTTCCTCTTTCGTCTGCTCTTCATCGACTATGAGTCAACAACTTTACTCTAATAAGACAATTCTGCATCAGAGGTAAGAGAAACTGTGATGCTCAGTCTTACCTGTACCAGGATTATAAATATGAGACTGAGTATCAACAACTCTTGTGTTTCGATGGTGGGATCAGACTGGCGCAAATATTCAGAGTTTTGAAGTTTCTGAAGAGAATGTAAAACTGCCTGACAACCAGAAAAAAAAAAAAAAAGTTGGAGTACCTCAAAGCACTGGGAGCTCCCGTCAGACAGTTTCATCTGCATGAGAACAGAAGGCTGTAGAGCTCTGGCCAAAGAGCTGCAGGAACAGAAGAGACACAAAATGACAGACTTTATTATCGAAGGTCCAAGACTTATTTTTCTTTACCTTTACAACTTTTTCACTCTGTACAACATTATGTCCTATACCTGGTAGAAATAGCGACATCGACCCTCCATTTGAAGTCTTGTAATGCAGGAAGGTGGAGATCATTTTGAGAGGTTACTATCTCAAGAGCTGCACGTCTGCAATTATAAAAAGTGGTGACATATTAATGAAAGACTGTGGAGGATAGGCTGTTCAAAGAGCCCCGTGGTTTAAAAGGGGAAAACGAGGAGGCCTAGAACAGAGGTGGTGAAAGAAGAAAGGTGAGCACTGCTGACTTACTGATCACACCTCTTCTACTCAACACATGAACAGCATTATGTTATTACTTCATGGTTTCAGTACAAAGGCAGTGCAATTTTGGATTTTCTAAACAAGCTGTTGTATTCAAAAATGGTTCATGACAACTCCAAGAGTTCGTCCCAACCATCCTCTGAAGGTGGAGCAGAAGTAAATATTATCCCCACTCTGTGGAGATGAAACTCTCAACAACAGTATTTTTCCCTGCATTTAGACAAGGTAAGAGGAGCCTGTCGCCTTTATCAGGACACAAGTACATAGTCAACATACCTACTGCCAAAAACCACACTGGCAAAGTCTGAGATGAAGTCCTCAGGTATTCTAACAGACAAAACATAAGAGTTTCAGTTAATATGCCGTGTGGGAGTTGGACTTCAAATACATGAAAACGCTGTGGACGTGAAAGACAAGATCGTCCTTGCCTTATCTCTCTGAGATCTTCTTTGAAGGCCTAAAAGGGGACAAAAACAAAAATGGTTAATTTCCCAGTTTTGGATCCAAGAACAGCAAAAAATCATGAATAATAACACAGTGTACTGCAGGCGAATATAATCATTATAATAATCGTATAATAATTGTTATTGTATAATAACTTCAATAGTAACTGACAGACCTGTGGTCTGATCTTCCAGAGCACTTTCTAAAGACCTCAACTCAACCCCAAAAGCTGGGACCTTGTGTAAAGCTGGGACATTAAGTACAGCTAAACACATATGCTTATAAACATATGAGCAGGAAAAAAATGACTATCAGTGCATTTGGCCTTTTAATCTCACTGTCTGCCTTTCCCTTACTTCTTTTTTTTTTTTTGTCTTGAAAAAAGCTCCACAATGTGCACCATCTTTTGGATTGTTTCACTTTGAAAATAATATTTTCTTAATTTTCATAAGGAAAAAAAGAGACTACTTTTTTGTTTCTTAGGTGTATAAAATTTTGATTTTCTCAATGGGACTTTCCATAATGTGTGGTGTCAGACAGCTCACAGTCTGCCCTAAGGTGCGATGTGCAGAGTTAAACACCAGCTTACATCCTGCTTCAGTGACGATAAGGGGATGCGGATAGCCTCTGACAGAATTCTGTACATCCCTGCTACGATGTGACTGAGCCTCTCCTGTGGGACCATGCTGCTCTCTGCTATTGATGCCATCAGTGCTCTGCAGTCCTTCCTCTCCAAGGAACTCACCACAGCTGGACGCAAAAAAAACGCATGCACATTTTACTCACTTCAGCTTTGTAAGTGGCGTGACTTACCCTGAAGGGAACATTTAACCAAAGCATGCACAAGCACAGACAAACAACAGGTTAACAGTTACATGCAAATCTTAATCGTGGTCATTTAGATCCTCACACTTAATCTGACAGTGAGGTTACAGTTCTATAAACCCCAACTCCAGGTAAGTTTGGACATTTGTTTAAAACGTGAATAAAAATATAATCCAGTGATTTCAAATCCTTCCCACCTAACTTCACCTGAATACTCTATGAAGATATTTAATGTTTAAATAAATCAACTTGATGGTTTTTCTGTAAATTTTCTCTCATTTTGAATTTGATGCTGTAACGTAAAGTTGGTTCAGGGTCAATAAAAGACTTAAAACTGAGGACTGCTCCATTAACGTGTGTTTGGATCCTTCCACAGGTTAACAGGTTCATTAGAAATGGATGAGGGTCATCATTGGGTATAAAAGGAGCATCCCCGAAAGACTCAGTCCTCCACAAGCAAGGATAGGGTCAGGTTCACCGCTTTGTCAACAACTGCATGAGCAAATAGTCCAATAGTTTTACACTGCATTAAAAACCTACATCATTCTGTAAAGGATTTTACCATGTGGGCTTAAGAGGACTTTAGAAAACAATTATCAGTCAACACAATTTGGTCTCTACATCTACAGGTTCAAACTCTACCATGCAAAGACAAAGACAAAGACAGATATCAACAACAGCCAAAATCACTGCCAGCTTCTCTGGACCCAAGCTCATCAGAGATGGACTGACCCATAGTGGAAAAGTCTGCTGTGGTCTGATGAGTCCACATTTCAGATAGTCTTTGGAAATCATGGACATGGTGTCCTCTGGACTAAAGAGGAAAAGGACCATCCAGACTGCCAAAGGCAACATCTGTGATGGTCTGGGGGTCTAGACTCTAGAGAAAACATGACCCTAAACCAACTTTTTAGGAATCTGTTACAGCATCAAATTCAAAATTAGTGAATATTAAACAAAAAAGGGGGAAAACAATCAAGTGTATCAGTTTGAACATTCAATATATTTGTAGAGTATTCAGGTGAAGTTAGGTGAAAATGATACACAATTCATTGTGTTAGTTTTATGTTCATGTTTCACACAGTCTATGATTTAGATCAACATATTAATAAATAGATTTGCAGCCAGACAGATGAAACATTTCGAGTCTTTGTTGAGGGGACACTGACTCCTAAACTACATTTACCTTTCAGCAGTTTTCTGAACGTGTCGTGGTCCAAACCCTTCAGGTTTTTCGACAGTGACTCGATCTCTGGAGGTACCCTTCCTCCCCAGAAGCTGCTGTCCTTGGCCTGACTGGAGGACATGATTTCACTCGCACAGTTTTTCTTCGTATTGATGACAGCCACTTTTCTTTGGTACCGTTTGAGCAGAGACTTCCTGCTTTTGTCTCTTCTTCTTTTTAGCTTTTTTTGGCAGTTTGCAAACAAAGAATTGGCGCATTTCCGCCACCTACTGGAGATGGAGGGTCAGATGCTGTCGGATTAGTAGCTGCAGCTCTTTCTACATCTTCAAACTATGGCACCGAGTTACTGAGGTTTTGACTCCATTATATTGTAATAGTTACTGCCTCACATTTCTGAGAGTGTAGAATGACAGATCCTCTGTTTTGAGTCACAATAATACTTTGCCTGTATTATGTTTAGCTACTTTAAATGATGTTTTTTTTTTGTTCTCTCCTTTTACACACCTCATCTCACCAACCTTACTTTGGACTCTTTCAGATCATTCACCCATCCTCTCTTCCTCCCACCACTTCTTCCATCTCTCCTTCAAGCTCCTATTATTAATGCTCCTGACTTCTGTTTTATGTGAAGTTAAAGCTCATGTCAGAAACTTGTGGTTTGTGTCAGTTTTGCTTCTCTTGTCTTTTACATGCCCAAGCTCAGTTGCCTAAAAAAATTAATTAAATAAATTAATAAAAATAAGAATCTCATCCTGCTTACTTTTGACAGTCACCTACAGCCTACCATCCATTGTGACTGTTCAATGGTGAAAACTGTGATGGAGTCTGGATTTTCAACCATGTTAAACAGTAATTTCAATGAACATGTTACCTTGGAAAGTTTGTAATAATGATCCAGTGTGGTAAAATCATATGTTATATGACATAAGTAAGTAATGATTCGATGATGAGTAAGTCATGATTATTTAGTAATCGATTACTTAGCATGATGCCTCACTTTACTACAGGGTACACAAACAAAGTAACTAATGAGTAACTAACAGTTAAGTTAGCTAACAAGTAGTGATTCATTACAGAGTAACTGCTCAGCATGTTGCCTTAGTTTGTTCTCTGTACATAAATAATTAGCTTTTTAAATAATTTGATGAGGACTTACTATCTACTCATTCACTTGAGGTCAACTAACAGTTAGTTACACATTCTTTACCTACTAATTATGCAAACTTTGTCTGCTTATCTGATTATTAAGTGATGTTAACTAATGATTAGTCGGTTATTAGTTACCCATTTTTTACCCAGTAACTGTGCAGAGTAAGGGGATCCTACTGTAAAGTCCTGTTTGCCTTTTAAATGCAGACACAATGTTATGTTCTGTTTTTATTGATTAAGAAGCAAATCCAATATTTTTTTCATTTTCTTTGTTCATCATTTCCATCTTTGCATTTCTTTTTTTTAAAACTTTTTTCTTGTTGTTTTTCAGCTCATCTGAGTTGAACTGAACCATTTTGGCTCTGACTGCTAGCATCACACTATATTACTAACTGCTCCTTTCAACCATGTGGTCGTTGACTTATTTTCCCAGCGAGTCAGTTGTCTTTAGAATAATTTCTGTTGATGTGTTTGACAGGTCACTTGTTGTTTTTGTCTTTTTTCTCTGAGTGGATTTTTCAGGTGTGTTTCTTGTTGCTTCTGTCTGATTTGTTGGAGTTGGAGGCTTTCACTGGGGTCTTATGGTTACTTTCCTTTCATTAATAGACAGCAGGGTTTTCTTCTGGTTTTACCCAGTTTTACAGGGTTTCCCATCTTTTAATCGTATGTTTACATTGGGGTCCTCAGAGCAATGTAGGATTAATTGAAATTGAATTACCAACAACCACCTTACATATATATTGATATTTTTACCTTTCACAGTCTCCAAAATTGTGTCAACTTTCCTCACGGCATCAACTTGATATTAAATAACATAAATCCAGGCAGTTTTGAAGTTAGTCATTCAAATATCATGGCAATTCTTCAGCAAATTGTATTTAACCATATAAAGATTAAACAATTTTAAAAAAGGCTTGCTCATGCTGCCTGTTAAAAGTGATTCCATTATTTGTCAAAAAAAATCAAGATAACCATGTTTAGCTGTGTTGCTCTTTCCACGAACGCACAACCCCAATAAGTCATATACCGTCGTAAGGGTGACTAATCAGGCTTTCCAATGGTAAATAGTACAACAATTAGTAGTATTAAAGGGGAGAAATAAGTGACCAGAAGAGTGTCTCCAAACCTTTTATTTTTGTCATTTCACAGAGACTAAAATAATCGGATTTTTGTTCAGACAGAAATTATCATAAGGTTTCCAAACTGTGAGTTAACAACAGCAGCTAAGATGTGGAGCAGAGAGGACTGTGTAGTCTCCATAACATGTGTATGGGTTAACTTGCTGACAGAGCAAAAAAATATGTAGTTTAATATACTGTGGTATTGATACAGCTAAAAAAAAAAAGGACCAACACTGTTTCAACTATCCAGGTTTTGATACTTTTGACAACATTGTACTGTGGATTTTGTTCAGATAGCCTCCCCTTCTTCAAAAGAGTTGAGGGTTGCTGTTAAAGTCAACACCTATAGCATGTCATGATTAAGACTTAGTGGAAATAAATGAGAGGATGGATGAGTGATATCTTCTTCCAGGTGTGCTCTTCTCTACCTTGTCAGGTAAACTGGACAGCACCGCTCAGAGTACTGAAGCAGCAAGTTTTGTCAGTAGAACTTGAAACCCAGCAGCTGACAGTCACTGATTTGAATTTTTTTTGTATTGCAGACACCTACATTGCAGGAAAAGCCTAACCTCCACTCATTGATGGATTTTTTTGTTGCGGCTGGACTGGAGGAGAAAATCCATCTTAGGGGAAGTTACATTGTGTACATTAGCCCACACTGGAATGAAGGTTATTCTATTTTTTTTTAACAACAACAATATTAATGTAGGTTGGATCTTGGCCTCAATTTCTCCATGTTGCACAATAAGTTTTTAAAAAAACAAAAAACCCATACCAGCAAACATCAGGTTTTAGTTAGGTCTGTGTTAATAAAAGTTTTCACTTTCACATTAGGGAATTTCCTCCCCAGCTCAAAAAAATGTTACGTACAAATAAAAAGGATAAGTAGATCCTGCACAGAATTTGAAGGCTAATGTACCCTGAATTCATCATCAACATACATTTTACAAAGGTGCCCCGGTGACTCAGTAAGAGTTAAAGTCTTCTTTCTGAGATACAGTCACAGTTCAAAGTCACACAGCAGACCAGAAAGTTGCCACAATCTCCTGTGCTCTAAGCTGCTCCATTGGTCCAGTTGCACCTACCCTAAAGGAGACAAAAAGGGAACAGGAGGTAAATGAAGGCAGAGCCAAGCAGACACAAGCACAATTTATGATAAAAGCATTTCCTACCCTATTGATGAACAGGGGGCTCCTGGGTGCTTGAGGGTTATCAGCTCCGACAAAAAGGATCTTGCTCTCATTCCATGGAGAGCTGCACACACTCCGTCTGCCCTTGCTGTTGCTGCTCAAATTTCCTCGCTAAAACACACACAGGAGGAGAGGTTATTTACCCCAGAAGGATGTCGATGTGCACTACCGGGTGTTTGGCAAAATGTATTCTTTTTTTTTTGGTGTCAGTGATTATTATTATCGTTTATTTATTTATTCATTTTTTGGATCACTGGTCTCCATACAACTGTACCGTCTGAAATGTAAACTTTTGTTCTCATCATTTATCACACCATAGACTTTCTGCTCCTGGCTGTGGGTTAGAAATGTGATGCATGGAGACAGGAAAGATGGGATAGTTAGGATGTGAGTAACTCTGAAAGAGACCAAACTGTGATGATGCAAAACTGCAGCTCTCCTCAGTTGACACTTCTCTGAAGAGGAAAAAATAAATAAATGGTCCAAGCTAGAAGAAGAGCTACTGTGGCTCAAACTGCTGAAGAAGTTGATACTGGCTCTGACAGAAAGGCACAGTGTATCCCAGTATGAGGTGTGTAAGGCTGTATAGCCAAAGTCCAAATATAAAACAGACATCAGAAGTAGATCACAAAGCAATTCAAGTAGGTATTTGAACACAGAGTTCATGGTATTGAGCATCTGTTCATTGTGCAACCATTTACCCTTTTCTCAGATTACAGAACTTGCTGCGAATGTCTTGGTCTTACATACCACAGCACACTTTCAGAGATAGAGTGAGGTTCCGATTTTCAGAGCTCTGATCAGATGAGATAGGGGCCTATTCAAAATTAGGCAAGGACACATCATCACTGGATATTTTCACATATATGTTTTGAGGCTACACTGGTTGCTCACCCAGAGAGTACATTTCCAGTTGCTGCCTCAGGCGGACCTTCTGCAGGCTATCGTAGAAGTTGGGCTCCGGGCTGCTGCCGGTGCTGGGTGGCAGAGAGAAGATCCGCATGATCTTCCTCTTGTTTCTGGACCGGAACCAGGGAGATTAGAGGCAGCAGAACACCATACTGAGAGCTCAAGAATTAAACTCTCACCATCATGCATTAGATTCAAAGACGCGGAACAACGCGTACTCATTTTATCTGTACCAATAAGGCAATAAAAACTGGGTCGGTCCATTTCCTCACATGGACAGAACCACAAAGCTGTTATTTTAAAATGCTTATAGACAGGGCCTGGCATCCACTTTATTTGAACCAAGTGACAAAGAGAAAATATCCTTACTTTCTAGCATACATGAGAAGGCCGAAGCTGACCAGTATGACCAGCAGGTAGACGTTGGTGGCCTCGTTCCAGGCTTCGTGGACCGAATAGTCGATAGACTCGGGTTCATTACCCAGAACTCCGTGAGCACCCATCGAGATATCCGGGACGACGTGTAGTTTCTCCAAACTCAAAGGTAGAAAGAAATCCCTAATATACGAGATTTCTTCACTCAGGTATGCTCGTTCTTTTACAGTCCGATAGTCTTGGTGCAATTCCGTGTTTTGTTTACCGTCTTTTGTGTCAATTCCGGTCGATAAACCAGAAGTTCTTCTCCTGCTGTTTAAAGGCAGCTCATACACGACTTTTAATCACTACCGCCACCATGTGGTGTGGACTGAAAACGGGTCGAGGTAGAACACAGCTAAAGAGTATATATATATATATATATATATATATATATATATATATATATATATATAGCAGTGATATGACGTAATGTTCTATTTTCTTTTAGAATGGTTGTTTATTTTATTATCGTTTTGTGTCTATCTGCATCTGCAAAACATTCTTCTTATAAGATAATAATGACTATACACTCACCGGCCACTTTATTAGGTACACCTGTCCAAATGCTCGCTAACACTTAATTTCTAATCAGCCAATCACATGGCGGCAACTCAGTGCATTTAGGCATGTAGACATGGTCAAGACAATCTCCTGCAGTTCAAACCGAGCATCAGTATGGGGAAGAAAGGTGATTTGAGTGACTTTGAACGTGGCATGGTTGTTGGTGCCAGAAGGGCTGGTCTGAGTATTTCAGAAACTGCTGATCTACTGGGATTTTCACGCACAACCATCTCTAGGGTTTACAGAGAATGGTCTGAAAAAGAAAAAATATCCAGTGAGCGGCAGTTCTGTGGGCGGAAATGCCTTGTTGATGCCAGAGGTCAGAGGAGAATGGCCAGACTGGTTCGAGCTGATAGAAAGGCAACAGTGACTCAAATAACCACCCGTTTCAACCAAGGTAGGCAGAAGAGCATCTCTGAACGCACAGTACGTCAAACTTTGAGGCAGATGGGCTACAGCAGCAGAAGACCATGCCGGGTGCCACTCCTTTCAGCTAAGAACAGGAAACTGAGGCTACAATTTGCACAAGCTCATCGAAACTGGACAATAGAAGATTGGAAAAACGTTGCCTGGTCTGATGAGTCTCAATTTCTGCTGCGACATTCGGATGGTAGGGTCAGAATTTGGCGTCAACAACATGAAAGCATGGATCCATCCTGCCTTGTATCAACGGTTCAGGCTGGTGGTGGTGGTGTCATGGTGTGGGGAATATTTTCTTGGCACTCTTTGGGCCCCTTGGTACCAATTGAGCATCGTTGCAACGCCACAGCCTACCTGAGTATTGTTGCTGACCATGTCCATCCCTTTATGACCACAATGTACCCAACTTCTGATGGCTACTTTCAGCAGGATAATGCACCATGTCATAAAGCTGGAATCATCTCAGACTGGTTTCTTGAACATGACAATGAGTTCACTGTACTCAAATGGCCTCCACAGTCACCAGATCTCAATCCAATAGAGCATCTTTGGGATGTGGTGGAACGGGAGAGTGGCATCATGGATGTGCAGCCGACAAATCTGCGGCAACTGTGTGATGCCATCATGTCAATATGGACCAAGCTCTCTGAGGAATGCTTCCAGCACCTTGTTGAATCTATGCCACGAAGAATTGAGGCAGTTCTGAAGGCTAAAGGGGGTCCAACCCGTTACTAGCATGGTGTACCTAATAAAGTGGCCGGTGAGTGTATATATGGTATACTATATCAAGATGATTAATATATTTCCCTGATATACACTCATATGTTAGGTTTTAGAGAGACTGATGAATGTTTTATCGTGAGATAAATTCGAGATGAATTAATGACACTAACTAAAAAAAGGAAAAGAGAGAAAGAGAAAACATGGCGAGAGTTTTAGTATTGAAATTAAACACATGGCGTTTTTCATGACAACAAAACCAAATACGCCTAATTGTAATTGAGATGTATATTTCAGATGCAAAATGACATTATATAACCTTCACAGTGTTGCTTGTCTCCTGATGTGGAATCCGTTGCAGAGGTGCCCCGATGAAATGACTTGTTGTACCTTTATGCGCACGTGGAGCCATTAAAGAGCGTGAAAAGTAAACCATCGAATTATTTCTTAAATTTATATTTATGCTTCTCAAAGTTGCGTGCCTACAAGGGTTGCTTGCCGTGTTTCGATACAATGTTAAAAGAAATATGTGCATGGGCTGAACGCCAAAAGTGAGCACTAGTTTCTGAGGGAAGCGGAATGATACACAGTCCGTCCCTCTATTCTACAAATGCATTAGGATCTGGAGAACATGGAGTGGAGAGACGAAGGGGAGCAGTGTGAGACTGGAGAAGACCTTTAAGAGGAAAAGAACTGTGTTTCAACTCCGCTAAAAACACATTTCCATGGCCTCCGCACACTCTTAGAAGGTTTGTGAGAACAATTATTACTTATCCACGCTGAACCGCACTCTAATGAGCTACATGAGCGGGACTCACAGAGCGGTGGCTCGGTCATTTCCCTCGGAGGGCTTGGCTAAGAGTTAGCTTAGCGCAGCCTGGTTGTCAGACGCTTCAAAAGTTGCTGGAGCGGAGAAAGAAAGGGAAAGGCAAAGAACCGAACGGTTAACATAAAGTCTACATAACTCAAGACCACAAGGTGATTTTTAAAAAATAGCATGTTACACTTTTAAACCCTTTCAACCTATACAGTGATAGTGGATTTAATGTGTCAGACTGTAGGGCTAAACTAATCTAGTTGTGATCTGATAACGTTAGCTAAGCTACATTTAGCCACTCGAAGACTAGCCAAAGCTACTGAATTTACGCTTTTTAAGTTTGCGTTTTTGTGGAGCCAAGTTGAAATTGAATGGTAGCTCAAGTTTTTCTTAGTCACAGCAGTTTGTGGCTTTGTGAAATTGAGGATGCGTCTCTTTTTCTCTCTTGAAGGTGGGTGGGGGTAGCTTATTCCCTCTGCTGTTCCCACACTGACTGCCTCATGTACACTGAAACAATAAGGCTAAGTTACGGGTAGGAGTTTGTCCATGTCCGTAGGAGTGCTACTCGACCTCGTTACTGGAAAATAATGCTGCTATAGAAGATGATGTTTGTAGTTTTCCAGATTCTTGTATTGTTTTCCATTCTTGAGGAGTGCTGTGGTCTTTGTGCTTTCGGGATATTCGCCACACCAGTAATAAATCTAATTAGAAAAGACACATCCTAATCTTCCAAACCGTCTCCTTAAAGTATAGATTTCACTTATCAAATGCTTTAAGCTTTTATTAGCTACAACAATAACGATATAGCAATAGCAGTATAGATTAGCATGTAGATGTGCTCATTAGCTTCCCAGTGTAAAAAGTCTCGTGCTATTCAGGACTAAGGTGTGTCATCTCTCACTCTGAAACATATTTGAGGATTCATCTTTTAGTCATATTCCATCAGGAGATGAAGGGGGAGCTGATCATTGTTGGATTCATGATCATGTTTGATTTGGCGCTACATAAATTTAAAAAATATATATATACTCATTGATTAAGGCCATCATCATTATTAGCATAAGTTTTGTCAATATATGTCTGATCAGTGTGGATTTATCAGTATTTGGATGGTGAAAGTTAGTTGGGCCTTTTAGTGTAATGGCTTTGTATCTTAAGAGCACTCATTTAAATTCGATACAATAATAATAAAAATAAAGCTAAAAAAAAAAACAAGTTTATAAAGTGCTTTGACATAAAGTCTTAAAGCACATGGAAAAAGACGGATAAAAACAAAAAGCTCAGTTAAAACGGAATTGAAGGCCATTTTCATATGTCATAAGGAATCCAGACAATACAAGAACCATGCAACATAAAATGAGACCATGAGGACCAAAATAAAAACATAAAATAGTTAAGAAAAAAAAATTGCAATTAAAAGGGGGGGGTTTAAAATGGAAAACAGGATAGGAAAAAAAAACCCAAACAATATCATTAATGATAATAAAATAAGTAATACTGATAGCAATAGGAATGATAAAATACAGCAACAGAAATGAGCAAGAGAAAAAAACAATGAATGGCCTGAAAGGTTAATTAAGAAAAGAGTATAAGTATTAAAAAAAGCTAAAAAAGACAGTAAAGCCGAAATAAGAGAGGTAAAAAAGCTAAGAGATGACAGGTAGAAGATAAAAGACGGCATCACATGAAACCAAGTCTGTAAAAGTGAGTACGATCTTTTCTAGATTAATTAATGTATGACACACTTAATCAGTTCATCAATATGCTTCTCTTCTAATGTAGCTTGGATCCATTTGGTTATACATGTTGTGTATAATATTATATGTAATTATACCACTTATCTTCTCTCCTCTGGCAATCAGCACATCAAAAAGCTGCCGATCTCTGACTGATTATACCATACAAGAATCTGCTCAGGCTTTGGCAAATGTTAGCTAAATTAATCTAATGGCTGTCCTTTTCTGGTTCTTAGTTTTTCACTCCTTCTAAAGATTAAAAGTAGTATAAAAACTCAAAATTTACTCTTTAAATCAGTAGCTTTGGTGTTTCCAGTCTCAGAAAGTTAGGAGCATCGGCAAAAATCTAGCATTGCTTACTAAAAATGACGTTGCAGCACATTTTCCTTTTTTTAAATTCTATTTGAACTTAAAAAAGGCCTTGTGGTCCCTGGATGTGAACTTTAATCAAGATTAAGGATTTCATCATTCACATTAGCATCTGATGATGCTACATCATCAGAACAACAGAGCATAGTTTATTGTGTTCAGCCAGACAGTGCTGTCATCTTACAAATTCTGATTTTATTATATATACAGATGATGAAAGTGTCCACACTGAAGCAGTGTTGAGACATATGTCTTCTTTGAATAATAATAAAAAGAGAGAACTGGACTGACAGACTGACAAAATGAATTCCAATATGGACATATGTGAGAACACCTCAAACATGATCTTAACTACTGGATCAGAGCCAATCTAGGTACTCATTAAGTTGTATGGAAATCAGTGATTTAAGTTGATCATCTCACCCTGTTCATTTATGCCAGCTGTCACTGAGCAACATTTGCAGCACAGGGTGAATGCACAATTGACTGATCACCAAGTCTTCTGTATTTACCTAACCCTAAGTACTTGATGAGAATATAATGATTTGGACGATGGAGTGTGATAGAATACAGCAAGAACAAGCCCTTTAAGTCAATCCACTGTAACTCTCTAGACACACAGTTCAAAACGGTGGAAGTGTGTCCTAAACACAGGACAGTCAATCACATCAGTGTCAGCAGCCCCATGACTAAAACTTCAGCATTGTGTGTGGTGTGTGTCTAGTATTATTCTGACCACTATTTTATTCTAGAAAGTAGGCCTGGGCGATTTGGCAAAAAAAAAAAGATCATCAATGATTTGTCATATTGTCCGATCTCGATTATTATCACGATCTTTTTTAAACTGCCTGTTTTAAAGCATCTGTACTAAAAACTAAAGAAACTAGAGATAAGTTCTGCATTTTATTAACATACAAAGTAAATAACAAAGCAAATTGAATAAGATAAACTTAGAAAAATATAAAAAACATTTTAACTCAACAGTACAACAAATGTAGATAAATGCTAGATAATACAGTGAATTAGTTTACAGTCCTGAGTGTTTTTTAAAGGTATGCAAGACCCCAAATAAAACAAATCGCCCCCTCAGAGATAATGAAGACGCCTTAAAATGTAAACATTAGATGATGTAAATGTAGATGATATGATTAATCGCTGCCTAGGTTTGGTGGCTGCACTGCTAGTTTTAGCTAAACTGCTAATGCTACTCGTGCCGTCAGCAGTGACAGGCTGTTCAGACTCCGCTCACATTTTCATGCTTCCCGCATAATCATTTGGGAGGCACTTCTTCAAATGATTAAACAGATCTGTTGTGTAGCTGGTTTTTGAGGGCACCGATCACCGACATACCTTGCTCATCAACTTAATCACTCGACATCACTTTGGAGATACCCAAACCACCACCACACAACCAACGTTGAATAACTTCTGAACAATAACATCTTCGGAGAATGACTCAAAGTCACGGCTGACATCTACTTTGCTGCCCTCAGCTCCGCGTTTAGCTCCATGTTCGGTCATTCTGTTTACTTCTCCTGTTTACTTCTCCGGCAACTTACAGAAGTGAGCAGGAAAAGCTTGACACTGATTGGCTGTTGTGACGCACATTTCCGCTATGTTTGATTGAGTAAATATGCTCTCAGCTGATCACCGTGATCGAACTGAAATTTATCACCATCATCGATCACGCTCATATAATCGCCCAGTCCTCCTAGAAAGTGAAAACCGAAGCTGTAACACGTAGGTGGCTGCAGGCAGTTCCCCCAGCAGTGACTGACTGGATCGATATTTTAAATACTATACAGAATATGGAGAGAATGAACTTCTCGCTAAATCACAGGATGGATAAATTCCTGCAATACTGGAAAAAATGGATTGTGTCTGTGAACTCACAAGCTGATGTCTGAGCCATTATTGTATGATATCTGACATGTATTTCTATTAGTGCAATAACGAAACAACATGTTCAGTTGACTGTTTCTATAAAAAGAAAGTATAAAGTAGAAAAAAAAAGTGAAAACCGACAGCAAATTGCAGTATATGCAAGACAGTTGATTTGAGTTGCTGTATCAGTTGAGCTGCGTTCAAAACAACCACTTTGAAATGAATTCTTTACACTGAACATCCAACAGAAATTGGTAAAGGAACAGAGGAAAGGCTGCTCTGCTGCAGCAACAAGCCCTAGATTTATGAAGGAAATGTGTTTATCCTTTAGAGATCTTAAAAGCCAAACAGTCAATAAGACAGATGATGTTGAATTAATTATTCTGGACAACCGGTCCAGTTGTGTGGCAGAGATGGCAGATCTGGGCTGTCTTTTAGATGCCCCGCCCTCGTAACCACTACTGCCAGATACCACTTCACTGGAGCTGTTCAGCAAAGTGCATGACAACTTCTGAATTATGAACGCAGCAATTTTGAGAATCAAACATTTAATGTCATGCATTTGGGCTTAATTTATGATCTAATTTGGAATTCAACATTTTGAATATGTGTGGTGGGGCTGTCAAAATTGGCCAAAAAAGATGTTTGAATATTCCCTCTGAGGCAGTGGATCTCAAGTCCAGTCCTGGAGGCCCACTGTCCTACATGTTTTGGATGTTTCCCTGCTCCAACACACCTGATTCAAATGATTAGCTCGTTATCGAGCTCTGTAATGGCTTAGTAACGAGCTGATCATTTGAATCAGGTGTGTTGGAGCAGGGACCACTGCTCTAAGGAAAACACAACATTTCTTACTATTCAAACCTAAGAGACAACTTGATTAACTATTTGATCATGTGCTGAGAAACAGCTTTTAAGTGCCAACAGAGAGGGGAAGGGAAGGAGAAGTGTGGATTTGTCAGTGTGTCCGGATACGGAGTGATCATCATGTCACTGTACACCTGTTTGTTGTTATTGTGCGTATGTAGGAGGCTACTGTAAAGCCTTAGACCCAGTGAGTGACAGAGACAAAGATGTTTGTGTCTGTTTAGTGCTGCTGTCTAACCATTCATTTTTGGTTATAAAGCCAGAACATGCAGAGCGGTACTGTCCTATCAGTCAGTGTGATGCATTTCTAATGAGTTCATCCTGAGCAGCTCGTGGGAGATGTTATGCTTATAGGGGCTGTGTGCTGGGAATTACTCGTCCATATTACACTCCAGTTTATCTTTGATCTCCTGATTTTTACCATCTTTCTTCAGAAGTTCAGTTCTGTTTTGTTTCTCTCATCTTTTGAAAACAGATAAAGACATGTTGTGATTTGTTGAGTTAACTTCTCAGCCTGACAGCATACAAGTCCAGCAGTTTTCTCTTTCCCGCTGTACTGATCAGTTTCCTCTGTGACCAGGGCTGTTTGGGTAAGAGTAGAAAATCAGGCTCTCTGCTGTCATCATGCTAGCAGAGAAAAGTGTGGACTTCTAACAAGAAACAATTCCACTTTTTTCCCACATGTGAGTCAGATTAAAGAATGTCTTAGATTTTAAACATTACACACATCATTTATTTTGCATTTTTCTGCGAGACATGGCCAATGAAGTCTTTCCCTGCCAGACAACAGCATGTGAAACCATCTGAAAAGCAGCTTTTGTAAACCTGACTCACTGTCTCTGCAGCTGAGTTATACTCTGTCATCACTAGCTGCGTTTCCATTACCCATAGATTTGCTCAAAACCTAAATATTGCAATAGAAAACTTGTAATGGAAACACCTAAATTTCGAAAAACCTCTCAAATATCGCTAAAAAGTTTTTACGCTCTCATGAGGTGGTTTTTCAGACGTGTCAATACAGAAGTATATCGCAAAAGTGTAATGGAAACACTATTCTCGCAATTCTCTGTCACTGGACGTGACGTAGCGGGTCATGTGACCAGTTCATTTCAAGCGAAGATGGCGCAGTATGTGTGGACGGGGGAGGAGACGGAGTTATTTCTGAAGTTTTGAATTGTATTTGTATTTTTCTGAAGTTTTGAATCCACAATTCGTCTGTGAATTCCTCATTAACGATCCGCTCCCAGAAATCCCTCATCCGTGTTCGCTCCCAGACATACAGGTTTTGCCTTTGAATTATCACCCGCTGCCTTCGTCTTCTGATGACAGCAGCGGCAACAGCAGTAATGGTCACAGAAATAGCTGTTCTAAAACGCAAAATGTTTTGTGTCTCGTCCATGTTGGTGTGCAAAAAGGCTTAAGGAATACGAGGTCGCATGGGCAGGAAGTTTACCTCGTTGCCAGGCAACGGCCACTCAAACACGGCTCGCGAGTGGCAGACGGCTCGCTTATGCACTGAACACCATTCAATGGAAACACCCGCAAATCGCAATTGTACTTTGTCGAAATTTGATAAACATCGCTTTTATTTTGCGAAAAAATGTAATGGAAACGCAGCTATTGTTAGTGAACTTGTAACTCTTGTTACAATCTCTGAGAATCAAGAAGGTTACAATGCTGCAACCAAGCTCCCAACCTGACAGAAAGCCTCCTTACATGTTCCAAACTTATGGGGGAATACTTAGAACATATGAATGAAAATGGAGTATTTGTGAACAGTGTTAATGTATGACAATAACATATTTTTATTTTTTATTACTATGCATTTTTCTACAACACGTATGCATGTCAGAGCTTTATGCCACACTACCACACTGTAATTGACATATTATGACACCAAGTGTCACTTCTATTAAAATGCACATGTGCTGTATTACACCCCAACAGAGCCAGACAGAAGTGGGAGAAAGAGACAGACTAGGGCTGGGCGATATGGCCTCAAATCAGTATCACAATATATTGAGGAGTTCACCTCAGTATCGATAAATGGATGATAACTACTCCACAAGCTGCTTAATCCCTCCCACATGAACTTCGTTGACTTCATTGAACCATCCTCCATCTCCTCACCTGTCTTTCCTTCTTTGTTACGGACTGGATGGGGTGGAGTTATGTCGTTGACGTAGGACAGCGTCTTCAAAGAATCATGAGACCATAGCCTACCTACACACATACAAAACCAACTTTTATTTATTTATTTATGTTTTTGACACCGAATATACCGATATGAGCAAAATGACGTCGGTTATTGTCGAAAATTTCAGTATCGGTAAATTTTCGGTTTATCGCCCAGACACAGCACCATGTGTTTTACGCATATAGGACCAGTATCCTATCATATCATGATCATGGCCAAAATAAATTATTGAACTTCAAAATCTTCATCAGTTTATTTAAAAAAAAAAAAAAAGTTAATTTGACTATTTTCTTTTTTGAAAAAACACATTTTTCCTCTGCTTCTACGTTGGGCGGCTGTGGCTCAGTGTAGTGCAGGCCGTCTCTCAGTTGGGGTTTGACCCCTGGTCCTGCTGACTAAATGTCAAACTGTCTTTGGGAAGGCACTTGACCTCAACCTGCCCAGCGGTATGAGAATGGGATCAGTCAAATCTGTTGGGTGCCTCACCTCGCAGCCTCTGCCAACAGTGTGCGAATAAGGTGTGAGTGGGTGGATGTGACATGTAAAGTTAATACACTTTGATGAGTCAGACCACAAAAAGACAGACATGGGTTGTTTACTGGTGCCTACGTGGTAGTAATGTAGCACTCCTGCCACATGGTTTCTGTAGCTCATCTGAAAGCTGTTCGCTAAATGTATGAAATGACAGAAGAAGAAAACTAACAACAACAACAACAACAAAAAAACCCTGAAAAACTAAGACTGACAATGCTTTGAAATAGCAAAATACATCAGGGTCAGTTTCTGGAGACGCGGGTGTAGTTCCACATTTGTAAAATGTTACTATTGACTCAGCTGATTCTCCAACATTTTCAGTTTTCAGTTAAACGACTCTGAGTTGGTGATGATAACATATTCTCTCTTATCTATTCTGCTAATCCAGAAGAGGATGCCACAGGAGCCTGATCCATGAACAGGGCTGACATGAAGGAGTTCAACCCCTTTTTAAAGCATCAAAAAAACTCACCTTCTCTGAAAGAAACACACCCTTTAAGTTTAGCTCTAAAGTCCATATCGTATTATAACATATTATTTTTTAAACATCATTGTCTCCTCGTCATTTGTGTTACTCACAGTAGAGCTCTCAGGGTTCGACACAGTTAATTCTCTCGACATGATCGTATCTGTGTGTCTGTGTTGGCCAAATAATTTTAGATTTTGTTAAACCACATAGCTTCTCATAAACTTTTAATTTAGATCAAATGTGGTAAGTTATGACATGGGTTTTGATTCTAATTACTTCATTCATACACAGTCATTTCAGATAACGTGTGATCCTAAAAGTTCACCCTGAAGAAATGCAGAAATGATGGACATAATGCGGATGAAGAATGGGGTTCATGGGGTCATTTTGTGGATGATTGTGGATCCCAGCTTTACATTCTGATCAGACATGTTTTGGCTGTAAGAGATTTTCTCTTATTTTATCTTTTGAAGTCGAATCTGACAACACTTCTATATGCATACCTCATCCAAGTTCTGGACAGACTTGAAGTCCTGCACGGAGGTGCTTTGTCCTGTCAGAAAAGGTGACTGGAGGATTTTTGTTCAGTTTGTTGTGCTGGAAAAGTTTTAGGCCTTCATGGCAGGGAGATTCAGAGAGGTGCTGAAAGATATTGATATTGTATATATCGGGATATAAACATCCAAGATATTGATACTGCAAAATAAAAGATATAGATTTTCCCTGAGTTCTACTCAATAAAACTGCACTTTCCACATTCTATTGTGTTGTGATGTTTTTATTTTCCTGAAATTTTCCTGAACCCATAGTGATGTCATATCTATATGAAGATATCTGGCATGAATATAAAATTCGGGATATAAAATTCTGCCCATATAGTTCAGTCTTAATTCAGAGTTCATTCGTGTTTTGAAACTTTGATGTTTTTACAGATATTTGGGAATTGTTGTAAGTTGGTTCTTGAACATACTGCCCCCATAATGAGTGTGTTGCTGAACATGAAAAGCCTATGCTGCTCTAATTCTCTCTTTCGTGTTTTGCAGAGCACTGGCGGAGCAGAGGATCGACTGGTAATTGATGGAAAAATCAATCCAGCCGGTGGCTGGGACTTGGTGCTGGGAAGTGAGCCCTTTCTTTCTCGCCTGTCATCCTGCTCCGGAGAATTCAACGCAAGTCCTCACCCCAGATCCTGCAGCCTGCTCCCCCTCCCTTCATAGGGAGTGGTGACCTAACTCTGGACGGCTTGCTGCAGGGCCCTTCCTGAGCAGCAGCAGCTGCGTCCTGCCTGCTGACTTCGATCCCTCTCCTGCTTCCTGTCTTTTCTGGTCAGACAAGGATAAAACCTCCTTTACCCCACCCTTTATCTCTTTTGGCCTCTAAAACTCTAACCCCTCCCCCAAATAGATTGCATTGTTGGCCTCTCTTCCACGTGTTTTAGGCTTCACTACTTAGTCTAGACTGAACAGAAAGGAACCTTGGATCCCATTGGTCCCCCAAAAGTGAGTTTTACCTGTTATACAGCTCGCAACATGACCTCAATGTCCAGTCTCTTCTCCTTCACAAGCCCAGCAGTCAAGCGTCTGCTTGGATGGAAGCAGGGAGACGAGGAGGAGAAATGGGCAGAAAAAGCTGTGGATGCCCTTGTGAAAAAGCTGAAGAAGAAAAAGGGAGCAATGGAGGATCTAGAGAAAGCTCTCAGCTGCCCTGGGCAGCCCAGCAAGTGTGTTACCATTCCAAGATCATTAGATGGCCGCCTGCAGGTTTCCCATCGCAAAGGTCTGCCTCATGTAATCTACTGCAGAGTCTGGCGTTGGCCAGATCTTCAGTCCCACCATGAGCTGAAGCCTCTGGAGGTGTGTGAGTACCCGTTTGGCTCCAAACAGAAGGAGGTCTGCATCAACCCATATCACTACAAACGAGTGGAGAGTCCAGGTAGGTACTCATGCTTTCTGCAGATAGAGTGGTCCTTTTTTTTTTTTTTTAAATTTAGTTACACGTATATTCAGCAAGTGATCTTCACTTTGTCATTTTCAGTCTATATCTTGATGAGTGTAGTTGTGCGTCTGTAAGCCTTTGGACAAATTATTTGAAGTTGCTAACTACGTATGACAATTTTGCACTATTGTGAATGTGGCGCATACATGTTCCTTTACCTGCAGGGCACTGATCAGCTTGTGGGGTTTACGATATAAAAGTCACAGGTATATCATGAGTTGTAATATTTTGCTTCTCAATTTGGTGTAATGATAAGCGCAAAGTGTCTTCGCTGACAGACGAAGTATTGGCTGTAGAATTTATTCAGGTCAGTCCTCCTGTTGAACAGCCAACGCTGTATTTTGATCAGGTAAACATGTTGTGTGGACCAAGGGTTGTGTCAGAATGTCAGTATGAAATGTAAAAACAATAAAGGCTTGACACTTTCCTTGGAGACGCAGCACCACTTGGCTTTCCCAGTTCAGTTAAATATCTGAATATTACAGACAGTTGGTAGGAGACTGTGTCTAAGTTTGGGCACATCATTTCAGTCAGTCGTTTTCCTTTGTTTTTATCTCACAAAGACATGAGCGACAATGCTGTAATTTAGACTTGTCAGACCAAGAACGGATTTCTGATTTTTTTACGTCAATGACTCGTGTTTCTTGGCCCAAGCAGTCCTCTCCTTTCTGTTGATTTGCCTCAGAAGTGGCTTCTTTGAACCATCAAGGCCTGATTCACACTCCCCTTGAGCTGTTGATGTTGCGAAGTGTCTGCTGCTCAAACCCTGTGCATTATTCATGTGAGGTCAACTCAGAGGTGCTTTTTATTTGCATTTTCTGAGGCTCCTCATGAACTTATCCTCTGGAGCAGAGGCAACTCTTGGTTTTCCTCTGCTTGGGGTCCTCATGAAGGCCATTTTCATCATATTGGTTGATGGCATTTGCGACTGCATTTGTGGATACGATCAGAGTTCATAAAATAGTCCTGGATTGCCTGACCTTCACCTCTTTCATTAATGGACCGTTTCTTTTTTTATTTTGTTGAGTGTTTATGGATAAGAACAGGAGTTAAATAAGGCTGGTTATTGTATAGGTCTGCATACTAATCCTTCCAACACTGATTGTTTCAAACACATAAAACGACAAGGAATCTCACCGATTAACTCTTGACAAGGTCCGTCTGTTAATTGAAAACTACTCCAATCCTGGGCAAAGCTGGAATCAAAGTTTTGATTTCTATACATCAATCTTTGATGTACAACCAAATAAAAATAAGAGAAAAACATTTAGTGAGGTATGTTTTAAACTTTTGACTGGTTGTGTGTGTGTGTATATGTATGATATAATAGCGCTATCAAAGTTAATCTGTTAAAATGTTAATGCAAAATTATTTAAATAGCACTTTTTTTTAGCATCCAATTAACCCACATCCAGCTGACTTCTCTCTGATATGAGCCATCGCCCGCTGTATCAAAGTCAATTGAATGTGGTTTAATTGTAGTACCAACTGTCGCCACTAGATGGAGGCTGAATACAGCACTGTGGGGACTTGGCATCAAAACCTAAATGGATAAATAAATCTAATCTGTGGTGATTCATGTGAACTCAGCTGCACATTTCTGTTGTCAGCTGATGATGCAAAAAGGGAGGCTGCCATTGTTTTGTTTTGTTTTGGTCAGTAACTGTACATACAATCAGCTGACCTGGAAAGGTCCAATCAGAAGCTAGTGATGATTTAGTGGCATTGGCATAACACTGATAACAACAAAGTCATCAGAGTTTTGAAACATAGCGTTTATTGTTTTCTGACGAGCCGCAGGGGAAAAAAAAGAGAGGTTTTTTTAGTTGGTGTAAAATTGGACACCTAGTTATGTTAGCACTACTCTTGTCATGTTACAGTCAAGTCAGTATGATCCTCTGTTGTTGCTGTTGGGGTGTTTAAAACTCTACCAATGTCCCTTATGCTACATTTGCAGTAGATCAAACATCAGAAATATCTGTCACTGTTTCATTTCTTCTTGTGTGTTTTTTTTTATTTCTTTATTTTAAGTCTAATAACTTGAATTGATACCGTAGCACCTTTCAGAGACCCACAGATGAAGACGGTGAGGCAAGAGATGTTAAGATGGTTGCCTTTTTTTGCAGTTTGTCAACTGAAATAGAACCTGAAAAAAAACACTGGCAAGCAAATGAATGTTAAGTCTTTGTGATACAAGTATTCATAGATACTCAAGCAAGGCAGCATCTATACTCAATCTAGATTTAAGGGGAAGGTGCTCTGGCTATGTTTTGTATGAATATCACAGCTGACTAACTTTCCAATCTTTTGTTCCACCATCCAGTGCTCCCTCCTGTCCTAGTACCAAGGCACAGTGAGTTCAACCCCCAGCACAGCTTGCTTGTACAGTTCCGCAACCTCACCCACAACGAGCCACACATGCCACTCAACGCCACCTTTCCAGAGTCCTTCCAGCAACCGCACAGTGGGGGCAGCAGCAGCAGTGGTGGAGGGGGTGGAGGCAGTTCTTTTCCCATCTCTCCCAATTCTCCATACCCACCTTCACCAGCCAGCAGTGGTACTTACCCCAACTCTCCAGCTAGCTCGGGGCCATCCAGTCCATTCCAGCTTCCAGGTACTCCCGACATAGAAATGGACCTAACCCCGGGCACAAGGCAGCTTAAAAGAGGCCATACAATATTCCCCAAGGGTTTATGATCTTTAGCCGTGTGTATATATCAGTTGTCTGTTGTTTTGTTTTGGTTGCCGTTTTGAGAACACATGTGCTGTCAGCCGGCTCCATACAGTCAGTGGCAGCTTTACTGAAAAATCACAGTCAGATGAAACTCATGCCATTTTTCTGTAATCACTGAAGTCTGCTAGAGACTTTCCACAGTTTCTCTCCTTATACTGGAGAATCCCAATGAAGTCTCCAGATGAAAACACTTTTGTTGATCAGAGGGAAGGAAATTTACTGAGCAGTTATTTTTAGAGGTTTAGCCATAAAGGTTATATTTATACTCTTTCCTAGATCATCATTTAAACTTTACATTGTGGGAGCATAGGTAACCATAATCAAGGTCAAATATATATCCAGCTCTCCAAAATAAAGCTTTACCAGCAGACATTAAGCTTTATCACTCATTATTTGATTTGACTGTTTATCTAAATGTATTCAGCATGTAGAGACATTTTGGATGCAGTGCATAGAAGATTCAGCTTTATTCTATCAACTTCATTTTATCACTAGTCACTTTAGATGAATCCCCATTTGTATTAGTTATATTTAAATGAATGTGCTAGGTGTGTTCTTGCAGCAACAACTGATGTCATCCCGTCTAAATGCAATTACTCTCAATTACCAGCTGACACCCCGCCCCCTGCCTACATGCCCCCTGATGAGCAACTAGGCCAGGAGAGCCAGTCAATGGAAACATGTAGCACCATGGTTCCACAAGCCATCAACAGAGGAGGTTAGTAGTTCAAACATGTACACTGACATCGGATTTGTGCTGAAACATGTACCAAATGTGAAGTTTACTGAAAACTTTGTTGAGGCACAATTTAAGAATCAACCTGATGCTTTTTCACTAAGATTGAACTGGAAAATGTCATCAGCAAACTTTATGACCCACTAAAAAAAACTAAAACTCACCTGTTTTTTGTTTTTTTTCTTTCCTTTTTCCAGATGTGCAACCAGTGGAGTATGAGGAGCCCAGCCACTGGTGCTCTATTGTTTACTATGAACTCAACAATCGTGTGGGGGAGGCTTACCATGCCTCTTCAACCAGTGTACTGGTAGATGGCTTCACCGACCCTTCAAACAATAAGAATCGCTTCTGCCTTGGACTGCTTTCCAACGTCAACCGCAACTCCACAATTGAGAATACCCGTAGACACATCGGCAAAGGTATGGCAGCATTCACATCCAGCAGAATGGGGCAGTTGATTAGGTTTTGCAAAGGCTCCTTTCAATGACCTGACCATCATCTGTCCGTCTGTTCACCAGGAGTGCACCTGTACTATGTGGGAGGGGAGGTGTACGCAGAATGCCTCAGTGACACCAGCATTTTTGTCCAGAGCCGAAACTGTAATTACCATCATGGCTTCCATCCCACCACTGTCTGCAAGATCCCCAGTGGATGTAGCCTCAAGATTTTCAACAACCAGGAGTTTGCTCAGCTTCTGGCGCAGTCAGTCAACCATGGCTTTGAGGCCGTCTATGAGCTCACTAAGATGTGTACCATAAGGATGAGCTTTGTGAAAGTAAGGCATCAACAGATGAAATATAAGAGCGGGACAGTCTCAGAATTTATTTGAACTATAGCAAACATAATCATTTAAAACAATCTGTCTCCTTACAGGGCTGGGGCGCAGAGTATCATAGACAGGACGTCACCAGCACCCCCTGCTGGATAGAGGTGCACCTGCATGGGCCCCTGCAATGGCTGGACAAGGTGTTGACTCAGATGGGTTCACCTCTTAACCCAATCTCCTCTGTGTCCTAATGATGATCTTATGGGAGCCTGGGAATTCCTCTCTACATTCTTCCAACTTTCCTGTTCTTCCCCTCTGTGATTTTAATTTAATTAGTTCTTTACGGCTGAACTGTTTTTCTCTTTATCTCTGGACAAAAAAAGGTTACTGATCTGTGTCTGTCAATTTAACAACAACCAGAGCACACGCTATCATGTGTTAGGTATAACATAACAAGAAAGTTCCAGAAAGTCAATGCCAAGGTGCAGTTGCAGCATAAACACAGAACTTCTTGAATTAAGGCGGCCTTGTATCAAGCTTAAACACAAGTCAGAATTTTCTTTTCTTTTTTCTTTTTTTTTTTTTTTTTTTTCCTTTTTGCAACGTTTTTTGTTTTCACATGTTTTTATTCCTCAGTATGTTCAAGTCTTTTTTTGGAGCAGAAATGCAATTACTCCACCTTGCGTCCTATAAATTGGGTTGTTACTTGAAAGAAATTTCCTTTTTATCTCAATGTCAAAAATTTACACTGTGAAAACACAGACACATTTGTTAATCCTGAACACTCAATTTTATTAAAAAAAAATCTTTCTTTTTCTCCTTCAATTACAAAGAACTCTGAGCCTGTTGCCTTAAAAAGGATGATTAAGTGTGCTGATGGTATGATGGTTTTAACACGGGAGCTCGATCACTGAACTAGTTGAACCATAAACTGACAACTTTTTAAATTTGACATATGTTATAATAGAAGTAGGGGGTTTGATATGTCAGACAATGGACATCATGGTTAGTTCTTATCTGTATACACTCAAACAAGAGTGATTATCTTCCATGCTCAATGTATTAAAAGAAATGTGCACATGGTTTTTACAGGGGCATATTTTGATTTTGGTGTGTCTACAAGGTAACATGTTCATAAAAAAAATGACATTAGCTAAATGAAATAAAAAGGTTATTCTGTAATGCTGTTTTATTTTGTCTTTTTTTTTTTTTTTTTGTAGTTACATGTTGCAAAATGCAAGCGTATGGAAAACAAAGAGGGTAGAATGACGTATTAAAAAGGTCGACAGTAACCACAACACCAGTCCCGCAACAAATGTAAACAGATGGTTTTTCTTTTCAAGAAGCATAATGATACATTCCCAGCAAATGGCTGAGCAAGGCCTTTTTTTTATTGTATTCAATATTTTACTTCCATTCATTGCTGAGTGCATGACTGACTGAAGCAGGAGACATAGTAAGAGTATATACCCTTTTTCAGTGGAGATGTAAAACAGTATACTTCCACTGCATGATATCAAGACTTATTTTACATTTTTAGAGGATCACAGACTTGGATAAAGTTGGTGCAAGGAATAGGTTTATGCACTAAACGTAAAGCTGCGTCACGGTAGTACACTGATGTGATATGTTACCATCAAAATTTCTCTACAAAATATTGTTAAATGCATGACTAAACATATCGTATAGCCGGCAATACATTATAAAATTCTTGTGCACAGGCTGAAGATGTCTAGACATTGCTGTAATGTAAATGTACAGGGGCAAACAAGGAATAAACGTGATTTTTATTGTGTTTATGTCAGCTTATTGTGTGCTGTCTGCTTTTGATTTTAAAATTGGAAACAAGTTTGAAGTACTATTAAGTTGAATTACAAGTCTGTTTTGGTTGAAATATTATATTTAAGAGGACTAAACTTTTAGATGGGTATATCAGTATCTGGTTATCAGGGGAGTTCAGGCTGCTGCGTTGATGATTGAGATGAAAAATATAACACGGTTAAGGTTAGAACCTCCCTAACAACTTTCCATTGGTCCACGTTTATGTTTACCGTAAAGCTCCTAAAAATCGCAGTACTTTTTCAGCTAAAAGTACCTTTCTGCTTGATGTTTGTTTGTCTGAATCATACTCAGTCACCCTTAATCTCGATTAATCTCGAAGACTGCGTTTATCGCTACATGTTGAAGAGAATTCAAACATCTTTTTACCTTTAAATCACAAAGACTTTGACTGCAGTACTGCCTGAAATTTCTTTTGCGTCATAGTACCGTGTTAACCGGATGTGAGGTGGCTCTCAGCGAACAAGCCTCTGATAAACACGTATCCAGACGGCCGAAGATAATGACATTTAGAAGCGACAACTGAGAACCCAAAAAATGGACTTTTTGATTGAGAGATAATTTATGGGATTGCACGGAGACACTTGACGGAGTGAAAAGGAAGCGAGTCTTGTGTACACATCGAGTTGGTGAGTCCCGCAGAGCACTGAGGGCTTAAATGTTACCTACTTTACAGCTAATGTTAGCTAGTGCTATCCAAGCTTATTGCCTGTCTAACAGTTGGTTAACCTCTGAAACAGGTCTGAACTAATGCTAATATGTTTAACGTTTTGAGCAGTGTGTTATTTACACATGAGTTTGTGTTGCCTTTGCTGAACGACTCTTCTTCTTTAACTTGGCCGCAGTGTTGTCAAGCTAAGTCTGCTAAAGGAGCTTTCTCTTCTGTATGTGTGGAAACGATATTTATGTGCAGGTGTAAGGCTCAAGTCAATTGTGTTTAATAGTTATTCCTAAACCAAGGCACATATTTAACTGTGCAAAGTCTTTATTAACAGGGTTAACAGCTGCTTTTTCTAAGATTACTAAATGTGCAACAGCAGCAGAAGTAGTTTCCTGTTGTATTTTAGGGCTTCAAAAAGCATGAGCAGAGCTTGTTGACAGTGATGGATGACGCCTCTCTACCTTCTCCCCATGTTAAACTGAAGCCACTTGTTTCCCCTGTTTTCAGCATTACCATCTGCTTTCAAAATGGTACGAGCAGCCTTGGTGACAGCCACCAGTCTGGCTCTGACAGGGGCTGTGGTGGCTCATGCCTATCTCCTCAAGCACCAGTTTTATCCTACCGTGGTCTACCTTACCAAGAGCAGCCCCAGCATGGCGGTAAGTGTAGTTCCACAAGAAGCCCACTGTTAGCTGGGTTTACCTCAGAAATCTGCTCATATTTTATATCATTGCATTTTAAAGACATATCAGTGACATGCATAATCAGCAATTGTTCCTTCTGTGTTTGGGGTGACAGGTGTTGTACATTCAGGCCTTTGTTTTGGTGTTTCTGTTGGGAAAGTTCATGAGAAAGGTCTTTTTTGGACAACTGAGGGCTGCAGAAATGGAGGTAAAACTTTGTTTATAATTATGTTAATCATATTATTTATTTGGCTTAACATTCAGTGTAGGCCAGTGGTTCTCAAGTCCAGTCCTCGAGGCCCACTGTCTTGCGTGTCCTGCATGTTTCCCTGCTCCAGCACACCTGATTCAAATGATCAGCTCGTTATCAAGCTCTGTAATGGCCGATCATTAACGAGCTAATCATTTGAATCAGGTGTGTTGGAGCAGGGAAACATCCAAAACGTTTATTTAATTTATCTTATTTAACATTTATTTATTTATGTACTTTTGCTTCCTGCCTTCTCCCCACCAGCATCTCATCGAGCGCTCCTGGTATGCAGTGACTGAGACATGCCTAGCGTTCACTGTATTCAGGGATGACTTCTCTCCTCGCTTCGTTGCCCTCTTCACCCTCCTCCTTTTTCTGAAGTGTTTTCACTGGCTGGCTGAAGACAGAGTAGACTTTGTGAGTAATGAACGCTCTATAGTATTTGAAGTTGGTGCATATTTAGTAACACTTTGGAACTATGAACCTTAGTTTTGTCTTTTAAGTTTCATCACATATCTGTGGAGAGGTAAATGTTTGTTAGTGATAAAGAAATGTAGGTGAAGGTAGCTGTTACTAAGCAGACACAGCTGCGCCTTTCACATTGAAATTACCAGTTTTGGTAATAGTGTTGACAATCCTTTGTACATTTATCACTGAAAGTCACTGTTCATTGGCCAGTGATTTGATAGACACATGTTTACATAACTATTTAATGTATTTGTGTTTGTAATCCTCTCACTGCCAGATGGAACGCAGTCCAAATATATCCTGGGTGTTTCACCTGCGAGTATTATGTAAGTGCAAATGATCTGCCGCATAGAAATTCTTGTCCTGTTGGTTTTCTTTGTCATGTTTCTTCACCACTTTCTTTTGCTTGTGCTTTTGGAACAAATTTTACATCTTACTGAAGCTTTCTCTAAATCATTTTGTTTGCACGAGTCCAGAGGCACCACAGTTCAGTGGAGCCTCATGACAGACTAACAAAGTGGTTGACTTAAACACAATTTAACACCATATTCTTTACAGTTGGATGTCCACAATAATCGAACATATTTCTTTGAACGCTGCCTATACAAACCTCCCAGTGAAGAGTTATTTAGTGCTGTTTTGTGTGTTTCTGTAGCTCTCATGGGTTTGCTGGGGGTCCTGGATTTCCTGTTTGTCAACCATGCCTGTCAGAGCATCATCACTCGCGGAGCCTCGGTCCAACTCGTTTTTGGATTTGAGGTTTGTCACACTGAGTTTTCACTCTCTTTATTCAACTTTAAAAGGCTTATGTGACTCATCTGTGATATCTCATAAAAAGCTTCATATGTAAGTGAATGAACACGAGTCAGATTCATAAGTATGGCCGAGATATTACATTTTTATCCATAAGACTGTCATTGTAGCAGCCAAACTATAAATGACTCAATACCCTGATCTCAAGATGCAGTTTTTTTGAGTGACACAAAGAGATATTTGATCTAGAGGTGGTGTCACACATGACCAGTGGTCTGATTTACAGCTGTCTGTGCAAAGATAAGATGAGTTTCAAACAAGCCCAAGTGTTAAATACTCAATGACAGAAATGTTATTTTCAATGTACTGAGTGGTAGGAATGGACACATATCACTGCAGGGAGTATAATGTGAGTATTCTGCTTATTTGGCTCAAACAGCACCATAAAGACAGAGGTGTCTTCTAGAGCTTTGTGTTTTTCGTCTGTACATCCATGTATTTTGCCCCTGTGCATGAATCGTCTTTTTGTCCTGCTACATCTTCTTTCTTTTTTTTTTCTTTTTTTTTTTTTTTGATATTGTATGCCCCATGATCACAAAGTCACACTCCGGGGTCAACAGTATGCTGTAAAACAGACTCACTCCATTTAACATCAATGAGTCCTGGACCAGTGTTTCACTAACAGCTGCCTGTGACAGAAGAGTTCAAATATTCATATTCCGTGTTTTATTGTTGAGTTTAAGACATAAGTATCAATTGCTCTAAAGACATCCGAACTGAAGTTTAGAAAAGTACTTTTTCATTGATTACTGTGTTTTATTTAAGGGTAACAGAACAACTAATAGCACTACCTCAACCGTGACAGCAACATTTCCATCTTTGTGAAGTGACATTTTGTACTCTAAAATGTTTTAATGAGCGAAGGGCTTTATTTGGAAAATCCAGAATCTTGCTACATCATTTCAGAGGACAGAATGAGATTACTAATATACATTCTGTTGTTGATCAGTGTTGTTTTTAAATGATATTACATGTCTCTATTTCCAGTATGCCATCCTGCTAACAATGGTGCTGACAACCTTCATCAAGTATGTGCTCCACACTGTTGATCTGCAGAGTGAGAATCCTTGGGATAACAAGGCTGTCTACATGCTCTACACAGAGCTCTTTACAGGTATGAAGCCCGGCTGTTTCCCATAATGCTTTTGCCTCAATTTTGCACACAGCATCATAACTTACTGTTTTTATCCAGGATTCATCAAAGTTCTCCTGTACATTGCCTTCATGACCATTATGATAAAGGTCCACACCTTCCCCCTGTTTGCAATCCGCCCAATGTATCTGGCTATGAGGTGAGTAACAGTCTGTGTTGGTGGTTACTGTAAGGTTGATTTTATTTGTCCTTCCTTTTTTAACAAGTCAGAGGTGACACACAGGACTGGACAATTTCAGAAATATATTGGGCCATTTAGTTATTTCCAGTGTTGGTGATGATATTTCTAAGTTCAAGCCACCTTTCCAAATAGACCAAATGAAATTCTAAGTCACTGGATTTTTTACAAGGTTTATACAAAGGCATTTTCTGAGTCTGGTGTTGTTTCATTCTTCTCAGGCAGTTTAAGAAAGCTGTCACTGATGCTATAATGTCTCGAAGAGCCATTCGCAACATGAATACGCTGTAAGTAATGTCAAACTGTCACCAAATGCTTTCCTTTTTTTAACAAATCACTTTTTCCCGGAGGGTGAATTAACACGATTCGATGATCAGTTTCTAGGCTATAGCCTTTATACAAATGGTTATCCTTCCTTTGTTAAGTGTGAGGGTTACACAGCTGAACAGAATTACAATTTAAATATTATTAGTACAAACCTAAAGAAAACCAAAGCCAGAAAATTTGTGCCAAAACAGTTTTTCATTTCACTTCTCCATTTTACTCACATCCAGGTACCCTGATGCCACTCCTGAAGACCTGCAGGCCTCTGACAATGTCTGTATCATCTGTAGAGAGGAAATGGTCACCGGTGCAAAGAAATTACCCTGTAATCACATTTTTCACTCCAGGTAAGTCCCACATTGATCTGCTGAAAAATAGTGTTGATGGCAGACATTGACTCCTCCATCGAACCTCTTGTGTTGAAAACAAGTCAGCCCAGGAGATGACCGACACGTTTGTTTAGCTGAATAGTTTTTTTAGTACTCTCGGATGGTTTTAATGTTGTTTTGCTCCTTCTTTCCCACAGCTGCTTGCGCTCCTGGTTCCAAAGGCAGCAGACCTGCCCTACCTGTCGCATGGATGTCCTCCGTGCGTCGAATAATCAGACTCCAACCCCGGCCCAGGCCCCACCCCCTGCTCCTGCAGCCCCTGCCAATGTCCCTGCAGCCCCACCTGCTAATGGTGAGAGTGAGAACAATCACATGTTGCCCTACTCTTTTTCATGCTGTAACATCAGCTCTGCTATTGGCCACAAACAACCTCCATACAAGAGTACCTCAGAGTGGGAAAAATGCCTTTCAGGCAACTTGTTCAATACTGCATGTAGAAACAAGTATAAGCAAGTCGTATAAGCACTGGGTCCATTTGCATATGTGGCAGGTGTTTCGTTTTCTTACCTCTGCTGTCCAAACTCTCATGTGTTCCATCTCCAGTGGCCCAAGGCATGTTGCCTGGTTTTCCACCCGGTATGCTCCCCTTTTGGGGTCCCTTCCCAGTGCCTCCACCCACTGGAGATGCTGCAGCTCCTGGGCCCGGTGATCCTTCACAAGTCAATGCCGAACCTACTCAGGCAGGTGGTAAGGAAAACACATGCAACTTAACATTCATCTTAATTAAGTGAAAATGCTTATTCAAGTTTTTTTTTTTTAATTTAAAATACAAACAAACTCTGATTCCAGTGAAGTTTGGAGGTTTGTGTAAAACATGAATAAAAACTAGATTAGATTATTTTTCTGTAAATATTCACTCATTTTGAATTTGATGCTGTAACACCCTCCGAAAACTCTCGTTCAGAGAACCCGTCTTCCTCTCTTCTGTAACACCCAGTTATGTCTTGAGTAATGTTGGTGCTAACTGGTCATGCATAAACCTAAATCAGAAGTGAAACCATCTGCACCTGGGGATTTCTTGCTTGAGGTTTCCAGTTGCTATGTACATTTCCTCTAATTCAGTTTCAGCTAAGTTGATCATTTTATTCATTTGTGATGGTGGGTTAACTCAGTGAAGGTAAAAATGACAAAGTCTGGAGGTCATCTTCTCTTTCTGGTTGGGAGTACAGTGACTCGTATTACTTTGCAATAGTTTTCTGATTTTTTTTCTCAGACTTTTCTCTCAAGTCTTATTTTGTGTATCGAATAGTTTTTCTATTCTGTAAGATAAGAGTTTAGGAGGTTTTAGGATCTCTGTTTTGTTGTGCACCCTAATGAACTCCCTTCATATGTAATCTAATTTCTTCATGCACAGAGTGTACTTCATCTCTCTGTAGCTCCTTTCATCTATCCTCCAGATTTTGAGGGCTTTGTTTTAGTATTCAGTCATAGCTATTATATTTCCCTTATTACTGCCTTAAGTGCATCCCAAACACAAATGGAGATACCTCAGCATTTTCATCCAGGTCCAGATCAGTTTTGATTTCATTGTTTGACTTTTCTGGAAATTATTTACAGTATTCAATGCAGTATTTAGTTGGCAGAGTGTGGATGCTAATTTTTTGTTATGACACAGTGACCTTCTTTATCCCAGAACTCATACATGTGCTTACATTTTACAGCTTTGGAGAGCAAAATAGCCTCTCCTCTACATTATCCTCATTTGTAGATGAATATATGTGCTAAAAGCCTGTTGTTTATTTTGGCCTGTTCTATCTCACTCAAATGGGTTTCTTGCAAAAAAAATATCCCCCTTAATCTGATCAAGTTAAGGTCTACCTTGCATTCTTATGTCTTAGTATTATTCCTCAGGCATACACATGGAAAGCTTAAGTAAACAGAGAATAAACAACAAAATTATGAAACAGTTATTATTGTTATTATTTTTTTGTGGCTTCCACTTACTCCTTTCCTGCTTCAGGAACTCTGTAGATACTAAAGTTCTTGCGTTTGGAGCAGCTTTCCTGGTCAGCAATTTTAGCACCCACCTTGCTCTGAAATTAAAGCATTTCAGCTAAAATGTCTCCCACATTGTGGATCCTCGACTTTTCTGCTTTTACGCTTTATCAAGTCTAACGTTGGGGTTCACAATTTCTTCCATAATATTCTTAAGCTGCTCCTTGTTATCCCGGCAAAACCCCCTCAGCTCCTGTGGGATCAAACCTAGGTCTTAGGTTTCACTGTTCTGCCGGGTATTAGCTTGTTTGCTAGCAGTCGTGTGTGGGTTTCCTTGAGGTCGTTCAGGTTGTAGAAATTTTGCACTTTTGGGGAGACGGAAGTCATTTATTTTAGAGGGCTTTGTTTGGAGCTCTTTCGCTACGCTGCCATCTTGTCGATGTTCGACCTGGAAGTCCTCTTATCCCTTTTTTTTGTTTGTGTGTTTGTTATTTTTGTTTGTTTCTTTGTTTTTGTAACAGGAATTCAATGTTGGTCAACTTCAGTGTCTAAGCTGTAAGGTAGTGTTGTGTCCATCTTGAGCAGTAGCTCTGATCAATGACTACTATTGTTATGCTGCAATGGCCCAATACTTACATTAATATCAGCACAGTAGAAAGATGGCACCTCTGTTTGTATTTTGACTAAGAAAATTAATATTAAGTTGAACCTAGGAATAATGAACACAGGTACATGAACCTGCAGGTTGCAGCAAACCAGTCTGTGGCAGATTAGTTCCCTGTGGTCCTGTGGACCACTCAGTAGGCCGCAATTTAATTTCCATTTAAAGGACTTGTCGTCAGATTTGGTCTCCTCTCCTATGTTGACACCTTCCCACAATGTTTCTTTTTTTTTTGTTTTTATACAGGCAGCAACCAGCCGAGCTCGTCAACTGCAGAGACTTCTGCTGCAACAGTTGCTGCCCCAGGGTTGGCAGTCTCAGGCTTCCCCTTCTCCTTCCCCCCTCCTCCTTTTCCCACTTCACCATGGCTGCCCATGCCACCACCCCCACCTTTTGGTAAGTACGGAGACTTCTTTCTCTGTTCAGGCTATAAAAGACTTCAGTCTGTGAAACTTAGCTCTCCTGTTAAGGATGACAGATTTGGTGGGAAACAAGTGGAGAGCTTGGGAAGGAAGAAAGTGGAGTGAAATCACTCTAGCAGGGCTGCTGCCACATATGGTTATTACAGAACTAGTGTAGTATTAAGCCTCTGGTTGTCTTGGTCACAGAAGAAAAAGGGGAGGGGTCTTCCATTATTTGCACTCTGATTAACTGATCAATGTAAAGGTCAGGAGCACTCCTACTTGCCTAACTGTGGACAGTTTACTAGCTGGTTCAAACACCAGCTGTTGTAAGCAATACAATGACTGTGAACTAGGGAGCTGTTTGGAAAGTCAGAGTTAACAGATTTGAGCAGATACATTTCTTGTAAAACGTTATAGGAGTGCAGCAAATGTTGTTAGTGTGCTTCGCATGTACAGTACATGGATGAGCAGCATGCTAGATTATATAGTATTTCATCCTCAGGTGCTCATCACCTCTATTTCCACACACTATCTCAGCACAGTTACTACTAGGTGTTTCATGTCGAAGTCCATCATTTCTCTTTACAGCTATCAGAGTCTGGGCCAGCGTAGCAGCATTTATAATCATCATTATCCTGGTTAAGGTCAAGATAACTCATTTATTTGATCACATTTGCATCACATACATACATCACATACAAATATGTAAACATCAGAAAATCAAAAAGTTCTGTTTGAAATAAATAAGTGAAAAATATTTGATATTACCAAACCCTGCCAGCCTGTTATCGTCTGCAACTCCCTTACTCTAAACGATCTAGGCTCCACCAACGCAACATGTAAGTACCCATCGAGGAGGTCTTCTGGTCTCTCATTTGACAGTCAGAGTATGGACCTGGGATGTCTATTTAATGCACAGTCAATGTTGTAAAAGCAATGGAATGAAAACTTGCCTCAGACTTTTTCCAGCATTGTCTCTCCAGCATCCTGGTAGAATTTCAGTTTGGAGTCACGGAGCTTATGTTGGAAGACAGCCAGAAGTATTTTGAAATCATGGACTTCTGAACTTTCTTAAAAGGGTTGGTCAGGTAGAGGACATGTATGTTGAAAGCTTTTAGTCTTTGACCCTGTAGTAAATACTGCAGAGGCAGACGTAGCGTTCTCTTGTAGAAGATGGCGAATTTGATTTGATCTGCCTCCGTCTTACTCTGTTTCCAGTTTTGTTTGTACCTCTCTGTTCTCTTTTTTCAGTTTCGTCAATGCCTCCACCTCCCCCGTCTCTGTCCCAGCTGTCTGAGGAGGAATTGAGAGAGCTGGAGGCTGAAGGCAGACGTGGTCTTGAGGCCAGGCTCCAGTGCCTCCAGAACATCCATACCCTGCTGGATGCCGCCATGCTTAACATTCACCACTACCTGAGCACTGTCGCCACTCTTACGTAAATGAGCTGACTTGAGATTTTGTCTCATATTTGGTGAATTTTGACAGTCTAACTCAGATCATGTACCCTATGCTGCTGTTTTCCACAGTCCTCCTGGGGCAGAAAGTAACACAGGGCAATCCAGCGGGTCGATTCATGCTACGTCATCTTATGCAGCCGACAGCCCCAACCAAGGGAAAAACTCCACGAGCTGTAAGTGTACATTAAGACTTAACAATGATGCCATGATGACTAAACCAAAGACCTTTGACCTTACGTTTGGTATCTCTTCGCTTTTCCAGCCGATGGTGAGGGCAGAGACGCGGTTTCTTCTGAGCCTACAGATTCTGCTCCTGTTGCATTGGACACAGAAGAAAGAGATGGGATTCAGGAAGGAGCAGTAGAGGAAGTAGAGGATGGAGAGCCTAACGCTGCTGAGCTAAGGCGCCGCCGCCTACGTAAGCTTGAGACGTCATCGCCATCATCTTCGTCTGCCACTGAAAAATGATTCATGTGTTCTGCCTTAAAAATGTTGCCCTGGACCAACAAAAACTCTGAGATGACTTTGTTGTGGCGTTGGTTCCTCATTGTCTCTTTCTGGAAGCTCTTGCCTTCCTCGGGCTTTTAAATGTGTTGACTTGGACTCTGGTAACTGAGAGGTGTTAAGATCTGTACTGCTTATCTTATCTTTGTCTTAGTTTTAGAAAGCAGCAGACCAGGTTTGTTGTTTTCACCACCTGTTCGCTTCCTCTGAATGACTACTGCAAAAAAAGGAGATCTGCATATGTTGGAAAAGTTTGATCAAATAGAAGAAAAATTGTGAGAGAGTCTTTGGATTTGTGTTGGGTAATTATACTGTCTTTGAGGTCTTTGCTTGCTTTTTGATTTTTGTTCGTTTTAGCTTCCCGGAGGACAAATTGATCCCAACCACCTGTATCAGACCACCCAGACCAGTGTGATACCCATGCAAGACACATCCAAAGAAGTCGAGCAACAGCGCCGACTTTCCACTTTACTTCAGTCATTTGTGCATCACTGTTTTGTAGCTGCAACATTGGTAGCAACTTATTCATTTCTTTTAAATATGAACATGTACGTACTTTATGAAGAGATTCAAGGGGTGATCTCTACACCATCGTTTAGACTCACATGACAGTGACACAACAGGTATGTTGATTTGTACAATAACAAACAGCTGTTAGGTCCTCAAAAGTTCCATCATAAATTCTTGATAAACACAAGCTTCCTAACTTAAATCAATAAAGACAGTAAGTCAGAAGTACAGTTACGCTTATCTTCCTACTTTTCATAGTTATGTTTTTAGTGAAAATACAGCAAATTCTCCTGACTGTATTATTTATTTAGTTTCTGCTGCTTTCCCTTGAATCTATTCTCATGACATTGGGCCTTTTATATAAATTAAATTATGGTAAAATTTCTACTTATTTTGCAAGACCATTTAGGTCATTGTGTTCCAGTGGAGTGAGATCTTTCATCTGGTTCCTACTTGTTTTGAAAATCCTTTGTTTTTAAAGTAATGGTAAAGACAGGAGAATGGACAGATCCTCTGATATATTGTTTATCATATTTATTGTAGCAAAAGAAACACTGTTGTGCAGAAATGGCTGCTCATCTATAGTCATGGAGTTTACGAGCACCTTTCCTCTGTTTTGGTTAGTATTTGAATATTACTGTTCTTCCCTGTCACCCATAAAAAGTGGAATCAGCAATGAAGATGAGGAGTTAAAAACAGAAATACATAGTAGGCCTGGGGCCTCACTTCTTAACCTCCTCAAAGCAACTTTGCAGAAACTACAACTGAGAAATGTCATGGAGGAAATATTGAGGCCAAACCACATTCTAAGCCCCTAACACTGAGGTGTGTTCCTGCTGGGTTTGTGAGTGGTAAGAACTGCCCCAGGCACTCTTTTTGTATTGTTAGCTCTGTCGTCATTAATTTAAACAAACAGCGTAATACAGGCGTGCCAGAGTGTGACTTCACTTTGCCTTGCAGCGGTGCAGGGGCATGAGAGGAAGGCAGACATGCAGTGTTGTTCTGTCCTGTCTGTTCCATGATCCTATCATCCCACCTTGAACTCTCCTCATCAGGAGCATGAGGGCTTTGATGCACATCTGAGTTGGTTAAAAATGTTGACTTAAAATGTGCTATGCTAGACTACCTAAGCAAAATAAAATAATCTACAAAGAAAGTGATGTTGCTCACGCTCTAGTAAGATTTTCTCATATCAATGAAATGGTCGTAGATAATACAGACAGACAGACAAACAGGTAGACGAATATATGGATACTTTATTAATTCTGAAGAAAATTCAGACTTCCAGCAGCTTACTCTGGAAGATAGTGACAGTCTGTATGTGTTATGATCCCTGCCCGTGCCCTCCCTTTATTTACAAGTTAACCAGGACAATAAGAATCTAGGATCATATTAAATATGTACAAACTGAAATGAAGAAGTTACAGATTAAATATCAGAAGAAAGCCTATTCAAGTGTGAATTTATTCATCTAAATTAAAACATTATAACTCATTCATAAACAACCCATTTTGAGTCCATTACAAAGTAAGTCTCATAACAACTGATACAGCGCAAAATGTCACAGAGGCCTGTGCAATGAAGGTTAGGGCACTGCAGCTCTGACCTATTAGAGACAAAGCTGTAAGGGGGTGGTAGTGTTGTATCCCTGCCATTGGGAATTTTTGGATTTAAACTGCCCAATCCCAGGAGGATGAAAGCCTGTCGGTGGGGCAGGGCAGGGAAGGTACAGCAGTTATTGCACAGCAGAAATTCATCCTGTCTGGGATGGAGAGCACTTGATCAAGGGTCCTTTTGGGAGTTACCAGAGAGTACAGTTCTGTGCCCACCACAGAGCCGCCAGTCCGTCCAGTCACTCTGCATCCTCCTTGCCATTCCCTCTCCCAGAACAACACATCTTACAAGGTGCTGGGTGCAGCCAGTGGGAGCTGGCTGGGGTCAAGTGCCCAAGGACACTTCAGTGTGTGAACAGCAGGACCTGGGATTCCAAATGGGAAATGATCAACACTATTACTGAGCCACATCCCGCCCCAGTCTTGTACATGTTAATGTACATATAAATGTGTGTAAATGATTGTTATAGGTTTCTGCTTTGCAGATATGATTTTAGTATTTACTTCACAGTTAAGGCTAATGTGTTTGAATAGTTTCCTCTCCAGCCTCCTTAGACTCTGAGAACAGCACCCTCTGTTGATGGGCTGCAGTATAGGTCATAAATCCCGCCTCCGCCAGCAAAGCTTATGGAGCTGTGGACCAACTTTAGAAATTTATTACACAGAACATAAATTTTTGTCCCCCCTGCTTGCAATGTTGACATGTAGTTACTGTAACACTGGTTTGTGCTCAAGTCCTCTTTTTTCTGTGAAGCTCCGTTTTTAAAAGTTATAAGGGGGTTCATGTTTTCTATGATTGACACCTGATACAGCCTATGGGCGTTCAGGGATTGAGTAGCTTTCTCGGAGGATACGCTGTTTGAGCCGAGTGTCATCACAGTGACTCTCTGCGACTGCGTGTCCGAATGTGCACAACGCTACTGCACAGTGCTGGTTTCAGGAAATGAAGAAAAATCCCGGAATTACAGAGAGCTATTTGGCTTCAAATCCGTATACAGGCGGTAGGCGGAACCAGGTTGTCCATCGTATATACAGTCTATGGTCCAGGCCTAAACAAATTCATGCAGTAACATTTAACCATGGTCATCCCATTTTCTTCAGTGTAATAGCACAGTGGTGAATAACTATACCTTTGTAGATACCAGTGTGCAGAAGGCGGCAACCCCAGGGTTTGCAGGGAGAACATATCGACATGATTTGGCACCAGATTCAGACAGAGAAAAGAGATCTGCACCATAGTGTTTTTAGATCTAGCCAGTGGGTTTGCTTCACACAACTTTATCTGGACTGCTTTTGACTTCTTTAAAGTCCCAGAGCTAATTGTAAACCATGTGAAATCTTATTTCCAGGATGTTAGAATGTGTGTTAAAGCGGTAGATTTTACATCCAGGTAGCAGAAGCATTTCAGCAGAGAGGACTATTTCTACACTAGCATTTACAATGGAAATGAAAATAATTATTAGAGCCTCAAAAGGTCCGGGCTACCGGCGGTTTGAGAGGTTCGGCTCAGAAGAGAACTGAAGTCATCCAAAAGATGGGCCAGGAGTCACAGCACCCAAGGCAGAACCAGCGCCTTTATAATCCTTTGGATGCTCCTTTGGTCTCACCACAAAACTCAGGCTCACAGGATGGCTTTGAGCCTGATGTGTGGCAGCTTCAGAATAACACAGATAACTAAGGCCTCCTACGACCATTTTAATTTGTGGAGACTAATTGTCAAATGAGGCATCAAAGGGTCCTGACAACCACCTTCATGAAACTCTTCATCTGCGACAGTTGTCAAGGATTTGTTTGTTCAGAGACAGCTTCCGTGTGTTGAACTTACTCTGTAGTTAAAACCATCTGAACAAATGGAGGAAAACAAACTCCTTGCCACATGTCTACAAATACTACCTTAAATGCTGCAGCAACTACTGACTGTTTCTGCCTGGTTCTAGGTAAGAGGTGTCACGACCTTAGTCAGAGCAGTGTGTGTGTGAGTTGAGTCAGGCTTTGGCTTGAAGTGAAGCACAGTTCAGTCAGCTGCAGGCCCTCTCACACTCCCAGAATATGCGGATTCAGCAGCTCTGGGATGTTTGCATACAACACACTGAGGTCCCGGAGGAGAACAAGGTTTACTTTGTTACATGCACCATTTCATCCCCAAGACAGCTGCCAGGACAATACAATGAAATGGGCCTCATCTTGTGATTCAGTTTTTGTGTTTGACAGAAAGGAAAGTGGTCCTCCTCTAGATTTTTCATTTGGAGGATATTTGTGATGATGTGTCTCTTTTAACGCTTGTGTTATTAGAATAGATGGGAACACAGTTTTTGCAAGGGATGAAATGCTTTGGCCCTGCAACATGATTTAACTGATCTAACTTATCTAATGTTATTTACCCAGCCCCCATGGCTGTGAGTGAGTGCATGGTGATGGCAAACCTGCTGGACTTCAGGAGAGGAACATCCAATATGAGGACCTGAAAGGAAAAATTGTTTAACTCGAGCAAGTTCAAACATGTTGAAAAAAAAAAATATATTCCAAAATGTTTATGAGTTAAAATTATATCTAGTAAATGTGTCTCTTAAAGTGTGTACATCATATTAAATTTTGCTATTAGCATCTGTTGCTGGGTAAAATTCCATCTCTATTTGACTTAATCACTCTAACATATCATTCATTATTACTGATCATCATTATGTAGAGCTGGTCCACAGTTCCACGACCAGGACGAAAACTGTATTGCTCCTCCTGAATCTGAAGTTCGACTATCCGGTGGACCCCCCTCTCCAGGACCCCTGAATAGACCTTTCCAGAGAGGCTGAGGAGTGTGATCCCCCTATAGTTGGAACACACCCT